AGCCAGTCCACATCCTTAATTTCATTGCAGCCCTGTGTCCTGGCCTCTCCAGCTTCATGGCATTGTATTCTTGCTGTGTTGTTCTTGCTCTCAGTCGTGCTGTCTGTGATACTGTGGATTATACTTGGGACCTTCTCACGGAATACATCCCAAGCCCATTTATTTTTAATTTTGAGACAGGTGTTGCTAAGCCACACAGTTTCCTTAAATTTGCAATCTTCCTGCCTCAGCTTCCCATGGTGCTAGGATTTAGGCGTACAGCCCACACCTACATCTCCATGCTGTTCTGTCTTACAACCATTCTGCCTTGCTTTGACTTTGGAGTATCCTGGTCCTTGTTTCTGTAGTCCTCTATGTAGAAGTCTCCCTTCTCTCCCTCTGTAGGCCCCAGCTCATCCTTCTGTGTTCATTCAGCTTCCCTGGGAAAGCACCTTGGCCCTCTGGGCAGGGCTGTGCCCCTGCTGCGTTGGTCCAGAACTCCCTGCTGCTTCCCCTCTTGACAGATGACAAGCTGTATAGATTTGTGGTGGCCTCTTTGCCCAGTGTCACAGTCCTGCCGAGAGCATGGTGGCACTGTGCAGATTGTGCTGAGCTCTGCTGTGAGCCACTGGTAGTCTCTGCCTGCTCACTGGGAGATTGGGCCTCCAACCTGAGGCCTCACGATGTGGGGCCTGTGTATGTGTGAGGGATTTGGATGTGAGTAGGAGAGAAACTCCTAGGAAGTGAGGGGAGTTAGAAGTCCCGTTCATAAGGCTGCGGAAAACTGTGGTCGCAGTGGTTGGAGTCAGAAGTACGGTGAGGGACCGAGCTGAGAAGGGCCGTAGTTCCGGTGAGAGAAATGCCAAGGGCTCTCTCAGAGGCGTTCTTACTAGTGTTTGTAATGGCTTCAGAACGTCTAGTTTGGGAAATGTAGTTATTAAAGGAGAATAAATTGCAGTGGAAACATTAAAATATTTTAAAGTATGCTAGCGAGATACATTTTAAAAATGCTTATTTTAGAAAATACACCCAGAATAACCAATGATGTTTCTTATGCCTGTATGTTTTTTTCTAGACCTATTTTTATATGTAGCTAAGATCATGTAATATAAATAGTTTGAAGTCTTCCTATATTTAGTTAATATTATTGCATAAATACTTTACCTTTTTTTGGTGGTATTGGTGGTACTCGGGATTCAGCCCAGGGCCTTCACACTGAGCTACATCCCCAGCCCTTTAAAATTTTTTTTGAGGGGGGTACAAGGTCTTATACAGTCACTAAGTTGCCCAGGCTGGACTTGAACCATCGATCCCCCTGCTTTAGCCTCCCAGAGTGCTGGGGTGACAGGTGTGCGTGACTATGGCTGGCTTCCCTGTGTTCTTAAAAGTTTGTTGTACAGTATTTTAAGTAGTTGCCAGTCTTATTCCTTAATGTTTGAAGATTGAATAGCTTATCAGCTGTGTCTCATTACTAATTTACCAGTTTCTGAGTTTTCTAAAACATAATGCATGAGTATGTGTGTGATAAAGGTTTTTGCCTTCACTTTGAGCTATTTTCTCACTTTGGTGTGTATCTGTGGCCACCTTTTGTCTTTTAACAAGGTGGGGTCTTGCTCTGTTGTCTGGCTGGCGTCAAACTCCTAGAGTCGTGCGATCCTGCCACCTCCACTTGTGGAGTAGCCACAACCACAGGCCGTGCACTGTGCCCGTGCATGCCGTGCTTGTCACATTTGGTGTGAGTGGGAACTGCCCAGGAGGTTTGAGCCACACAGACTGTGTGACCTCTCTCGGGGCCTCTGGCTAGGTAGGTCTGGGGAGGCCCACACGAGGCTAGGAGGCTGGCGCTGCTGTGTGGGGACCACACTCTGAGAACCCTGCTGTGAAACTGTAGCATGGGGCTGAGTTTCCAACCCAGGAGGAGCGATTACGATCTTGAATGAAACTGAGTTCCTGTAGCAACCTGTATCAGGGCAGTGAGGCGCTCAGGGACTGGCTTGCTTTGAGGATTTACAGCTTGTGAACTTGAGTGCTGCTAGGTGTGAGGTTCCGGCTGAGTGCTGGCAGGCGAAGATGCCATGACAAGCACAACTCTGCTCCTTTTCATAGTCTGTAAGGCAAGAGTGTGTCAGTAGAAACAAAAGGCTTTGAAATTCAGAGGGAGGACAGGCCAAGTTTGGTTGACATGTCAGAAAGAGGGAGACCAAGTAGAACATTACAAAAGTTAGACTATTTAATTGACTGATGTATTTATTTTTGAGAGAGGACCTCCATGTAGTCTAGACTGGCCTGAAGCTCCAACAATGCTCTTGCCTCAGCCCCCTGCACACTAAGATTACAGGTATGCACCACCATGCCCAACTAAATTTGACTATTTTCAAGGCGTTTCACAGTTATCACATCAATAAAACAAGAGCATTTGAGAGGAAATTTTGTTAACCATGGGCTGTTTTTGTGAAATTTTCTGCTACTTTGTTTATTCTTGTTTGATTCAGAATTGTGAATGGACTTGGATTAAACTTCCTGTGGTAGCAGTGTGCCTGCCCTTTGCTTTCTTTCGCTTTGCTTGTGGTTTGTCATAGCAAGGCAGCACCTGACTTTGACCGCTCTGCAGCAGCTGTCCATTCTGTGTGGCTCATGGTGCTTGAATGCCCGTGGTGCCAACATGGTATCGGGATTCTTGGGCATTGTCTCCCACACTGAGATGCGTGCGTGCCTTCTGTCAGGCAGGCGCTCTGTTCTGCTCGCACTCTCGCGGTGTTTTGGCATTTGCAGGTGGTGCCTGGCTTATCTCCTGGATGAATGAAGTAATGAATGAACTAATCAAGGACAGGTAGGGTAAGGGCAAGGAGAAAACCACTGGGTTGATCTGTCTCTTTGAAAATTATTTTTAATTTTTTTACTGGCAAACAATTTAATGCTTATTGAGTGACTGTCTTCTAAAACATTCTGTAGCATATTTTATGTCAAAAGCAGTGAACATGTATTTTAAACTCTGCTGCTATATTTTGAGGACACTGGAGTGATTTTAAATACCATTGCTTCTGCAGTATTTGTTGAGAAAGAAGAGCGTCAGCTCAAATACTTTTAGACACTTTGTAAAGAGACTCAAGTCACCAGTGTTTTCTAAAAATCCAGATTTTGGAGGCAGCAGCAGAGTTTCTGTTGATGAAAAGTTACTCTTACTCTGAACCAAATAAAAATGTACTTGTATTGGGTGTGGGAACATTCACCTGTACTTCTAGCTACTCAGGAGGATAAGGCAGGATGATTGCAAGTTTGAGGCCAACTTAGACCTTGCCTCACAGGCTGGGGTTGTAGTTCAGTTGTAGAGCACTTGCCTGAATAGGTGAGGCCCTGAATTCAATGGGGGGGGGGACACCTCCTTATTTGTATGTTTTGTGGCTTTGAGGACTGTCTTTTTTTTTCCTGGGTGACTACTCTGGTGAAATACTTCATGTTGATTAGCGATTAGTTTGGTCTTACTACTTTCTGGTGTCATTAGAGTGATAACACTGAGTGTCTGTTAGGGCAGCAGTGACAGTAAGGACACTACCACCTTTTTCTTTCTAATTTGGGTTGTGTGATTTTTGTGAGAAAGCTGTGCTTTCCAGCTGTGGTCTCCCAGAGCGTTCTTCCGTGTGCTGTAGTTCTCACTGCATGCGCTGTAAAGAACTGATGGGCTCTGGGTTGGCCATGGAAAGGTCCGGTCAGCCACTTTGATTTCAGAATTCTAGACAAGCAAGCATACTGCCTTCTGTCTGAGGTCATCTCACTGTGTACTGCGCGTGCTCTGTGTTCTCAGCATTTCCCTGATTGGCCCACATGTCTTCCTGATCTAGAGGAGAGCAACTGCCAACCTGCTGGCTGTCCCTAAAATCCAAGACTGAATTTAGGAGCAGTGGTGGTTAAGAGTAGGAAGAGTTTACTGAGAGAAAGGAAGCTTCTGTCTAAGAGGGACAGAAAAAGTAGAAAGTAGATGGCCCGCAGACCCTGCTTCTCTAGGGTGTTTATTGAGCAGAGCCATGAGGTGAGGCAGGTTTAAGGTGGACAGAAAAATAATAAGATTACAAGTACAGTCATTTAGGTAATATTGATGCAGTGCTAAATCACACAGTGAGTATGAGGTAGGACAGGACTATGGTGAAATAAGGTTACAAGTATAGTTGCTTGGGTAATACTTATTAAATGGGGATCAAATGGGGAAGCAAGTCCCAAAGCAAGCGGCACAAGGGACAAATAAGGACTTTCCTGGAAGGGATGGGTTAAGGATGTTTATTCCTCACTTCAAGGTGATTAATGCCTACTTAGAGTATCAGTCACTGCTGTTCATCCCTAGGGGAAGTACATGAGTGAGTAGTCTCTTTTCTTGAAACCTGGCCTTCAGTGAATGCACCTCTAGCCACCATTGTTTTTGTCGCTGACGTTTTGAGAGCCCAGCCCTGTCTAATGCCTACACTATTTCTAAATAACTTAGCTGTTGATAATGTTCCCACAGCTGCTTCCTTCAGCCTAGGCACCTAATGATTCACACCTGTGATCTTGCAGGATTCTGAACTCTTCTGTCTGACCCTCCCTTCTTTCCCGAGCTGTGTACTTCCTTAAGAAATGGGGTCATCTCTTCTACAGGAATTCTGACATTCTAGGTGTGGCCCATTGCTTTCTCTAGTTGTTGTTTGAGTTGGCAGCGTCAAATCTCTTCGCTGCCTGAGAACTGGAATTTAGATCTTCATTAGATTTGGGTTCTTTAGGGGATTGGGTCTCACTGTGTAGTGTAAGGCTGGCCTTTAACTTACAGCGATCTTCCTGCCTCAGCCTCCTGAGTGCTAGGATTATAGGTATACACCACCATGCCCAACTCAGGTTCATTTTTTTAAATAAGAACATTTTAGTGGTCGAGGTGGGATCTGGGCACTCCCTAGCACATTAGGTCAGGAAGCACCTATTGTCTGGCCTGCTCATGCTGGTGATACTACAACTGATTCTTGGGCTGGGCGCTCATAACGTTTTTATCTTTTTTTCAGAGAGGCTGGATTCTTTGCTCTCAGACTACGAAGTCCTCTCTGTATCTAGTATCCAGCAGCACTCCGTAAGGAAAAGGGATCTCCAGGCTTCAACGCGTTTAGAAACGCTGCTAACATTTTCAGCTTTGAGAAGGTAACTTGGGTTATTCATCGTGTAGTCTTATGGTAGTAAGGGGCTTGGTTTGGGAACAAAAGGGCATCTACTGAAGTCCTGGGAGATTACAGCTTAACAGATTTGTAATTTGTACGACTCCAGTGTGTCATACATGATTCTTAATAGAGTACTGCCTGTTCTAAATTCCATACAGGTGTTTTCTAAAAAGTAAATGAGTATTCCAGAGATAGTAATGATGATAATGTTTATATGATTCTAACAAAGAATTTTTAACTGAGTGCTTATAATAAGTTTTTGGTGCGACTTTAGACACTGAGGCTTAGGCATAATGGTTTTTGTTTAGGGCCCCAAAGCCTGGTATTGAGCTGAGTCTAAAATTTAATGTTCTTTCTGCTTTGAGTTCCTCTCACTTCATAACATAAATTGGCTGAGATGGTCTATTAGGACAGTAACTTTACTATCACTGATGAAGTTTTCAAATTCAGTTCTGCTTGATAATTGTAGGTGTCATTCTAAAGCCTTTTTAAAGTATCAACAAATAAACACTAGGAGGGTATAAATGCACTGAATTAGTTTTCATTTATAAGACAGGCCTTTATCACATTAAAAAATTAGTATATGGCCCTGGCGTAAAAGCCAGACTGGCTGAGGGTGGAGTATAGCTCAGAGGTGCAGTGTGTGCCTATGCCTAGTGTGGGCAAGGTGTTGGATTGCACCCTCAACCCCAAAGAACAAAATGAAGCAAACGGGAGCTGGGCGTGGTCCTGCACGCCTGAAATCCCAGCACTCAGGAGGTTCCAGGATCCTTAGTATGGGGCAAATACTTCTTGTCCTTTCATATTTCTCTTTTGTTTTTAAAGATGACATTGATTCACCGAGGAAATGTTAAATAATAACACCTCTCTTCCCTCTGTGTAAGAAGACAGGAAAGTTTTAAATTTATTTTATGGAGTTTCAATCTTAAATGTTTAATGGGAGCTGTATCTAACAATTCATGAGGACTTTGTACTGGGTGCTTTGCAGTACGTCATTTCATCCAGCCTCAAGCCAGTTAGTCAGTAGGTGACATTTTCCTCATCTGTAGATGAATTTAGGTTCAGAGATTGAGGTCAAGGTCAAAGAGGGAGTAAATGGCAGAGGTAGGATCAGAGCCAAGATTTTCAGACTCCAAATCTCTGTCGTACTGTGTTACTAAAGTTTAAGAAAACTGGGTAGCCAAAATAGCCTCCTCTTACAGAGTTGCTTTGTGGTGATGACAACCGAGCAGGCTCTGTTCTAAATAGTAGTGGCAGGGGAATCATGTAAGCCAGGACTACACAAAATTTGCTTTGTTTTGTCTTTTTGAGACAGGGTCTCGCTATGCAGTTCAGGCTGGCCTTGAGCTCACTTTGTAGCCCAGGCTGGCCTCAAACTCGCAACAGTCCTCCTGCCTCAGCCTCCCGAGTGCTGGGATTACAGGTGTGCACCACCATGCCTGGCCGGACTACACAAAATTTGGATGTGACGATTAGAGGCCAAAAACCTGTACGAGTTGTGATTTTAAGAAAAAAGGAAACTTTAAAATTTATCTTATAAATTGCATGCCCTCTTTAGTATGAAACAAGATATACTCTGCAGTAATGAAAAAACTGTAAATGTTTTGATACTTTTTTGATGTCATCAGAATTTTTTTTTTAAGTTATTAAATGTTTTTCCTAAAAGTAAAATGTCTCAGATTATTTGAGGGCTGGAATTGATAAAGAAATGAAAGTAATATGCTTGGCAGAATGGATCTTTAAAAATAGGAAAATAATGTCAGTTCAGACTGATTAGCAGTAGTCTGTTGTCACTGTAAATTCACAAATCAAAGTCAGAAAGCTGAGTCAGTGAGTGGATGACTTCACATAATTTTGGGCGGATAAAATAAGGTAGATTTAGACTGACGTATCCTTTTGGAGATTTAGTTTAAAAGCTAAGATTGGAAACTTCAAAAATATAATGTGTGAGTCTTCCCCTTGCTGGGTGTTTATTTTTACCCTGGAGCGGATGTTTCCCCTGTCAGTGTGGGCCGGAACCCAGGGCCCCTGGGAGCCAGTGAGCAACTGCTGTGGAGCTTCGACCAGCCCTAGAGTGGCTGTTTAGTGCAAAAATGCACAAGGCAGTTCCCGGGCCTGCCATAGAACGAAAATTAAAAGTAATATCGTGACTTATAGGGGAGGTTTAAAACTGAAGAGAAGGACTTTATAATAGGAATGCTTTTCTTTTCAAGTTTCTGAGCATAACTAAAAGGTGAAAAAAGTCGTTACTGAGAATGTTTGGGGAAAACGCTTTTGAATAGGAGGAGAAAGTATTGCAGAGATTTATGAAATAGCAGTTTATTGTGTTTCTTTCCCTCTGACCATTAAAAAACCAGAAACAAACTAAAATTACTTTGTATGCTCAGAAGTTAAAAATACTTGTTGTCATGGAAACAGTCCCCAACTAGGTTTCTTCCTGGCAGTTTAAAGACTTGTGCACACATGAGGAAGTAGCATTTCATACTTGCGACACCACAGCTGACAGAATCACATGCCTGCCTTTATCTTTGGTGTTCATGGGTACTGTGAAAGGGCTTAGCAAATAAGTGAAGAAGTCTTGTTCACCAATCCCAGTTTCTAGGTCAGAATGGAAACGTATAGAAAACGAAAAGGATAGTAAGCCGTCTAAAGAGAACCAGAGTGTATATTTTATCATTTGTATTGGAGACTATTTATTTCTCTAGTAGTTAACTGTGGACTAATTTTTTTCAAAATAAGTTCTTTAGAGAGGGAGGAAAAAGCATGAGTGCTTTTAAATAGAAAGCAGCAGTTTTTCTTTGACCAGCAGTAAGAATTTTCCCATAGGACACTCAGCTTTACTACTACTGGCAGCAGAGCCAGACAGAGGCTTTGTTAAATAAGCCAGGTTCAGTTTCCACTTTCTAGTGTGCAAGCTATGTGGCCTTGAGTGTGTTGATTGACTAAGGCTCACCTTTTAGTTCTGTGGAGATAACATAATGGTGAGCAGTTGGTCAGTTCATAGTATATAGCAGTATTAGCTTGCATACTCAGTGTCTGAGATAGGCAGGACAGTTTCAGCTACCCAGATATATGTGTGCTTCCTTATTACTCACATTTTCCAGGAAAGATGAATCTATCAGCTCTTTGAATCCCCCCTCCCCCCAGTATTAGCTTCTTTGGTTTGCTAAGTTTTTATAGCTGAACATATTAGTCCCTTTGTCTTTACAGGAAATAGTATTTTGCTCCATGTACCTAGTAAAACATTAGTTACAACTTGTACACAGTGCTTTTTTAATGTCAGCTCTTGTGGATTTTTTCTTTCTTTCTTTTTTTTTTTTTTTGGTACCAGGAATCAAACTCAGAACCTTGCATGCTTGCCAGGCAGGCGCTTGTGCCGCTGAGCCATATCCCTGGCTTTTCCAGATTTTTAAAAATGTTTAATTAAATGAAAATTGGGAAGAAAATTAGGGGTCTCTTCTATTTGCTGTGTGTAAAATATGAATTGTTTTTTCTAGGCATTTTAAATTGTATCTGACATCAAGTACTGAGCGCTTTTCACAAAATTTCAAAGTTGTGGTGGTGGATGGTGAAGCAGAAAGCGAGTATGCAGTGAAATGGCAGGACTTCTTCAGCGGCCATGTAGTCGGTAAGTGTGCAGGCGCAACCCTTTGGTGGGTCTTCAGCTCCAAGTCCAAGGCTATTGCTGAGTCTTTGTTGGTGAGTGGACAGGGAGTGGCACTCGAGTGCTGTGCTGTTGTGGTTGCAGTTGAACTGCACAAACCTGGAAGTGACGACATTCTAACAGGAGGCTGTGGGCACCCTTTGGCATGCTGTACTTGAAGGCTGGCTTGATGGTTAAAATCCATTTCCTCTATGACAATAAACATTTATTCATCTCTTATCTGCAAGCACTGGCTATAGGCCTGTTACAGATTTTAACCAGGGACGGTAGATGATAATTGGAATTTACTGTATGATCTAGTATATATTTTTTTGAGAAAATGTATCCAAAAAAGCAGTTACAGCTTGCTTTTAGAAATTTGTCTGCAACAAAAAATCGGATTGAAGTCTCCAAATAATACAGTTTAATGCCTATATATTCTAAATCATGCTTTTCTTACCCAGATTTGGGGAAGGTTACTCCCAAGGAAGGTGGGCAGTGTTGTAGCTTTTCACTTCCTCACCTCCGGGCTGTGCTTGTAATCACATCTCTGCACATCAGTGCCTTTGTTGGCGAACTGGGGACCTAGGCCATTTCCAGTCTGAGGAAGCTCTTGGTGGATCTTCCTTGTCAGTAGCATATTACATAGTTTATTTTTTAATACAGTTTTTTTTTTTTTTTTTTTTTTTTTAATTGATGAAAAGTGTTTTTTGTTGTCTCAGGTGAGCCTGACTCTAGGGTCCTGGCCCATATAGGAGATGATGATGTTACAATAAGGATAAACACAGATGGGGCAGAGTATAACATAGAGGTAAGTGCATCTGTGCAGTATGTTTTCCAGTGGCTTAGCCGCAGCTTAGATCTGTTTTTTTCTTTTTTTTTTTCTTTTCTTCTTTTGAGACAGGGTCTTACTCTAGTTCAGGCTAGCCTGGAACTTGCTATATACTCTGGGCTGGCCTGAAGTCAAAATCCTCAGCTCAGCCTACTGGGTGCTAGGATAACAGGTGTGTACTACCACTTTTGGCTTCTTTTCTGGTTCTAAAAAAATCTCAGTTTAAGATGGCAAAAGTGAAACTTAAACTTACTTCTTTTCTCTTTGTATTTAAGAATTTATTCAACCAGGAAAATAGATGACTTTGAAAAATAAGGATAGTACTTTTTGTTTAATCTCTAAGAAGCCCATAAGATGCATTCCTTTTTTTTTTTTTTGCAATAGTGTCTTGCTTTGTAGTTCAGGTGGCCCTTGAGTTCACTATGTAGTCCAGGCTGGCCTTGAACTTGGGGCAAACCTCATGCCTCAGCCTCCTGAGTACTGGGATTACAGGTGTGTGCCACCACATCTATTCTATTTTTTTTTAAAGGTGGCAAAATTTCACATTTATTAAAGGTAGAAAAACACAGTGTAAGGGAAAAATGGGCTCTGCAGAGCAAATTTGGGTAGAATTAAAAGGGTGGAAAAATAAAAATACACCTTACAGTGTAGGGTGGGGTGTCGTTAGGCAGTGCAGTATCTGCATTCTGCATTTCTAAAAGCCCCAGCTGAGAGAGGCACATGTGGAAGGAAGGTGGATGGATAGATAGATGGGTAGGTGGATAATCTATCAGTTGCTAGCGTAATGCCATGTCTGCTGTTGCTTTTTTTTCCTAAATCACTTATAAATATCATGACACTTCACCTCTTAATATTTAAGTGTTGTATCCTAAAAATAAAGCCATTTTCCTACATATAATAAAAGTAATACTTGAGAAAGTGAAAATAATTCGACAGTTTTAGCTAATAACCAATCCTCAGTCAAATTTTCAGTCATCTTCAAAATCTCCTTTACAGATTTATTTGTTTGTTTGGCTTTCTAATCCAGGATCCAATGAAGCCGCTTGGCTTTTATTGAATTATTCATCAAGTGATTTTTTTTCCCCCAGGAACTTAGTAGTAGTGGTAGTAATAGGATTAGCTTCCCCTAGTGTGGTGGCTGCCTTGCATTTGAAATCTCAGCATGTAACTGGGGGGTCAAGGTCGATGCTAATGTACCTTACCTCCGAGGGAAGTCTGGCATACAGGAGATCTTGTCCAGGCTACAATGGGCAAAGGTACAGTTGGAACCTGGGTGTCTGTGAGCCCAAACCCTACTGTCTCTGTGCCAGCCTGGAGGGTACCAGGAAACTTTTCATGTAAATTTTGTAGTATTTATCCAAAAGGGAAAAAACTGCCTTCTCCACTCTATAGGCCCAGTGAGCTTTACTAGGTGTGGAAGAACCCAATTCCTGCAGCTCAGAGAGTCTCATTGTTTCTTAATCTGCTCATGTGGATTCAGAAAGAAGATAACACACAGGGTGCCTGAGTGTGATGGGGTAGAAGTAGTACATGTGCAGTAGGAATTGTGCTTTGGACTTTGGTCAACTTCCAGGCTACTGTAGGTGCAGCCAGCCTTAGCCCTGGTCAGTCTTTATTTTTATTCTGAGACAGGGTGTTACTGAGTTGCTTGGGCTGGGCTTGAACCTGGGATCCCCCTGCCTCACCCTTCTGATCAGCTGAGATTATGTGCAGTACTGTACTCGGCCTTGTCTAGTTTTTATTGCAGTGTCATAGTGCCAGTATGCAGTAGGCATTATATAAATGTTTTTAAATGATTTCATGGAAAAAGGCATTTTTTCTCTTCTGACTATTCTAAAAGATTTCTTCATTCCAAGTGATGCTTTTTTCATATATGGATAAAATCACAGTATGTCATCTATGAATTAATTTACCAGCGTAGAAAACCCCTTATGATAAAAATGGAAATAATTTATTTTGGATAAAATATCTCATCATTTTACGGAACGAGAAATGAGTTGTTTAAGGTTAAGCAGGACGTCATAAGGACTTTTTAGGAGTTCTTTTTTTCCATCTCATCATACGTATTTTATGTTTTAGCCACTTTGGAGATTTGTCAATGATACTAAAGACAAAAGAATGCTAGCGTACAGATCTGAAGACATCAAGAATGTTTCACGCTTGCAGTCTCCCAAAGTGTGTGGTTATGTAAAAGTGGATGACGGGGAGTTGATTCCAAAAGGGCTGATAGACACAGACCCTCCTGAAGGTGAGTTGTGAGAGCTGAATTTCTAGTAAAGGACAACATATTACAGCTGACTTCAGTGGGAGTGGTTGTTAATTGGTTAAAAAAAAAGTGATTATTAAGTAACAATAATATTTGGTTTGAAAAGTTTTGTTCCAGAAATTTTTGATTATAATGTAAGAGTTTGTATTAAGCACTAATAAAATAATGGGAGCAGTAATAATTGGATTTAAGAAGATACTGGGAAAATTGAACGATCTGAGGGAAAATTTTTCACTAGCAGGTATTTAGAAATGTCAGAGTAATACTGTCAATCTGTCTTTAAAGCTTATAAGGAATAATTTGAGTAGTAAGAGAGCAGTATTTAGAGTCATTTAGAGAATAGCTATTTTGGAGAGCTGGCCTACTGTTACTATTTTTAAATTTGTTTTTAGGGAGCCAGGATGGCACTGTGTTCAAGGCAGACCTTGAACTCCTGGACTCAGGAGATCCTCCTGCCTCAGAAGATTCTCAGTCTTCTGAGTAGCTGGGACCAGGGGTGTGTGCCACCTTGCTTGGCTTCCACTGTCCTCATTCTTGAAGACCTCAGAAAGTACTACTAGCATAGATGAATAAATTGATAAACAGTTTTCATTTTTCACTTAATGAGAAAGCTTGCTGGGCTCAGGCATGGATCACTGGTCTGGCAGGGCTAAGCCCCAGATTTGATCTCCAGCACTGATGACAGTGGAAGATGCCGAGTAACACTGAGCAGTTGTTCCATTTCTGTTCGTTACAGACATAGGTTTGTCAGTGTGAGCACAGCTCCACAGAGAAGTGTATGGTTGGCTCTGCTGGTGCTGCTGCTGCTTGGTCGCATCCCCAGGCCGGCATCAGAGCTGGCTGCCAGCCTGGGGTGAGTGAGTGTAGCTCTGCCTTTCCACACAGATGTCTGGGTGGTTGTGTGCGCATCTGCCGCTTCTGCAATGACATGTCTGCCCGAGGAGCACGTGTGCCCTGCTATGTGGAAGGCAGGGTGCCTCCGCATCCCACGGCTGCCAGTCTTCATGCCGTTACTTTGGCTTTTACTGTTTCTCTCATTAATTTATAGACTTCTAGAAGTAAGTGACTGATGGTATCATAGCCAAGTAACAGTTACTTTATTTTGTTAAGTACTTTTTTCTGGTTCTTTTTTGTAGTTCTGGGAATAGAGCCCAGGGCCTCACTTACTAGGCAAGTACTGTACCACTGAGTGACGTCCTCAGACCCCTTGGTTTGAGCTCTACAATGTTTTCTTCTTTTTTGTGGTGTTGAGGATTGAACCTAGGGTTTCGTGTGTGCTCTCTAGTCTGGCGCTGTACCACTGAGCCACACTCCAGCCCCATCTGCTGTGAGAGAGGGTCGTGGTATGCTGCCTCAAAGTTCATCATCCTGGGTCAGCCACCCGCTGTGCCCTGCAGATTATCTTCTTTCAAGATAGCTGTTGAGGATACTAAACTCAAGTAATGTTTGTTTCAGAACTCTACTAGATGTAAAGTGTTACTATAAAAAACCCTCCTTGTTTTGATGAATTTTGATTTAATAGTGCGTACAAATTCATATTAGAGTTTGTCCATCGGGTGAAGAGAAGAGCTGACCCAAATCCCATGAAGAACACATGCAAACTCCTGGTGGTTGCAGATCATCGCTTCTACAAGTACATGGGCCGAGGGGAGGAGAGCACCACGACCAATTACCTGGTGAGCATCTGGGAAGGGATGGGGGCTGGTGCCCTGAGGTCCGCGCTTGGTGCACTTCAGTGGCCTCGTGCCTAAGACCCCGGGGCTCCTCCATCTCCACGGCCACATGGTGACGATATTCATGGGTCAGGGAAGCCTTATTTCACTGTGGAACTAACATTTCCTACGGAATATGATTTTTATGTTAGATTTGGGGACGTTCATAATGTAGTCCTTTGTTTATGCAAATGAACTCTGCAAAAGCATCAGTTTATAGGAACCATGAACCTGCAGTATCAGAGGTGTAGATTTATATGAACCTGTGTGCACTTTTGTATGTTTATTTATATATATATATATATATATGTATATAGTCAGTTTTTTTTGTTTTTGATGCTGGGAATTGAACTCATGACCTTGCGCCTGCCAGGTAGGCGCTGTGCCGCTGAGCTGTATCCCCAGCCCAAGAAGGTCAGTTTTGTCCATGTCCTGTTAAAGAGCTGATCATAAGAGTTTGCGTGACCATGGCCATACTTGGAGAACTCCAGGGTAGAGAGGGAGAGATTAGAGAAGTGTGGACAGTCGGCTGCTTTTTGGGGGTGCTGGGGGTCAAGTCCAGACCTCATTGTTCCCGGCACGCACCCTTGCCCGGAGCTGGGCCCCAGCCCAACACCAGTGTTCTGGCATTAACGGTTACAGTTTCTCAAGTCAAGGGAGTCATTTTTCATCAACATTTTTTGCTAGTATGACCTCATTTGTCATGAGAACTTGGCGCTGAGCAAAATGTTGTTACTGAGGGAATGAAACAGAAAGCAGCTATTGAGGCAGGCAGCCTGGGGCGGGAGAGTGCCTTTCTGTGGCCGCCTCCTGTTCTTCCCGTCCTTCCTTGAGTACCCCTTCAGCCTGCCTCCCTCCCGCCGGGTTGAGGAGTGAATTTATTGTGAGCATAGTGTGAGTCTTTGTGACCCTTGTTCCTAAGCAAGAGGGATTCTTTCTTGAAAAAGCATCTCAGTGTGGGCTTGTATAAGGGTTTTTTTTTTTTCCTTATTTTGCTTCTTTGTTCATTACACCATGAATATGGGGAAAATTCAGTTTCTTACAGTTAATTATGAGCAAAGAAGAATTTTTTTTTTTTTTTTTTTTGAGATAGGGTCTCACTCACTACCTGGTTCAGGCTGGCCTTGAACTCGTGACAATCCTCCTGTCTCAGCCTCCCAAGTGCTGGTATTACAAGTGCTGCCGCGCCTGGCTTCAGCATTTTTTTTTTCCTTTTTTAATTTTTAAACCGAGTTTTGAACAGTAGAATATGCTGTTTGAAGAGTAGAGAGGTAATTAGCATTTTGTTCTTTCCATGCTGGAACTCAGTGGCCTTGTCCCCCATCCTTCCAGTCGAAGAACAGAGGAGGAGTGGCACAGTGAGCCTCATTCTGTGGCCCCTCTTGCCTGTCCTCAGTGCCAGGCTGTGGCATGAGCCTGGAAACGGGGCTAGTGTTAACTGTCACCACCCTGTACCTGTCCCAGGAAGGCACTGAGGAGCGCGCCAGGAGATAGAGTGAAGACAGAACACTCCTTAGGATATTTTTAGGTAAATTGACTTACTTTTAAATTTTACTTGCATAGCTGACTGGAATGGCCTTTTTAAAAATCCCAACTACTTGAATTTTGGTTCCATATGCAGTTGACTACCTGAAATTTTGGGTAAGCTGTACCATTATTTTATTCTGGTTGCACTAGAAGATTGGAACTAGGAGTAATTTCCTTGGTAGAACCATCAGTGATGAAGATGAATGTCTTAAGGGAAGTTCTTGTAATTAGTAGAAACTTGAAATGGCATTTTCTTTTAACAGAATGTTTATCTCTGTAGATTTTATATTACATGTGGGTGGTATATAATGTTTTGTTTTATACACACAGATAGAGCTAATTGACAGAGTTGATGACATCTATCGGAATACTTCGTGGGATAATGCAGGTTTTAAAGGTTACGGAATACAGATAGAGCAGGTATTTATCAAGAAATACGGTCTTATGTTACTTGGTGAAGTTATATGACTTCAAGCATTTACCTTTGACATTGAGAATAAATAAAAATTCTCAAACGGCAGTGATTGTTCTCTGGTAAAGTGGGCGATGTTTTTTAATTTACTTAATTTTACATTTATGAAGTTTTCTAACCTGAACCTTGTTTTAAGCAGAAAGCGCTGTAAGGCTGCTCTATGGCCTGCATATCACCTGTAGTGTTTTTCTTCTTTCAGATTATATACTTCAGTCTTCATTAAAATCCTTTGAGGTTGGGGGATGTGGCTTAGTGGTAGAGTGTTTGCCTGACATTCATAAGATCCTGGGTTTGGTCCCTAGCACCAAAAAACAAAAACAAAGAAGTTCTAGCTCATTGTTGGATCATTACTAAGAAAATTTACTCAAAAATACTGCATAGGACATTTGTATGTACAGAACCACTAGAACTTTTTCTAAATATCTCCTGATTGCACGTTAATGTGAGCTATTAATGTTATGTCGAGCAATGTTGTAATATTATTGTTAAGCCTAACTAAAGACACTGTTCTAAAATTGAGAATTGCTTTGGACAGACAGACATTTTGATATGTAAAGCACTGTATTATGTGAATTATATCTTAATTTTCCAGACTCTTTGTACTGTAAATCATGTTCTTATAGGTTATGTAGCATAGAATTTAAGATTAGGAAAAGAATTTTTTTCCTGCCAGGCTAGGTGGCACATGTTTATAATTCAGTACTTGGAAGGCTGACATAGGAGGATCGACGAGAGTTCAAGGCCTGCCTAGGCTGTATAGTGAGTTTCAGGACCAGCCTAAACTGCATAGCAAGACCCTGTCTCAAAAAAAAACCACAAAAAGACCCCACTCCACAATCTTTTGAAGTCATGTACCATGTAATAAGTGTTAAACTTTGATAGTACTGAAGACTAAGAGAATGATTTTTCCCTTTTCCGTTCTTTTTCTGTTTGTATTTTCTTTAAGTTACTATTTGAATAGGTAATACATACACAGTAGAAAACCAGTGACAAGTAAGTTCCTACCATTCTGTCTGTTGTCAAACCAGGTCCTTTTTCCAGGGACATCTACGTCCCTAGTTCCATGTGTCTCTTTCCAGCGGTTGTGTGTGTGTGTGTGTGTGTGTGTGTGTGTGTGTGTGTGAGTGTGAGAGAGAGAGAGAGGGAGAGACTGTGTTGGACACAGTGGCCGTTGCTGTATTCTTTGTACTGTTTTCATTTCACAGTACGTTGGTGATTCTTCCATGTTGGTACATACATAAAAAGTGGCCATGTGTGTGAAACAGCTACATGAGGTTCAGGGGTTCAGCGGGGTGGTACATACAGGTCCCTGGGGACTTGGAAACAGTTGAACATACGAATAATGTAAAAGATAAACACATCACCTTGTTTAACCCATAAAAGATGGATCAGAGGATGGGTGGTGTCAAGACAATTCAGAGATGTCTGGTCACTCATCTCTGAATTGTCTTGACACCACCCAGCCCTGCTCAGAGCCCCTCAGAAAGCTCACCTGTGGTGGCCGTGTAGAGGGGGCTGGGGCCTGTGTACAGCTGGCTAGGGAGCAGGATCGCCTGCCTAGCCCAGTGCGCCCTCTGTCTTTCTCAGACCCTTTGCTTGTCTTTTTAGCAGGGCAGGTTTGTATAAAGTAACCTGGAATGTAGCTACAAGAAGCAGCCCCCTTTCCTTTATAACCTTTCATCCCTGTGGTAGCCAAGCAATGGACATCTTAGTAGTTTTTAGAACTACTAACTATTGGCTTTAATTGTAATAAATATTTAAGCCTCACACAACCCCAGTAGTAGTACCCTAATGTAGAGGATACGAAAATTTAGTACATATATAACTAATTCATCAACATGTTTCTCATACTGTATGTGTTTCAGTTTGTTTTAAACACTGAATATTACAAATGAAATATTACAGACTTATAGTTCTGCAGTACTCTTTCTAGAATGGTAAATGGTCTTTTTTGGACAGATTAAGTATTATTTGGTCTTACAGCCTTTCTCGGAAATGTTCTCAGTGTGTTGTCTCTTTAAGTACAGATTCGCATTCTCAAGTCTCCGCACGAGGTCAGACCTGGTGAAAGGCACTATAACATGGCCAAGAGTTTCCCGAGTGAAGAGAAGGATGCGTGGGATGTGAAGACGCTGCTGGAGGTGGGTCTGGTCCGGCAGGGGTGATTTCTGACGCGTGGATCCTGTCTGCAGTGATGTGGGCCGGGTTGGAGGAGGTGGTAGGAAACCAGGAGTAATCCCCTGCTGGCCCCAGTGACCTGTCCCCTGTGGGGGACAGCCATCAAGGGGCCGAAAAAGCAAAAAGCAAACGCCATAAAGCAGGATCTCTGAGCATCTGGGGAGGCCGGGCCATCTGGAAAGTGACACCCTGTGTGTAGATTGCTTACACGTGGTGCTGCTCGCACCGGCCTCAAGCGTTCATATTGAACACTGTGCACGTGCGTGGACTTGGCCTCTACAGGAATTCTGAGTTGCTGTTTTCATCCTGGTGATCATTTTCAACAAACACTGTGTGCCATGCCTGCCTTGTCTGAGGGTGCTGCTGCATGAACCTGTTGTCCTGGATTTACCATCACAGTGGCTTTGTGTACCTCCTGGGCGGTGGCGCTGTGTATCTTTTTTTTTTTTATCTTTTAATGCACTGGTCAGTGCATTCACTTTATCACACATTAGCAGCTAGGGGCATGTTTCTTATCCCATTGTTTCCATGGGTTGGTGCACGGGTTGGTGGTTCATCTGGATTCTCTGCTAGGTTCTCCTCAGGCCAGAACCAAGCTTTCCAAGCTCACCTGGCATTGAAGGCTGTTAGCACTTCTGTGTCCTCATTGAGTCACATGTGTGTTGGGTCTGATCTGACCTGTCAGCCCCTGCCTGTCTGGAGGCAGAAGTCCAGAACTGAGGTGTTATTGAAGCTGGTTTCTCCTGAGGCCCCTCCGCCTTGGCGTCGCTTCCCTGTGTCCTTCGTGGGTCTTCCCTTGGTGTGTGTCTAGTCCTTGTCTTCTCCCTGGAGGGACTTGGGGATGAAGGCCCACCCCATGACCTTATTTTAGCTTTATCTGCTCTGTAAAGATTCTGTCTCCAAATATGCTTGACTTTGGAGTTATAGGGGGTTAGGACTTCACTCTGGATTCTGGCTGTTGAAACAACCCATCCCTGGTTAGTCACACCCTAGTAATGGTGGAAGCTCAGGACAGCTGAGTCCCAACCCTCTGCATGCTCCACCTCGAGCAGTCTGCGTCTGGCAGGACCCAAGGGAGCAGACTTGTTGCTGTCCCCTTTGGCCTTTTTGAGTGCTCCTGGATGCCACCTCATTCCCACAGAGCTGCCAGTGTCCCTCAGTGGCTGTCTTCACTCTGCAGACGACTCTCAACCTCACGTTTCATTTTTTTATTATTGGCTTTTTGAAATAGGGTCTCACTATGTAGTTCAGGCTGGCTTTAACTCATTGTGTAGCCCAGGGTGACCTTGAACTTGTGGCCTCCTGAGTGCTGGGATTATAGCGGTGCACTACCATGCCTGACTGACGACTGACTTCTCATTTTAAGTGTTTTCAAAAGAGTTAAGTGTTTAAGTGTTTTCAAGAGTTTTTGCTGGTTTTGGTGCTGGGGATTGAATTGAGAACCATTATCCTGCCCTGCACCCTCTCCCCGTCCACACCGTTTCCTTGGTCATGTGGCTGCTGCACTCCCTTTTGGCAGGTTTGCATACACACAACATATTTTAATTACTTTTACCCTTGCTCCCCTTCCACGCTGGCCCCCATAGTCTCACTAGCCTGGTGATAGTTTTTAATGTGTGTAATGTATTTTTCTCGTATCTATTCCTCCATCTCTGCCCTTGATTAAACTTTTTATTTTGAGATGGGTTTTCAATAGGTCGCTAACTTGTCCAGGCTGGGCTTGAACTTAGAGTCCTCCTGTTACAGCCTCCCAGAATGTGCCACCCAGCCACACTTAAAATCAGGATTTTTGAACTGGAGTCTGTGAGTTTATATTTAGAAATCTTCTATATTATGAATCTTAAATGAACATCCTCGCCATCCCAAATAAATGAGCAAGGAAGCTCCTCTGCAGCCACAGCACAGCCCTCCCCCACTCAGAAGCAGCCTGGCTGTCCATGCTGCCCACTGTGGAGCCAGCTCTCAGTCTGATATAGCTCCAGATCTGATCACGACTGCTTCTTGTTTTTTTAAAGCAATTTAGCTTCGATATAGCCGAGGAAGCATCAAAAGTCTGCCTGGCCCATCTTTTCACGTACCAAGATTTTGACATGGGAACGCTCGGCCTGGCCTATGTGGGTTCTCCCAGAGCAAACAGTCACGGAGGGGTCTGCCCAAAGGGTAAGCTTGCCTGAGTGCATGAGTGGGATGCCAGAATGCTGAGCAGGGTGACTTCTAGTATAATACTGTGTTTAATGAGCAATTTTTGCCTCTGTTTTCTTTTGCTTTCAGCTTATTATAGTCCAGTTGGGAAGAAAAATATCTATTTGAATAGTGGTTTGACAAGCACAAAAAATTATGGAAAAACCATCCTTACAAAGGTACGTCCTCTGGTCTTTGTTAAAAGCATAGATTTGAAGTTTATTGTATTAGAACGTCAATTATTAACCTACTTATCTAGGTATCTTTCAAAAAATTGGTATGTAATGTTCGTGATTTCTGCTGAAATAGGTGGCAGCCTCTGGTGCGTCTCTGCTTCTGTCCCTCGGCTGTGGCTGCCTTCAGGGTTACAGCTTGCCTTTGGCCACTTTTGCACTGGCGGCTTTTTGTGGACCAATTCCTGTGCCTTCCCTGAGGTGGAAATCACAGATAGACACAAACCTGCACCTGAGAGAGCCCTGGGCCTCCTGTCTGCCACAGGACCACTGCGTGGAGGACAGGGGAGCTCACATGGGCAGTGTGGGCCTTCCACTGGTCATGGTGGGGGGCAGCCTGGGGGGACCTGATGGAGGAGGCTGAGGTGGGGTTGTGGTACCCCCTGGCCCCCCATGGAGGCTGGCCCTAGTCCGGGCATACCCAGGGGCACAGGTGTGGCGGGCTGCAGGCCTCAGGGTACAGATTAGCAGTGGTGTTGGGGGAGCGGCGGTGGCTTCTCTCTGGTCTCACGTGCAAGGTGGGTGCAGTGGCAGACACTATGTAAGGTAGCTGTAGTTGCTCAGGAAGCTGAGGCAGGATTGCTTGAGGCCAGGAGGCGGAGGCCATCCTGGGCAACATAGTGAGATCCCGTTCTCACACAAGAGGTGTCAGGCACCTGCCAGATGCCCAGATGCACAATGCAGAGTGAGCTCGCTGTGCCTGTGGACTTCAGTTGATTCCAACCACGTAAAGTGGAGTAGGAAGAAATGACTATTGGCAGTCTCTGGGCGTGATGCAGCATGTCCTTCTGGTGTGACAGTCTCCTCACGGTGCTATTCATGGTGTGTTTTCCCCAGTCTTACAGGATTTTTTCTCATAAAGCAGAGAGTTAAAAATAAATTTGCTTTGAAATTTTTGAGTTATTTTTATAGTGCCAGACTGGTACAGTCTGCTATTGAATTTTTTCCAGTGTACGGTTAGAAATTACTTCTCCACATTACATCATGGGGATTTTAGTGTTTTTGCTAAAAAATTCCAAATTTCTTCCACTGCCATTTTAATATGAATGTGGAAAAGCTTCAGGACCATGACTTTGATTTGTTTTTTTTCTGGTACCGGGAATCGAACTCACGACCTTACACTTGCCAGACAGGCGCTGTGCCAATGAGCTAAATCCCCCAGCCCCCATTGACCATGACTTTGAGAAGCCAGTAATTCCAACAGTTGGAAATCTTATGTAGAAAAATGGCTTGAAAATTGCTAATTTTTCGTGTCTTATAGAAGCAGGACTCCTTTAAGTGTGTTATTCTTTTATTCATATAAATACCAAAAAAACATTAACTTTTCTAGCTACATTCATTATTATGTTCAGATAGGAGTCTTCTGGTGATGTGATCAAAGTACAGCTTACTGCTGGATTCTTGAACTAAACCCTCAGTCATTAGCACTGTTTTTAACCAGATGCAGTCCCCTCACTGGGGTAACAGAACATTGCTTGCAGCCTTAGTTTTGCTTCCTCCCCTTTTGGGTTTTTCCTTCTGCCGAGAGGCTTCTGGCTCTGACAGGCTTCTGGCTCTGACAGCCGTGTGGAGGTGGGAGCCCCCGTTACCAGGTTTCTCGGCACTGCACCACCTGGGGTTGAAGCAGCCAGGGCGGTTTCGTGAATGCCTCTAGTACATCTTTTATGTTGTATTTGCTTCCACTGATGTAAATTAATCCATGTAAGGACTTTATAGTAGTAGTAAGTGGACTTCTACCTGTTGTGCTTAATTTTGTCATGGTAGATGAAGTCGTGGTCCAGTTGTGCTCTTGTTCTCTGGTTAAAGAGCCCAGTGGGCCACAGTTGCTGATGGTTAATGTTCTTTCCACATGAACCTAAGGAAGCAGACCTGGTCACCACTCATGAACTGGGGCACAACTTTGGAGCAGAACACGATCCAGACGGCCTACCTGAATGCGCACCGACTGAGGACCAGGGTGGAAAATATGTGATGTACCCCATCGCCGTGAGTGGCGACCACGAGAACAACAAGGTGTGCACGTGGAGCTTCGCACAGGGGTGGGGGGTGGAGGGGAGCTAGTGCAGGAAGTGTTCCTCTGCTGGGTTTTCCCAGGCTGAAGTGCACGGGCTGGAGGAACACAAGTTGGTTGTATATTTTGGAGTGCGGCATGGTCCATCCAAACCTGGCTAGAGGTCTCACTTGACTTTGGGTATTTTGAGACAGGGTCTCACTATGTATTCCAGGCTGTCCTTGAATTCATTCTCGTGGTGTAGTCCACCCTGGCCTTAAACTTGAACTCACGGTGATCCCTTCTGCCTTAGCCACCCCCTAGTGCTGAGATTACAGATGTGCACCCCCATGCCTGACTCATTTAGATTGTTTATGAAGGTTAATCACATTAAATTTGGCCTCAAAACTTACTACTGATAGTAAGGCTTGGAGTTTCAGGTTTCAGGGTATGCTGGGCTAGGATTTGTTAAAAATTACCTGTTGTTTCATTTATAATTTGCTACTTGTATTAACTGTGCAGCACTTCATAGACTACATTTTCATTAACTTCTGGAATAAAACATACAGGGTTTGCCAGATTCTAAGCCTTGGATGGGAAAGACCCTCTGTCGGCCTTGTGCACAGAATGAGATGCAGCCGGGTCCCTCCGTTAGTGCCAGGGCCTCTGGGTTCTCCATGTGCCATGCTGTGGTGTGTGTGTAGAGCCTATGCCCAGCCTGCTCCATGTTTGACATCGCTGGACGACGGTGCTGCCGCCTGGCACAGTGTGCTCGGTAGCACCGTGGAGAACCCCCTGCGCACACTCAGTGCAGGCACATTTTCCCCACAAGTGTTCAGTCCCTGGTTATTTGAATTCGTGGGTGCAGAACCCCCAGAGGAGAGAAGTCTTAGGACTGTTCATGCCAAGATGTTGAGCTATGTCCAGTGTTGACAGGTCTCGGCCACAGGCCGGGCTGCCTGCAGGTATGGGAGCGGAGGCCACTAAGGGGCTTTCTGACCTCACCTGGTTCCTGTCAGTGCCCGTCACTTTGAGTGTCACACCTCCTTTTATTGAGCTGCCTTGTGACCATAATCTCTTGCTCTCTTGCATTGCATAGCACATTGCAGTTTTCCTCTGCTTGACCCCTGGTGGGTAGTAGACTTTTCCTGTCTCTTTGTCCTCCTCTCCCACGATGTCCGGCATGGTATGTCCTGTGATTCTCAAATTTCCTCCGTCGGCAGGTCTGTGCGGGCCGATGTGTGCTGGGTAAGGGACACTCCGCAGGTGGAAAGGATTCTGGGGCGCTCTGGTCCAGCGGTAGCCGCCAGCTGTATGTGGCCGTGCACAGTTGAAACACTGGCCAGAGACCAGGACCTGGAGTGTAGCTTCCATTTTATTTAAATTGAGTAGCGCATGCTTGTGTTCGGAGGTGGAAGTAGGCATTCACTGTCAAAGGACCTCGCTAGGAGGATGGACGTGTGCTAAAGCTGATTTGTAGTGTTCTCTGCTGCTAAAGTTGCTGGTGATCACCCACATGTACCCCTGAACCACTGCAGGGACGAGGCAAGCTCTGCAAGCTGCAGGCGGGACCTGGTGCGCTTTGAGGGCGGCGTGGAGCCCGTGCGGTAGCTGGCCCTTGTGGGAGCTGGCGCCAGCACGTGCATTTGTGCCATTCTGCCTCCTGTGCGCAGGGACATCTTGCCGTATTGTAGCATAAGTGTGTGACCAGAATGAATTGGTGATTGCTGTGTTGGATGCGGCCTGTGCTGCCGGGTGCTCTTGCTTCTCATTCTTGGGACAGGTCAGCATGTGGGGGAAGGCCGCAGCCTGGGGGTGCTGCGCTTTGCTGCCCTTTTGGGTCACATATTCTTCCTAGTGGAAGTCTTCAGTGGGCTGTAAAGGCCCGTTGGGTCTTGCTGATCCTCGAGGCCAGCAGAGCTGGTTTTCTATGGAGGTGCTGGGCTTTCGCAGTGAAGAAGTTTTCCACCAGGTGGACTGGCAGAGCTGTTGAGGGGTGGGAGTGAGGGTGGAATGGGTGACTGTAATGGAAGGAACACAGTGTTGAGGGTTTGTCATCCCCAAGGTAGGTTGCGGAAGGAACAGGAGGATGTGTGTAAGGATGCAAGCAGAAGGGGAGGTGTGAGGGGAGGGAAGGAAGAGCGCCTGTCTGTTGACCGGATCTCCCGTGCTCAGAAGCGTGCGGTGGCACTGAGTAAGTGCCCCCGGAGTCCACCTGCCGAGGCCAGACTGGGGAAGGTGGACCCTTCCATGTCTTTACTGGGAAGAAGCAGACCGGAAACTTCTGGCCAAGGCCAGCGTGCATGTGTGTGTAGCGTGAGGCCTGTGTAAAAGGGGTCCCTGTGCTGGGAGCAGCCACGTCCTCTGCTCTCAGTGCCACTGCACTGTCGCCTGGGCCAGGGAGATCCTGCCCCAAGAGAAGATGGCTCTGCCTTCCCTGGTCTCGTCCCCTTTGCTGACAATGTGGGTGGTCTGGAAAAGGGATGCAGCTGGAGAGCGGCTGAGGTCAGAAGGCCGTTCCGACCCTGCATTGGGAAGCTGGGGCCACAGTCACTATTGAAAAAACCTAGTGAACTCAGAGTGCCATAGACCTATGGGAACATTTAGTGACAATTTGGGATTTAAATGGGCTGCAAGTAATATGGTGCCTCTCGCTGAGCTTTGACACTTAAAATGTGCATCGTGTATGAGCCAGCGAGCAGGGTGCGGTGCACCTTCTGCCTGCGATCCCGAACTCAGGGGCGGCTGCTCGAGGGTCACAAGTTCAAGCCCAACCCCTGTGACTTAGCAACTCGGTGAGAGCCTGTCTCAGAATGAGCGGATGGGAATGAATGAAGGATGGGGATGGAGGGGCTCAGGCCCCAGAGCCCCACACATGCCGGGGCAGCCGGAAGAGCCACTGGTGTTCCTGGGCTGTCCTGTGCAGCAGGCGGCAGGCAGGCGGACCTGAGTCTGGGGTGTTGTGGGTGCTCTGTGCTCTAGACGGCCCATCCCAGCAGAGAAGTTGTGCTCCCAGTACCGGCGCCACTTGTCTCCTTCCTTGGGGTCACAGCAGCTGGTTAATGTCCTGCAGAGAGGTCCTTGATTCCGTATTGGTGGCCTTTGCTGGTGACATGGCCACCCTGATGCAGCTGTTGGTGGCTTTTACATTAGAAACTGGGCCTAAGCCAGAGGTGCAGCATATGTGGGAGTAAATAGTGCCTTCTGAGGCTCATGGCCTTTTTCTCTCCAGATGTTTTCTAACTGTAGTAAGCAGTCCATCTACAAGACCATCGAGAGCAAGGCCCAGGAGTGCTTCCAGGAGCGCAGCAACAAGGTGTGCGGCAACTCCCGGGTGGACGCAGGGGAGGAGTGTGACCCTGGAATCATGTACCTCAACAACGACAGCTGCTGCAACAGTGACTGCACGCTGAAGCCAGGTGTGCAGTGCAGGTGAGCACAGCCCAAGAGTGGGCAGGGCTGGCTTCACAGGTGTCAGGTAGCACAAGCGTGCATGTGCCATCTGGAAATCAGTTGGCATTATATATAAGCCACTTGGGCCTGGCGTCGGCCCCAGTGGTGCCTGTCTTGGTGGGGTGCTTGTTCAGCATGTGCCTACCCTAGTTCAGTCCCCATGAAGGTCCCTGACCTTGCGCCTTACCTGACTTGGTGTCCACACAGTTGAAAGAATCCTCCTTAAAGGAAATAGACATGAAAGACAAGTAAGGTGACTTTACAAGGCCGCCGACACAGGAGGATCATTGTGAGCTCAAGGCCAGCCTGAACAGACCCTGTCTCAAAAATAGATAGATAGACAGACAGACAGACAGACAGACAGACGCCTCCTTTACAAGAGCAGTCCTGGGCCGCGATGGTGGCTGTGATATGCATCTCTGCGTTGGAACTGTGCTGCAGAGTGGGCAGAGGAAGGTGACAGGCTGGGCGGTGCCTTCATGTGTGCATCCACACCCCACACGCAGCGCTCTCAGGAGGGCAGCGGTGGAGACAGCTTCACAGCGTAGAGCAGCACTGCTTCCTGCCCTTTCGCTGTCTGCCTGGCAGGCCCCTGCTGGCTTTCTGCCTCCCTTCCTTTCATTTTTTGGGTTTTTTAAAAAAATACTAGTACGTAATTGTCATACAGTGGCACCTTGGTTCATGAGTGTTTCTTTTTGGCAAACAATTCAGTTCACAAACAGAAGCATTTGGCAAAGTTGTTTTTGCTTGAGAACTCTGCGCCAGGAGACAGGCAGGACTGCGGCCATTTTTCCTCATGGGCGCAGCGTGGCCTGTCCTCTAGACAGCAGGACAGACGACACCGGGAGCTGTGCACCGTGCTCGCCTACAGTCGGGTACTCGCCTGCAGCCGGGTACTCGCATCCGTGCAGAACGCATCTTCCTTCTCCTGTCCCCCCACCCCCGCTTACAGAAGATTTGTTTCCATTCTGTTTCCGAAATCCTTTTCCCTCTTCCTTGTTCCCTTCCCATTTGAACAAGCTCTTCCTGCTTCCCAGCATCTTACCTCCATTTTGCTCCTTGTTTACCCTCAGAGTTTTTCACACAAGAGAAACAAGGTGATACTTACACTTGTGTGTCTTATTCCACTTAAAATAATAGTCTTGAGGTGAGTCAGTTTACATTTATTTTAGTTTTTTGCAGACAGTGCCTCACCATGTAATACGGCTGGCCTCGAACTCACTGTGTAGCCCAGGCTGGCCTTAAACTCAGCAGTCCTCCTGCTTCAGCCTTCCAAGTGCTGGGATTTCAGGGGTTTGCCATGATGCCTGGCTATTTTCCCCTTTTAAATAATGCAAACCAAGGATGCCATGATTCCGTGAAGATGACCACGTGTATAGTGTGAGCTGGGTGTCTCCTCCTCCACATTAGGAAGAGGCAGATGCAGCCGTGGCTGTCTGAAGCTGTGGCCCTGGCGACACAGCCGGGGTCCCATGTGATTGTCAGGTCTCTGTAACGTGCCCGGGTGTGGCGTGACGCTGTCCTTTTATGATGAACTGTCCATGTCTGCACCTCCACAGTGACAGAAACAGTCCGTGCTGTAAGAACTGCCAGTTCGAGACGGCCCAGAAGCGGTGCCAAGAAGCCATCAACGCGACCTGCAAGGGTGTGTCCTACTGCACAGGTACAGCTTGCTGCTGCTTGGTGCCACTCTGGGGAAAAGAGGGTTCTAGTTAGGAGAGGGTGTGCTTCACTCAGACAAGCCGGGAGTGCACGGCCCTGGGCTGCTGATGGTCTCCACCCTCAGGGAACAGCAGCGAGTGCCCCCCACCCGGCAACGCGGAGGATGACACAGTGTGCTTGGATCTGGGCAAGTGCAAGGACGGGAAGTGCATCCCGTTCTGCGAGCGTGAGCAGCAGCTGGAGTCCTGCGCGTGCAACGGTGAGGACCGTGCCGGGCGAGTGCGCACTGGGGTGACCTGCAGCCCCGCGCCAGGCTTGGTCTGAGGCTGGGGACCGGTGGGCCTCGCCCTGCTGCACACAGGGCCCGGCAGGAGCAGCGGTGCAGGAGCCCCATGATGCACAGGCGGAGAGCCCACCTGGCCCTGTTTGTCTCCTTCAGGCCTCAGGACTGCGGGGTGCACATGAATGAAGGACGGGCCTGGTGCTCCGGTCCCTGGGCTGGGAGGCAGGGGACTGAGATGGGGGATAGGTCTGGGGGCCACTGGGCTCACACGAGGGAGCACACCTAGTCGCTGTGGAGTGACTGCTGAGTGTGTGACCTAGGCTCCCAGGCCCCTGAAGAACAAGGTCTGAGATGATAACTTCCCAGACTCACCCGATAAAGGAGTAATCTGCCTGGCTCCAGCCTGAGGACAGATAGGCCTGGTCTCCAGTGTCTCTGCCAGCTCCACGGGCGCCACCCCAGCCAGGCCGGGGACAGGGAGCAGCAGGCTTACAGTGGCGCTGGGCTGGTGGGCCGCGTCAGTGTGGAGCCCTGTGGCGGGGGGGGCGGGGGGGGGCGGTCTGAGCCAAGGGTAAAGCTTTGGCTGTTCACCTGTCACTGAGACCTTTCTGAGCACTCTTGTCTTGACCTCATGGGCCCTGGGACCCCAGGGGTCACGGAGTAGGAGCACCATGTACCCCTCAGCTCACTTTGGCAGTGTGGGTTCTGGGTTTGTGCACTATGGGAGACAGAGCCCAGGCCCCTGTGTAACGAGGCAGCTGCGTCCCCACAGCTGAGACAGTGCTCCGACAGTGTGAGCTTTTTGAACTGAAGCCAGAAGCTTGCGAGCGGGGTCAGTGAGATGAGAGGGCCAGTGTGCAGTAGGGGACTGCAGCGTCAGGCTGTGCCCCGTCCCTTTCAGAAACCGACAACTCGTGCAAGGTGTGCTGCAGGGACCTTTCCGGCCGCTGTGTGCCCTACGTTGATGCTGAGCAGAAGAACTTGTTTCTGAGGAAAGGGAAGCCGTGCACAGTGGGCTTCTGTGACGTGAACGTGAGTGCCGGTGCAGAATGGCTGGGTCATGCAGGCGAAAGCGACCTGCTCTGTGCTTTTATTGGGGTTGGAGTGTGGGGCTGCTGCAGGGCAGGTGGCCAGGGCTGTAAGGCCACTGGAGCTCTGGGACGTGGCAGAGCTGCTGGCGAGGCCCCACAGTGGGTCCCAGTCCTTTGAGTTGTTCTGGGAGTGACATAGAAGCAGGTACTGCCTTGGACAGATCGCAGTCTGGACGCGTCTGAGTCAGACCCCGGCTCCTAGGACAGGCTCCTGTGCCTGAGGACGAGCGAGGCTTCACACGGGCTGCTCGGGGTGTCAGGCTGTGTCCTCCCCTGCCCACTGTGTGTGGGTGACGCGTATAGGAAAGTCCACTCACGGAGGGCTGACGGGAGGCATCGCAGACGGCCACCCGGTGTTGCAGTGCTCTTCTGTGCCCGTTCTGTTCAATAGCGCGGCTTCTGAGTGCATTTTCTTCCATTCTGCTGTTTTCAGGGCAAATGTGAGAAACGGGTCCAGGACGTGATTGAGCGGTTCTGGGACTTCATTGACCAGCTGAGCATCAATACCTTTGGTAAGTGCTTCCCACGTGGGCCGCTGGGAACTGAGCTTTGCTGGCCGACATAGGGAAGTGGCGAGGGCCTGTGTGCTCGGCCGCAGGAGACAGTGCTGGGGCCGCTTCCTCTGAGAACCAGCTTTGCAGGCTGGGTAAAAGTGCTGCTTGAAGGCCTGCCGTTCAGCTTGAAGGCATGAATTTTAGGAGGGAAAGAAATAGTCAAATGAGCATGGTTCTATAGACCATTAGTCTGAATCTTGTTCAGTGGAAAAATTATTTAAAAGTGAGGCTAAGATTTTGCAGAAGTAAGATCTAGTCTATTCAAGAGCCCATCATTCACAGAGCTCAGTCACAAAAGTACTGCTATCCAGGTAATGGGACCGTCATTTCCTTAAGTAGCTGTTGCTGCAGTAGCTTTCTTGGCGGGTGGGCATGGGCAGTCACTTCAGGAAGGGGAGTGGGCTTGGGGACCGCAGTCTGCCCCCTCCAAGGCCCCAGGGTGCTGGGCGGGGGCAGGTGTTCGCTGTACCCACCAGTGCGGGTGGGTGGAAGCTTCGAGGAGCTTTGAGGAGCACCTCGCTGTACCCGCCCCGCGCACTTGCTTGGGGCGCTCACTGTTTGGCACTGCCCACAGGCAAGTTCTTAGCAGACAACATCGTGGGGTCTGTCCTGGTTTTCTCCTTGCTGTTCTGGATTCCCTTCAGCATTCTGGTCCATTGTGTGGTAAGTCCACGCCTCTACACATTCTAACCTTTGATTACCACTGCAGGCAGCCCTGGCCCTGCAGTCTCTGGAAAAGATACAGCCTGCCCCATGACAAGGGCAGTGTGTTGACAGTGACACTGTTTGGTGTTAGCCCTGGCAGTGCAGCTGAGGGTGTCTGGTGGGGTCTTGAATGAGTCCTTAGGAAGTTCATTCCTGTAAGGACAGGAGACTGTTTTGCTTGGTGTGAGTGGCGTCTCAAGAGCACTTGAAGTTAGTGACTGCAGGGCTGGCCCCGCCCACCACACGGCCTCTCGGCATACTCCGCAGGCTGTGCCACTCCTTCCTCCTCCCCCAAGACAGGCGAGGAACTGGGAGTCGCGCTGGGCTTCGTCTCATGCACTGCAGGCATGTTGTGAATTTGAGCCCCCGCCCCCCCGTGGCACCGATCACGTGGGATTGGGGTGCAACTGCAGCTGTCAGAAGCTCCTCCAGCATGGCCATTCAGGGACCTTGGACACATTTCCTTCCCAGTGGATGTGGAGGACAGTGACACCCAGGCAGTAAGCCCAGGCCCAGTTCTAGCTTCTGCCTTGCCTGCTGCCACCTGACGGACATCAGCCACAGTTAGATGCGCAGGGACTAAGACTGCCCTCCCTCCAGCAGTTGGGTTTCCGGGAAAGCTGAGCTGTGTGGGATCCTGGTGGGGTAGTTGGAGCTGGGGGCAAGGACACAGCACTGCCCCTGAAGCTCCTGCCAGTAGCGTCTTGGTGCCCAGCCTTACTGTGGCCCACATGAGGAGAGGCCCTCTGCCTGCCCACCTCTGCATGTGGATGCCAGCTGAATGCAGTGGACCCTTAGCCTGGGGCACTCTGTCACCTCTGGTCCTTTTTCTTTGTGGGAGCGCCTGCACCAAGCTGCACCCCAGTACCTGGGCGTTGAGTCATCACCTGGGCTTGGGCTTGGGCAGTGCACTCTTGTGCGGAGTGTGTGCAGAACAAGCTGACCTCTCCCGTCATTTCCTGCAGGATAAGAAGCTGGATAAGCAGTATGAGTCTCTGTCCCTGTTTCACCCCAGCGTGAGTACACCTTGAGTCCCTCTTCGCCAGGCCTTTCCTCGGAGACCCAGTGGGAACCCAGCCGAGCCTAGGCTCGTGGGCCCTGTGGGGCACAGAGCTCCCGTCAGCCAGCTGGGAGCAGATTCCCACAGCACTTCTGAGATCTTCACCATCACAGAGCTTGCTCAGTTTGAGCTCCTGTGGGTCCCGGCCCACTTCTGGGTTGCACGGGCTGCGCTCCCGCTTGGCTCAGCGTGGGGCTGCTTGAGGGGTGAGACTGGAGCTCAGGGATCTCAGCTCCATCTTCCTTTGTCTCTGCCCTCACAGAACGTGGAAATGCTGAGCAGCATGGATTCAGCGTCCGTGCGCATCGTCAAGCCCTTCCCTGCGCCGCAGACCCCGGGCCGCCTGCAGCTACTGCCACCAGGCCCTGCAGTGCCGCCGGTGTCTGCAGCCCCAAAGCTGGAGCACCAGAGGATGGACACCATCCAGGAAGACCCTAGCACAGACTCGCACGCCGACGAGGATGCCCCAGACAAGGACCCCTTCCCCACGGGCAGCACAGCCGCCAAGTCCTTTGAGGACCTCACAGACCACCCAGCCACCCGGAGCGAGAAGGCCGCGTCGTTCAGGCTGCAGCGGCAGAGCCGCGTGGACAGCAAAGAGACGGAGTGCTAGTGCCGGTCCAGCTGCTGAGCTGTGCTTCACAGCTGACCTGAAAGCACAGCACCCACCTTGGCAGGGCTACGCGGGCAGGATGCAGCTCACGATGCAGCCACGCCGTCACTCCTGTTGCTTTGAAGAGGTGAGGGGCTCTGGCTTGCGCAGGGCCGTCAGGTTCTTTTCAGCAAGCTGTGGCGCGGAGAATGCAGGTCAGGGTCAGCACATGCGGTTTAGTAAACGTGACCCTTCTACTGATGACAGCACCGGGCGATACTTGTGATCGTGGGCATTTAGCAGTTATCCTGGAGGACAACTGGAACTTTGTCTTCAAGGAGAGGAAAAGAGATAAACCTGGTGATTCATTACCACCGCACTGGTGTTACCCGGAGCTTTGCGGCAGCCCGGAAGCCAGTCCTGTCTGGAGTTCGGATCTGGCCTGTGGGACACACACGCTTGCCGACCCCAGCTTGCTGGCCAGTTCCGCCTACTCTGGGCCTGTTCACCTAGCTGTCCCCTGCTCTTCCACTTTTTATGTTTTGAGCTCTGGTCTCGCTGTGTCACCCAGACTGGCTCCCACATAGCTGGGATTGCACTCCGCCTCCTGCTCCTGGATCTGGTACCACAAACAAACGGATCCAGAGTGAACGAGTGGCTGTGAGCCAAAGGCGACGTCAGCCCCTCTGGTCTCCGTGACTCTTGCCCAGAGGCTCTCTGAGCCACACTGGAGGAGCAGCAGTTGCAGCTGCGCTGAGTCCCAGCGGTGCTAAGAGCTTTTTTCCCAAGCCCTGCAGTGTGCTGCCCCCCCAGGGAGTTCCACAGAGACAAGGCGGGCCTGTGACGCGCGCCTTTCTCTGGAGACCCTTTGTTACACAGACATCGTTACACTAATAACTTGGACCTTGCGGCCCTTTGCTTTCCTGTCTAGACACGGTGTTCTTGTATTTCAGTTACTCCAAGGCGAGTGGGGCAGGTGTATGTGTGACAGGTCTCAGCAGAACGGAAGGAAACCAGTTTTTATAAAATTGTAACTTTTTAAAAAAAGAAATTGTCTTTACCTTTTTTGTCATTTCCAGATTAGCTGGCTGCTTGGGGTGTTCTATAGCTCTGGTACTATCAGTCAGTCAACCCAACTCTCACAGAAGAATGCACCAAGTACCAGGCTGCTCTGAGCAAGCCCAGAGCCTTTATTAATAGGGATGGGAATGTCAAGTGTGGGTTTCTTTTGGGGTACCGGGAACCGAACTCAGGACCTCACACTGCCAGGCAGGGCTGCGCCACTGACCACAGCCCAGCCCGTCAAGTGGTTTTGATGCAGGACCGGAGGTGAAGGCTCAGCGCGAGGAGAGCGCCCTGTCCATCTCCTCAGCTTGCGCCCCAGCAGGCGGGCAGCCCGCGGATGGAGCAGTGGGCACGCGGCCTCCCTCTCCCTGTCCCAGCAGGCTCCACTCGGGGTCTGCAACGGCCACGTCCTTCCAGTCGGGGAGCAGCAGGGGCAGGGCCGACACCTTCTTCTCCACCAGGGGCCACAGGTGTGAGAACATGAAGTCGCTTCCCTTTGGTGACAGGTGGAGACCGTCTGACAGGTAGGTGGAGAAGTCCTGGGAGGGCCGGGGTACAGCAGGGGGAGCTGTTTGTTTGCTGGACGGGAGAGGAAACCCAGGACCCCCATGCCGAGCCCCAACCCAGGCCTTTAGTTTCCATGTAAAACTAAATGAAACTGTAAATGTAAGTCACTCAATTGCCAAGGCTCCTGCCTCAGTGCTGGAGCACTGCCTCCCACAGTGCTGGAATCACAGACAAGTCCACCTCATCCAGCTGGCCTGTGGTTTTTCTAAATGCTAATGCCCCAGCACGGCCCCTCAGCAGAAGGCTCAGGCCCCGGACTTGGGCGTGTGGCCAGGGAGTGGGGAGGCGCCTGTCGATCTACTCTGGGGTGGGTTCTGGGTCCTCGACAGCCGAGACCAAGGCCAGACAGCGGCACAGCACTTGGGGTGTCACACATTGGGGCGGGGCCTGTGTGTCGAGGCAGGGAGCTGGCTGGGGACAGTCCCGGAGGGCTGCTGCTCAGGCAGGGACAGTGGCCCAGGCTGTGCTCCTCCCTCGGCCCCAAAGAGCAGGAGCTGCGGCTGTGCCAGACCCTCTTTCCCCATGCGCTGCCTGCCTGCCTCTGGGGCTTGCAGGGCCCGAGGACAGAGCCTTCACCCGTGAGCACAGCGGAAGCGAGCACTGGGCGCTGCCTGACCGTACTTGCCCTGACCTGACCTCTGGCCGCCTGTCTAGTCAGCAGGATGGGACTTTTGGGGAGCCACCGCGCATGAGCACTTCGCACTCCCACACCTGCGCCGTCCCTGTACCCCGCTTACGCCCCTGGGGATGTGACCTGAATGCTGCTGCTGCACATGAATCTTGGGCGACCTAACCATCCCGCCAGCGACACCACGTGCCACCTGACCCCAGGCCTCCCCCATACCGCGAATACAAAAGCTGCTTCCCTTGCCCTCCTTGCTAGGAGCCTGCTCGGCCTGGCCCTCCTGTGACCCGCACCCGAGTTACCCTACCTGGTTGTCCTCCTGCATCGAAGTCCACAGGTCGAGGACCTCAGTCCCGTAGTCGCGGGCCACCTGTGCACACGCCCTGGCATATTCACCAGCCACCGAGTTTCGGCGGTTCAGCCTGTGACCTGTGGGCACGAGAGCAGATGGCGATGGTGAAGCGAGGCCCTGGGCAGTGCCTGATGTTCCCCTGTGCTGGCCCGGCTGGGGTGTGGGCAGTGATGCGTGTCACAGGCTGTGTGGGGGCGCAGCTCGGGGTGGGGGCTGAGCGGCTGTGGCAGAGGCCGGAGGCACAGGGCGGGGCCCGAGGGACGGCGGCGAGCCCAGGCAGACGCTGGGGACGGCTGACCTCAAGGGCTGTTGTCTGGAGCTGGGGGACTGAGGGTGCTGGCTCCAGTGTGATGAATTGGCCTGCTGTGTGGTGGCGCTGGGCAGTGACATTAAAGAGAGTGGGCAGCCTGGGATATGGTGACGTGGCCCAGGCCGCAGGTCAGACGGCAAAGAAACGTCCCTGGCCGTGACAGCAACCCATGTTGCCGAGGCCAGTAACTCATCCAGAGTCACCCGCCCCGAGCTCACAGCTCGGGAAGGCGCCGGGCGCCTCCAGCCAACACAAGGGTGACACAGCGCACAGCGCGTTTGCGCGGAACAGGTGACAGACAGCGGCGCGGACAGAGGCAGCGGAGGGGCCAGGAGAGAGAATGGGAGCGCAGCGGTCACTCCCCAGCCAGCAGGCACCGACAGTTCCCAGGGGTGCTGCTGGCCCCTTGGGCCCTGCCGACTGCAAAGCTCAGCACACAGCCCTGGCCAAGGCCTGACAAGTCCCTTTGTTTCTGTTCCGTTTTGGAGACAGGGTCTCCGATGTAGGCTGGCCAGAAAGGTGGCCGAGGTGGCCCGCGTGGTGGTGGGAATGCCATTACACCCCCGCCCAGGTCAAGTCCCTTTTCTGGTCAGACCTACCAGAGGCTGTGAGAGCCCGGGCTGAAGCCCCAGGGACCCTAGGCCGCCTGGGGCCCATGGGCCCCGCTGTGCCCAGGGTGTCACTCACCCTGCGCCAGGCACTGCTGCTCCCAGGCGGCCTCACACAATGGGGGCGGGGTGACGAGGACCACGCGGCTTTCTGCGACGCCCACAGAGCGCAAGTAGCGCACCATGCTGCTCAGGTTGGCCTCGAACTCCTCCAGGGGCACGTGCTGCTGGGGGTTCTCATCTGCCGGGAACACGGGTGTCACAGGCTGCACGTGTCTGTCCCTGGAACACTGAGGGCCACCGACACAGGGCCTTGCCCTCTGTTAAATCCTTCGGCCTGACCCTGCCCTCCCCCTGGCTGCCAAGATTCCTGTCTGGGCTGTCCCACTGGAGAGGTGAAGTCGGCTGACGGGGTAACCCCACCACTCGCAAGGCCGAGGCAGGAGGACTGCGAGTTTGGGCCCCGCCTGGGCAGTCCGCCAAGATCGAGTCTCAGAATTCTGAAGCAAAATGAGACAGGAGGACCACTGTGCGTTCGAGGCCAGCTGGGCTTCATATTCATAGCGTGTTCAGCCCAGCGTGATCTCCACAGCGAGACCTTGTGTCAAAACAAAACCCAAGAAAAGGGCCGGGGATGGACCTCAGCGGCACAGCATCTGCCTGGCAAGCTCAGGGTCCTGAGTTTGAGCCCCATTAACAGAAAAAAGTACAAAATAGAACCCACAACTGAGGTCTGCATGCTGGCAGCTGTGAAAATGAGCCAAGTGTGTGAGCTGCCCTCCATGCCGTGCCCCACCGGCTTCACTTGCCGCGGCCAGGCCCGGGCCAGGGGCTTCCTGGGGACCCCGGCTCTGCCGCCAGTGATGGAAGAGCTCCCTCCCGCCAAGAGCTGGCTGGGGGTACAGCGTAGGGCTGCTTGCCAATTCAGTCAAGTGAAATTTCTAGTTTTCTCCACATTTGTAAAAGCATCAGCTGTTCAGTTCTTCCCTTGAAGTCGCTGTTTGTGTCTTCTGCCTATTCTTCTACTGGAGCTAATTTTTTAAAATTTTTCTCCACACTAAAATGATGTCCCTTTTTTGGTCACGTTTCAAGTATTTTCCTTAATCAGCCATTTTCTTTGTTTTGCTTTTGATTTTTGAGACTGAGTCTCTGTAGTCCAGGCTGGCTTTGAACTTGAGGCGATCCTGCCTGAGCCTGCTGGGTGGTAGGATTACAGGTATGCACCACTATGCCCAGCCTTTTATTTTTTTTTTGCCTGCCTTTTTGTAGGTTTTTCACACAAGTTTTTCTGTTGTGCTGGGACTTGAACTTAACCACCAGGCTACACTGCCAGCCCCAGTATAGTGTATTTTAACTGATTTTTTTCTTTTTGAGACAGGGTTTCACTATTGAGTTCAGGCTGACCTTCAACTCACTTTGTAGTCCAGGCTGGCCTTGAACTTGCAGCAATCCTCCTGTCTCAGCCTCCTGACTGCAGCACTTACAGGCGTGCACCACATCTGGCTTATTTTAACTATTACATAAACCAGTTTTTCCTTTGCATCTTCCTACACTGCTTTTAAGTTCAGAAAAGTATCTGTCCTTGCCCTGTATTTGATAAAACTCACCTCTTTCTGTTTTCTTTCTTATGGTTTTGGGTATAAAATGTAAATTTTTCCATGTGATTAGCTTCACCTCCATACCTACGCTGCATGTTGTTTTCTTACTGGGTGACAGGAGGCCCTGGTCAGGCCATTCACTGCTGCTTTCCCTTCCTGTCCTGCCCCACCTGAGATGGCCCTCAGCGTGCCCAGGCCTAGCAGTCACTCAGGTATGGACACCCACACACACACACCCATACCCCGTTCTGGAAGCTCACTGGCTTTCCACAGCCAAGGCTGATATTCCTCTCATTATCATCCTACAGAGGGCTCAGGAGGAAAGAGGCTGGGCCAGGCCAGGCGGTGCACACTTGTGATGCCAGCACCCTGGGAGGCTGACGCAGGAAGATCAGAGGTCCAAGCCCAGGCTGGACAACTCAGTGAGAGCCTGTCTCTGAATAAAAAGGGGCCAGGGATGTGGCTCAGTGTTAAGGCCTTGAGTTCTGTCCCCAGTACCGCCAAAACCGAGAGAGGCTTGCTCTTCACAGCCAGTGAGCCACAGCCAAGCCGCCCTATATCCACTGACCTCGCCCCGACTCCAGGGGACCAGGTTGGCCAGCGACCTGGGGAAGCAGAGAGGAGTTGGGGCCAAAGCACCCAGGGGGAAGCAGATGCAGGATCCACACCTGCCAGGGCCCAAGGAGAGACTCGGGCTTTCAAGGAGCCCCCGTGAGCTGGAGCTGTGGGGAACAAGACAACGCGCCTCACCTCTCAGGGAGCTGTCATTGGCACCGAAGAAAATTGTCACCACCTCAGGGCTGTCCTCATTCCCCACCAGTCTTGGGAGGATGATTTTGGCCCAACGGGTGTTGTAACCTGAAAATCCACGATTCACCACGTCGCATTTTCTGCAATGAGAAATTGTACGGAATGGAGAGAGCACAGAACTGCTTCCAGCTGTGGTGCTGTCCGGAGGGAGGAGGGCCGGCGCGGCCCATGCACAGCCCTGTCCAGGTGGAGCAGCTGCTTTGCTCTGCTGTTTCCCCGGTACGGGGCCCTTTCAGAATGGAGTCCACAGGCGGTGGGAGTTGATCTGAGCAAGTACAGGAGCTACAAAATCACTGAGAACTACATTGAAACTCGTCGGGTGAGGTGGCACATGGCTGTAATCCTAGCACTCGGGAGGCTGAGGCAGGAGGATAGCCTGAGGTTTGAGGCCAGCCTGGGCTACATAGTGAGTTCCTAAACTGTATAGTGAGACCTTGTTTCAGAAAAAACAAAAAACAAAAAAAACCCCCCAAAACAAAAAAAAAACCAAAATGACACAACTAAGAACCGGAAACAATGGTTTTGTTTAGGGTAAGTAGACAGAATATTTTTGAGATTTTGGGATTTGATTCAATGACTTTCATGTGTTAGTTGTGTTTCATTGTAAACCAGTTCACCAATACAAATATTATTTACAAAACAGACTCAGGATGGAGCCAGGTCAGCCTTGAACTATGTACTAGCCTTGAACTCAGGACCTGCCTGCCTCAGCCTCCCAAGTACTACGATTACAGGCATGCACCACCATGGCCAGAACTTTCCTTTTTAAATCGTTTGGGTATGGTCTACATACTCACACAGTCCCAGCACTCTGGACGGCTGAAGCCGGAGGATCTGGAGTCTGAGGCCAGCCTGGGCTACACAGCAACCTAGTGAGCCCTTGTCTGAACAGTAAGGGGGCCGGGGATGCCGCTCAGGGTACAGTCTGTGCTTGGCAGGTGAGGCCCTGCTCCACTCCAGCCCGCACCCAGCCCAGGTCAGAGCCGCTTCCTAGACAGCAGCATAGGGGGGGAAGCCGCGTGGTCCATTTCTGTGCGTCAGCGCGGGGAGCAGCTGGGAGACAGGCGTGGGCCACGGGACCGGGCAAGACTCGCTGGGGCTGGGACAGGCCTCCTTCCGCACCTCCAAACCTACTAATGCCCACAAGGCGGCCAGGCCGCCACAGCAGGGTCAGCACGGGTGGAGGGGACATCGGAGCCCGCGGCCGCAGACCTCAGCCCGGCCTCGGCGGTGTCGCTACGGGGCAGACTCGTCCTGGTCCTGTGGGGATGGCAATGCCACTACACGATGCCCTCTGTCACCACACCACGTCCTGGTTTCTGCAGGATCGAGCGCGCCATTCTGCCCCAAAGGAATGGGACTTTGACTCTTTCCCGAGGCCGAACTCCGGGCACAAGGTCTCCTTGCCGCTGAACTCCGGGAGAGGCGCGTGGGCGCGGCAGCGGCTGCCACCCGGCGGCTGTGTGGTTCCGGGCCGCGGCCGCGAAGCCCCTTGGCCAGAACCGAGTCCCGCCCTTTCTCCCCAAACGCCGGCCGGCGGGGGCGGCCAGCTCGGGCCAAGTGGAAGCCACGCCGCGTCCTCTCCTTCCCTAACGAGCCGCTGCGCGCCCCGTCAGCCCAGAGCGTCTCACCTGACCAGCCTGTCCGCCAGCGCAGCGCCCCAGCCGCCCTGCTGGAAAGAAAACTGAAGAAGGGCGCCGTCACCTCGGGCCACCGCTCCCCGCCCCAGGGGCTCCGCCTCCCCGACTGCCGGGGACCGCGCAGCTTCTCCCGAGCTCCGGAAATAAACTTTGCCTTCTCCTCAAGCAGGCTGAAAGAGCTCGCGGGGCAGTACAGCGCCCGCCGGGGAGCCCAGCTGCTCGGGCTGAGGCAGGACGATGGCACACTGGAGACCGGCCCGGGCAAGTTTGCAAGACTGTCTCAAGGCAAAGGAGGTCTAGGCACACTGCCTCGGGTGACAGCACCCAAAATCAAATCAAAACGAAAATCCCACTATGTGCATGAGATTAAATTAACTGTTCAGTTAGAAAACGAAGTCGAAGCTGCACCTCTCCACAGCTGAAATAAGGAAAATCACTGCTTTATTAACTGCATAATACAGTGTAAACACTTCTCGATACACTTCACAGGGAACTTGAAAAGCTACTGCTCCTGTTTAAAAATAATGTCGCATATGCAAACACATCTGGTTTAGAATGCTACGCCTGAATGTTACAAAAAGAAAACACGAGGGAAGCAGCTTTATCTTCCTGTACATATTTTTTTCTACTCAAATTGGTGAAAAGATGATCATTTGCTTTTTTGCAGTACTGGGGGTTGACCCCAGGGCCAAATTTTGAGACAGTCTCCCTAAATTGCCCAACCTGGGCTCAAAGTTGAAATCCTCCTGCCTCAGCCTCAGCCCGCTAGGATTACAGGTATGCGCCACCGCACCAGCTTCTACTTGATTCTTGAATGCACTTTATTTTCAAGATCATCCATCATCGCCCAGCTGGTTCAAAGTGTTCTCTGCGTGGAACCGGCTGCCAGAAACTGCAGAGACTGGGGCGGCGTGCAGCGTGCAGGCGACCCCTGCTGGCCAGCGCGGGGCCGGGGCGGCTCGGCCGGGAGGACGCGGCCCGGCACCGACAGTGGGCGGGCGGGGAGAACGCAGCCGCGGGGCTGGGGGAACGGCGGGCGTGGAAGCGCCAGGAGCCCGTGGCCGAGCTTCCGGGTACCTGAGTGATAGAATCGCCGAAGAGCAACACGCGAGGCCACAGTAACCGGCTCCCGCCGGCCGCGCGGACACGCAGCGCCATTCCACCGCTCGAGCTGCCGGCGGACCGGATGTCCGGCCTGGGGGCGGGGCGGAGCACCTGCGCAGTGCCACGCTCCGCCCTGCTGCGGTGCCCCGTCCCTGAAGCAGCGTGACGCATCCCCGGCCGCTTTTGACGCCTGATAAGAATGAAGTCTCTTGGACCCTTTATGTCTGGGCTACTAAGAGGAGCTCGGCCTCTTGTACTCTCCCGGACTCACTAAGAGACCGCTACGGGAAGCCAGATGTGCTGGCACACCTGTAATCCCTGCACCTGGGAGGACCCCCGGAGCAGGTATCGCGAGGGTGAGCCCAGCCCGGGCAGCTTAGTGACTTGGCGGGACCCCGACTTAAAATAAAATAAATACAATTAAAAGGGCTGGGGACGTAGCTCAGTGCGAAGGCCCCGGGTCCCGCGCCCGGTCCAGCGGTAAGGAAGAGACGCTGGCCTCCACTCTTGGCTGGGCCAGGCTCGCCCCTCCTCTCTTCCCAGTGCAAGTTTTTTCGTCTGAATCCGCGCCTCGGCCCGATTCCTGCCCCGCCCGGCAGCAGGCACCCATGCCAGCCAGCCGGCCGCATTCCTGGTCCAGGGGGACGGGGACAGGGCCGAGCCAGCGCCACTGCAAGCAGAAAGGACTTCTGTGGCCCCGCCCACGGGAGGATGTGACAGCCGCGCGGGAACCGGGTAGGGGTGTGTGTGACACGGACTGCAGCAGAAGCCACTGTGAAGGGACAGACGCCCGGCCTGTTCCTCACCCCAAGCATGACTGTTCTTCCCGAGGCAGACGGCCCCACACAGCAGTCGTTACTGAAACTGTTCTCCCCTTGGACAACAGGGACGCTGACAGGGTCACCTTCCCCCATCAAGCCCTGGTCCAACCCTCCGCTCCACAGGGGGGGCGGGGAGCCCCGGCCGCCTGACCCACGGCCCCCTGCAGACCTCGGCACCCGGATCCCAGCAGAGCTGCACCTGGCGGGATCTCCCCTTGTCACCGCGCCCGTCTGAGGAGGATCCTCCTGACCTAGGAAGCTGGGAGTGACTGGCGGGGCCGAGCCCAGCACCAGCACCCCAGAAACTGGTCCTCCGGGTCGGCATCGGCGCAGGAGCCCCTTCCTCCTCTTACTTTTTGGTTGAACCGTGTGCTCTGGACTCTTTCAGTGCTGCTGAGAAGGGGTTTCAACATGTAGTCCCGGCCATCTCTGAAATCACTGTGTAGCCCAGGCTGGCCCTCACCTTGGGGTAATCCTCCTGCCCCAGCCTCCTAAGTGCTGGGATTACAGGTTTGGGCCACCACAGCTTGTTATAAATTCACTCTTAATTTCCACCCTCACTGAAGCAACATCCACACTGGCTGGTGACACCTGGACAACAGAGCTGTGGTGGAATGGCTGTGGCCCCTGCAGGAAGCTGCTGTGGAGGAGGACCAAGCCTTGGGCTCACCCCTTGGGCCCCTGGAGGACTCCACCCACCGGCTCCACCTCCCAGCCGTGACTCCTGCCCAGGGCCTGATGGTGATGGTGACAAGCACCTGGGACTCAAGCTCTGGGGAGATGGAGACCAGGTGGCGTCAGGGACGATGACAGCCCTCCGGGACACTCGTTTGTATACGTCCGATGGCTATAAAGCCTAGAACGTAAGCTTTTCTTCCCCCGGTACTGGGGATTGAACCCAGAACTTCATACTGTGCTACACCCCCAGCTCCTTTTATATTTTGAGAGTCTAAATGACCTAGGTGGAACTCAAACTCAGAATCCTCCTGCCTCAGTCTCCTGTAGTGCTGGGATTACAGGCATGTGCCACCACAACCAGCTGTAGTGTTTTTAAATTTATCATAATGAAATCTTATGTGACCCTCTGAAAAGTTGTGTCTCTAGATCTTTGGTATACGCCACAGACAACCATCAAGCAGGCTTTTACAAAAGTAGCTGTTTTGGGCTGGGGATACAGCTCAAGGGCACATGCACCTGCCTGGCAAGTGCAAGGTCCTGAGTTCAACTCCCAGTACCAAAGGAAAAAGTAGCTGTTCTAAGCAGCAGATTTATGCAGTGGTTTGTTATCAGCATCTGGGGCTTGGCCACAGAGAGGTGAGGGAAGATGAGGTGGTGTGGGTGTGGGTGGTGTGGGAGCAAGTACAACAGGTGATGCTGAGGCCGGGCAGCCCTGCAGCACCAGCACCTGCGCTGGGAGCTCGGTGTCCCCAGAAAGTCAGACGAGCCAGCGAACTGCCGCCAGAGACCCTCAGCTGTCACCTGAGTAAGTGACAGCCATGACACTCGGCACCTCCCCTGCTGCATGTGTGGGTCCAGACCCTCGCCCAGTTCCCAATTCCTGCACTTCTCAAATGATGGGTGTAAATGATGCGCGTGGGGAGCTCCCGAGGGAGGACAGGAAGTGTGCAAGGCTCTGCAGCAGAAGCCTTGAGCTCCGAGTTAAAATCCCAAGTAAGGGAGTATGAGCGAACAGCACGGTAAGACAAACCCTGACTTTGCTGTGACGAGCAAATCCTCTTTTAGGTGCTGAGGATTGAACCCAGGGCTTTGCACTGAGCTCCATCCCCAGCCCTTTCTGTTTATTTTGAGACAGGGTCTCGCTAAGTTGGGGGGGGCTGGGCTGGAACTTGCAGTCCTCCTGCCTCAGCCTCCCCGAGTGCCGGGACTACAGGTGTGGCTTCGGGGCCCGGCATGAGCGGATGGCGAAGCGTTTCTGGGTTTCCGTGGTGGCAGCACCAGTGAACGCCGCGGCAGTGGGCGGCAGGTTCCTCAGCTGTGGCTCTGGAGCGAGGCCGGCCTCAGTGCACGGGCGTGAGCGCGTCATACAGCCGCTGCGCCGCCAGCTCCACCATCTCCCGCAGCGACTCGTCGTCCTCGCTGCCCTCCTCGCACTCCACACTCTGCAGGGCAGCGCGCAGAGTCACTGTCACGTCTCGTTATGTGGGGGACACGCGCCACAGGGAGTCAGTGCCGGGCAGCAGCGCCCTAGCCTGGCCTTCCCGTGAGGGCGGGGCTCAGGGGCCTGGAGTGCTCCCAGCAGCTCCATGCGCTCAGACTGTGATCAGGGACTCGGGGGGACCGAAAGATGGACAGGAGACATAGTGACTGGTCTATTTCACAGCCCCTTCTGGTTTTTTCTTTTTGGTGTTTTGAGAGAGTCTCGCTATGTAGTTCAGGATGGCCCGGATTTGTGGAGATCCTCCTGCCTCGGCAACCTCCCATAGCACTGGGATGACAGGTGGGCACCACCACATGGGGCAAGGTTGTTTCCCAGCCTGTGTCTCCCCCGCCTTCCCTGCGGGAAGCACAGATCACATGCACACTGAATCCCAGCACTCAGGAGGCTGAGGCAGGAGGATGGCTGGGAGAGCGAGGCCAGCCTGGGCTCCGAGACAGATACTCTTACTTATTCAGCTCCTGAAATCCTGCCACAAGACCTGGCAGGTGTGGCTCCACACGGAAGGCAGGGTTGGAACTCAGGCGGGCCCTGTGGGCTCAGGTTGTGGGGGACACAGCGGGGTTGCTCGCTGGGCAACTGGGTACCCTTTGGCTATGAGCAGGGCACTCAGCGCCTTTGCCTGTAACCACCCACATGAGTAGGTGGGGCCGAGTGAAGACCCCAAGGCACACCGTGGAGCACCGGGCTCGGGTCAGTGGTTGTGTCCCCGTCACCTCCCAGGTGCGAACAGCCGTCCCAGCACATACCCGCGTCTCCAAGTTAACGTTGGCCGTCTTCCCGTCCACGGTGACGCTGAGGACAGAGCCGTCCTTCACGCTCACGCAGTCTTCTCCGAATATGTCCCTGCAAGGAGGAGAGACTGTCAGTCCTGTGTCGGGAGCGGGAAGATGACGGTGACTGGCGGCTCCCGGACACAGCTCCCATCACCCACAGCTTTCCTGTCACGACTGCTCACGCAGTGGGTCGCTAGGGTGCCCAGGCCGGCCTGGGCTGCCAGGTGCTGGGCTGGGTGCGGTGGCATGTGCCAGTGATCCCCGGCACGGGGGAGGCCGAGGCAGGATTGTAAACTGGAGTCTCACTGGTGCAATGCTGCGAGACGGTCTCAAAATCAAACTCTGGAAAGGGCAGGGGATGCGGCTCAAGCTGCAGAGCCAGGGCAAGAGCTGCTGCAGGCCCGGGCCCTGGTCCCTGGGACCCGCTCCCGGGCACGGCGAGGCACAGCACTGGGATGACCAACCGTGGCTCCCAGCACGAGCCCTGCGAGGAGATCTCCTCCGGAAACACTGCACGGCCGAGGGAGGACGCGGGTGAGGGCAGGAAGGACTTAGCACTGTGCTTAGACAGTAGTGAGTCTCAGTGTTTCACAGGCACAGACTTCTTGCCTGCAAGGGCCAACGGGAACTCTTTCTGGAAGAATTCAGGCCTCAGAAGCAAACACAAAGGGTTCTCCAGGACAGGGGGCCTGGCCGACCGCTGCGGCCTGTGCCGGCCACCAAGGGGACTGTCCTTGTAGGCAGCTGCAGTGCCGAGTGGGAAGGCAGCGCCACCTGCACGTGCTCCCGAGGGAACCAGGTACCCACCAGGCGTGGTGGCGCCCGCCTGTGATCCCAGCACTCGGGAGGCTGAGGCAGGAGGATGGAAAGTTCAAGCCCAGCCCAGGCAGCGCAGTGCCTCAGCAGAGCCGTGCGTGAGGAGACGGAAGGGCGGGCGGGAGGACTCACTGCAGCATGGTCTCCAGGCGCTTGCTGTACACGTGCGTCTCCAGCTTCCTGGGCACCTTCGGAGCTGCGCCTGCGGAGAAGGCAGAGTCCAGTGTCCCAGGCCTGCTCAGGCGGTTTCCACACCACCTCGAGGCCACACTGTGGCGAGGGCCAGACTCCGAGGTGCCGGGGCATGTATTCCTGCACCTACCGGTGAGGGCCTTATCCTCGGTCTACTAAAGAACCCCCAAAGGGCAGATTGTTTTATTTACTTTATTTTTAAGACAGAGCCTCTGTATGTCGCCCAGACTGATTCTGAACTTGAAGTGATCCTTCCACCTCAGCCTCCCAAGTGCTGGCGTGTGCCACCACGCCCAGCTTTGTATCTTTGAAGAGGGGACGCAGAACTGGCACTAGTGGTCGAAGCCACCCACAGATGTAAACACGAGTTGTGTCTCCAGGCCTGGGACTGAAGGGCCAGGGAGTTAGGAGATCATCATTTTACACTCAGCTCCAGCCAGCCTGCTGTATGTGACCAGGGTCACACACCACCGAAAAGATGCGCATCACGCCAGGCGTGGTAGCGCACAGCGGTCATCCCAGCACTCAGGAGGCTGAAGCACGAGGATCACCCTGAGTTCAAGGTCAGCCTGGTCTACATAGTGAGACCCTGTTCAAACCCAGCCCCCCAAAAAGCATATGGAAGATATAGTGAATGCACAAATATTATTAAGATGTTACAAAAATACAACAAAATATTTTCACTAGTATTTTTTTTTTTTTTTGGCTGAAGAGCACCTGGTAGCCAGAAGCCTTCCCTGTCAACGGGCTGTATTAAACCCAAGGGGAGCGGCGAGTTTCTGCCGGGCGGCTCCACTCAGCAGCACCTCAACAGCTCTCCTTACGTCTGGATCCACGGCCTCGTCACGCAGCCAGCACACTGCCACCCAGCTACACCCGGGCCCTCATGCACCTCCCAAGGGCTGTCACTGACACGTTCCAGCTTTATGGTGATGGTGATCAGAGCTTCCACAGCATGAACGAAGGGCCAGCGACAGGATGATACTAGTAACCCACCCTGTTATGTACACATTGCAAAGACCACGGAGAAATAAATCAGAGTTTATGCGTCCCTTAGGACTTAGGACTCTACTACACTTCGGTTCACGGGCGCGGGAGAAGCGAGGGGGCGTACTTTTGCGTATTTTCGGGTTGGACTGCACCTCGAGGATCACGGTGGTCACGGTGTCCGCGTACATGTCGTTGGACGGGTTGGCCAGCCACTGCGGAGCAAGGGGCTCAGTTAGGGCGGAGCGGGGTCGCCACCACCAGCCTGGGCCAGGGTGGCGCCAGCTCCACTGCTGACTGCGGCTCCCTGGAACTAATCAGTGACTCCGGACGCCTCTGGGTTCCTGGTAGTCACAGAAGCAGGGTGCACTCAGGACTTCCTCTGTGGTGAAGGGTTTTATACGCACTATCACTTACCTCTTCTAATAGCAGCACTATTTACCCCATTTTATAAACATGAAAACCAACTCAAAAGTCGGCCATACAAGAGATCTGCTGGGTTCAAACTCCTACTCCCCATGACTTCGCTTGCACCACCGGCAGCAGGCCAGGAGGGCCAGTGCCCCGTCCTTGTCTCCGTCCGTCCAGTCACTTGTTTGGCGGCAGGGACGGAGGTCTGGGCCTTGAGTCTGACAGAGCTGCACCCTGCACCTTTTAAATACTTCCTTTCACTCTTCACTCGAAGCCCAGGATCCCCCCCATGCTCCAGGAGCCCAGCGCCCCCGAGCTCGGGGTGCAGGAGGCCCTGCCCTGAGGACTGGGCGCTGCCAAAGCACAGCAGGCCCGGAAAAGCGAGGCTCTTCGTGCACACTGGAGCTCTAGAAGCACAAATTCATTCTCTACTAGCACTGAGCGGAAGGAGCTCAGAGCATGGAGCAACCCTGCCCGCTCTGAAGGCGGGGCCTCCTTATCCCTGGAACTTCACACTGCAGACAGCTACTCCTTTTAACACTTTCCTGCCCTGCTTCTATCACTGTGAGACAAATTTAGGCTTAACTCACAGACCGGACACATCTTTTCTGAATCTGTTTCTTTAAAACAAGGTCTTGCTCTATAGCAGGCTGGCCTCAATCCCCCTGCCTCAGCCTCCGGTGCGGGGATCACAAGTGTGCACCAGCGCGCCCGGCTTGCAGGTGAACTTGTTGTGAAACTCTTCGTTTAGCCTCGGTTAGGCAAATGATCTCATCTTACCTCTAGTATTACCATGCCGGGTTCCTGTATTATAGTAATATTTTTGAATACTTTCAAAGCAGGTTTTTCTTGAATTTCTAATTCTTCTACATCACCTAAACAAAATAAAATGTAATTACAAGATATATATAATTTTCTTACAGTCTTTCAGAGGCAGTTTTTCATTTGTTTATAGACACCTCACAAAAGAACTGCTCCACAGTGGGAGGACTCGTAACTCACTGCACAAACAGCTTCAACAGCAACAGGGCTAAGTGACGGCTGCTGGCAATTGACGTTCACCCGCGGGTGTCACGGAAATGCAGCCTGCAGCGCTGTGGCCCTCGGCGGCGCACCCAGCGGGTGTTCAGACCACCGTCAGAGGCTTTCCTGCAGCACTGGACAAGATTCCCCAGCTACTGCTAACTAGTCACTTCTGCCTTCGGACTTCCTGAGCTGAATCACCGCCCCGGGAATTGTTCCGGCCCTACTGTCCTCTGGATTGGTCACTCCGACCTGTTTTATGAGCTTTCTACGTTATGACCCGTAACTCCAATGTGAGGGTAAAGAAGGGTTCTCCTTCAACTGGTCTGTTTCACAGCAGCACTTTGTGAATGAAGAAGAACACCCTCATGAAGCACAGTCAAACCTGAGTGCTCCTGCCGAGTTAGAAGGAGTACAAGCTTTTACTCACTAGCCCTCACTACGTTACTACAGATAGATCTGTATTCAAATGGCAAAACCAGATGGAGTAGGCTTGTTTTTCTTTTGTGGCCAATGGCTTTCAGTACTTGTTAAACTTGTTTTTAAAAAATAAAAATAAATAAAATAAAACCTACTCTATAGACTGGTACTGATGGAACCAGAAAGATTATTTTCACTGATCAAAGAAAAAAATAGGTAAAATTTTTGGTAGAGTTAGCAAAAGTGGATTTTATACACAAGGAGTAAAGACTGCTGATACTTTTAGAATCACACAACAAGGGTGCTGTGGCATTTTAAGACACGTGAGCCTATTTTCTCCTAAAGGTAACCCAGTGAAGGACAAGCAGGATTCTGAGACAATCACAGGAACTCAGGAACCCTCTCCCGGGTGCAGAATTCTGCTGCTGAAGGATGGAGTGGGACAGGGAGCCCCGCACACACACACCAGTCAGTTTCTGCAGCTGGTAGGACAGCAGGCTGAAGGGCCCGGTGTAGGGGATGGCTTGCGTCTGCTTCACGGTGCTCATGGCCAGGTCGGTATAATCTAGACATGAGAGACACAATACCAGCCCCAGCCCGTGCAACGTGATTTGCACACACAGGGCAGGGTTAAAAAAAAGAGAGGTTTAATGAATGAACGTAGTTTTCAGAAAGTTAGCAAGAGACAACCAAGGTTCCTGGTCACCCAGCCCCGTTATCAGGGCAACGCCCTCCTCCAGCACATCCATCCCAGGGGCAGCCCGTCCCGGCGCGTCTCCACGTGGGGCCTGCTGGATGGCGCCTGCCTTTCCTTTCCTGCCTGGAGACTCCCAAGCGGCTTTCACCATGGCCCCGGCGCCACCAAAGCCGTGCGCCTGTCCCATCTACGCCTACATCCTGCTGCGGCTCCACTCCGCAGTTACAGCACAACGCAACTAACGCCAAGCTACAGAGCGCAGTGCGTGCGCACAGATGGCGCTGTCTGTGCAGCGGGAGGAAGACGTTTGTGAGCTCTGAGAAAAAGCAATTGACACACTGACACGTCATCTCCAGCTCTGTGCAAATTTCCATCTCTCCCCATCAAGAGCGTCGATTTACACACACGCGTCTCTGGCTATCCGGTTTGCATTATTTCTTTGCAAAGACATTCCAAGGCTTTACGTTCAGTTCTTCCTTTTAAGGAAAACAGTGGAGATGGATGTGATGGAAATGTATATTGTGTGTTGAAACTCAGCATTTTGTAAAATTAACTACTTAATAATAAAAGGAAACAATACAAACAAATAACTTCCATGATGATGGGGAGAGGTCGTTCATAAACATGCATGCCAGAAAGAAATAAGCATTGGTCAATTAAACTGTAAAAAAAAAAAAATTAATTAAAAAATTATGAAACATAATGTCCCCTATTTTTTTTTTCCTGAGACAAGGTTCACTATGCAGTTCAGGCCAGGCTGAACACACTATGTAGCCCAGGCTGGCCTTGAACTCATGGTGATCCTCCTGCCTCAGCCTCCCGAGTGTGGGGATGACAAGCGTGTGCCACCATGCCTGGGTATGTCTTCTGTTCTTGAGCATTCTTTGGGAATACTAAACAGCAGATAGCCCCAGCAAGCAACGGAAGATTACAGGCCATGAAGGGTCTGGCTTGATCTCCAGCATCCCAAAACAAAACCCCCAAACTACAGTCACAGAAAAACCAAATGCTTCTCTGGAAGGCCGGTTGCTTCAGAAAATAAAAACACCCTCTGTGCTGTGTAAGGTAGAAAACAGGGTGGCCCAGGCTCAGGAGGAGTGGTCACCTATCTTAGAATAAATTTGCTTTAGAGCAAGAATACATGTGATTTCGCAAATAATTTTCTCACTTTCTTTCCCACAAAGCTACTTAAGATTACTTTCACCAATTCCTTTCTCATTATGGGGTTGTTACTTAAATTTTGGCCACTGGATTAAAACTTTTCACAGATTTCCTTCCAATGCTAAAATCCGATTTTATCTGACAGTAAAGAGTGTACTTACTGGACAGGTCACAAGGAGAAAGTATGTGATAGTTAAAGTTTCTTTTAACAAGAATTCCTGAGACTCGCTGGCCTTGTTCTGGCTTTTTGTCTGCTAAGAAACCCATGACCTGTTGAAAAACAGACACAAGCACAATGATGACCATCAGACATTGTAACTGTGAACAGCATAGGAGTTCCACCATGAAAAATATAAAATGTTACTTTTATTTTTTCAGTGCTGGGGATGGACCCAAGCGCCTCAGCACTGAGTTGCATCACCAGAGCTTTGTTGATTTTTTATTTTGAGGCAGGGTTTCACCAAGTTATTAAGTTGCCCAGGCTGTGCTCAACTTTCAATCCTCCTGCCTCAGCCTCCCAGAGTGCTGGGATCACAGCTGTGCGCCACCATGCCAGCTGAAACCCACTCTGAAACAGAACTTTCCTCCTGTGCAAAGGAGTGAACTGAAGGAGATGAAGACAACACTCCTCCCCGCTTTACAGGAAGGCACAGAGAGCCAGGCCGGGGCGTGACGGGGGGCAGCATGGTGTCACGGGCTGGCAGTGAGAGTCCAGCAAAATCAGTTACTTCTCTGGAAACAAAGGCTAAGTTGTGCTAATTTGTTTTCTCCCTCGATTCAGTTGTGATTCAATTGTAACTCAATGGTCATCAATTAGCTGCTTCATGCCTGGCTTGTTACGTATTAAGAGAACTAAGAGAACGTGGTCTGGTAGCTAAAACTTCAGATAAATCATTTAAAAGTCTGCTTTAAACTGGACATGGTGGTGCACACCTATCATCCCAGCACTCTGAGAGGCTGAAGCAGGAGGATCGCAAGTTCAAGCCCAGCCTGGGCAACCTGGTGACTTAGCAAGATCCTCTCTCAAAATAAAGAATAAAAAAGGGCTGAGGATGGAGCTCGGAGGCGAAGGCCTGGCCTCCATCCTGAGTACGTATGCACACACGTGTTTGCCTTAGAAACATCTTAAAAAGACTTTTGATCAACAGAGATAAAAATGTAGCTTTGGCCAAAATCCCTCCAAAATCCCGGGTAAAGTTTTTCTTATCTATTTCAATTTTATTTTCTGAAAACACGGTACTGTACCATCAAGTGATTAACTCTCAGGAGGACAATTCGTGCTACGCCCCATCGCCTCCGACAGCGCCTGCCTGGAGCGAGCGGGCGCGGCTCAGGTTCTCAGGGACGGTGACAGAGGGGACACAGCATGGTGCGGACATGGGGACAACGGGGACGGACGTCTGCTCACCCTTAGCCATGGGAGGAAAAGCGGGGAGAGTAGGTTAAAGACGATCTGCTCAACCCCAAAGTGCTCACTGCCGAGTTCCCATCAGAGGAAATGAGCCAGAACCAAAAGCAGCCCAGACAGCACGCGGGCAAAACCCCTGGTGAGTACTAAGTGGACAGGAGTAAGTAGTCTCGATGTCGTCAATGACGGTCTATTTTCTAAAAAATTACAGGAAACGGGGACAGACCTTTGGCAAAAGCGTAGGGACCAAGAGATGGAGAGGGTGTGAACTAAGACGTAGTCTGCAAGCACCGACGCCCACGAGGAATGGGCTTAGGGCCTTAAGAAGATCCAGCTCAGTTTGGGCAACTTGGTCACTGAGCAAGACACTGTCTCCAAATATAAAACAAAAATGAGGGGCTGGGGATTCAGCTCAGCAGCACAACGCCTGCCTGGCAAGCGCGAGGTCGTGAGTTTGATTCCCAATACCGGAAAAAAATCAAACAAAAAAACAAACAAACAAAAAAACAAAAATGAACTGGGGATGCAGCTCAGTGCAAAGGCTCTGGGTTCAATCTCTAGTATCACAAGCAATGTGTATTGAAAACTATTATTTTAGCCAGGCACAGTGGTGTGTGCCTGTAATCCCAGCACTGAGGAGGCTGAGGCAGGAGGATCGCCAGCCTGGGCTACATAGTGAGACCCTATCTCAAAAAAAAAAAAAAATTCTTCACTAGAGAAAAACACCATGGCCGGGTCAGTGACCATCACCATTTACCTTGGCTAGTTTCTCTCCTCTGAAGTTTAAGGTCACGGCCTCTGTGTTCCGAGGGTTGTGCACCTCTATGTGGACCTCATCGTTGTCTTCATATTCTCGGATCAGCGCCGCTTTCAGCCTGGCCATCTCATTCTGCTCCCCATGGACTAAAATCTGCACAGGAGAGCACAGGGAGATGCTTGTTCAGATGAGCACTAGCCCTTACCACCTTTCTAGTTAAATTCACGAAATAGGAACGTGCTTGCCATTATGAAACTTTTACTTTTTAATGACCTCCAGCCAACCAGAATTATATAGAGTTCCTCATTATCTTAGGCTTTAAAAAGACCCTTATGTGCCAGGTATGATGAGGCAGAAGGCTGAGGCAGGAGGATCCTAAGTTTGAGCCCAGCCTGGGCAACTTTGAGAGACTCTGTCTCAAACTAAAAAATAAGACGGGCTAAGGGTATAGGTCAGCGTGAACACCCTGGGCTCAGCAAATAAAAAAGAAAGGGTGAGTTAGCACTCACACTAACTAGAAGGTGAAGCCCAGATCCAGGGACCGCAACGGGCCCACAGCAGTCTCCCTGCGGTGGTCGCTCCTGCCAGAGAGGCAGGAATTCTGACCCAGGCTGCGACAGGGGTGAGCCTCCCAAGAGCCTGAGGGCGTCTGACCCTCTAATGCGACAGGGCAGTGAGAATGGGCGCAGTCACAGGGACAGTAAGTGGCCCAGGGGGACGGGCTGCAGGGTCTGGGATCCGGGATGGCTTGGTGAGCTTCTCTGTGGAGTGCGGGCCGGGCTGGAGAGGAGCCTGGGGACAGCTGGGAGCGCTGAGCGGAGTCAGTGCCACCGGGCTACAGCTACCCCTAAAAACGCGGCAAATTTCAAGTTATGTAGATTTTACCATAATAAAAATACTTTAAAACAACAAACAAAAACTAACGAAAGGCCATTTCCTCTAAAGTACTTTTCAACACTTTCCAAAGGGAACTTCTTGTATTTTCTATGGACACAAGGGCCAGGGTCCTCCCAGTCAGCGGCACAGACTTCTCAGCTGACCTCGTCCTAATCCCACCCAGCGCACAACCTCGGCTTTGGCAGTCACTCGGAGGAATGTGCCTGTAGCTATTTAAATCCCGACGTTTTCTAGGACTGACTTCTCTCCTTGTCCTAGTTAATATAATTATCAGCCGCTGGCGAGGCCAGGTGAGCGCTTCCACGGCCTTCATATCACCTCCCTAGAAGCCACCTTCCGTTCACCCCACGGCAAGTCAGAGGGGGGCCGTTACCGCCGTCGCCGAGCCTGGCCCTCCCGTTACTGGGGAGCGGGCAGCAAGAGCACTGGCTCGGCCGGCACGCATGAGGAGGCAGTGTGCAGCTGCCCAGCCGAGGGCAGGGCCGGGCAGGGCAAAGCCCAGCCCAGGTGCAAAGCTGTCTGCAGAAAGCGCCGCTGCACGGGTGTTAGGGTCCACCGTCCCCCCGAGCCCCCCGTGCCAAGGCCACAGACTTACCACGTGGGGCGGTTTCAGAGCTCGGATAAATTCGCTGGTTTGCTGGTAATCTGTGTGAGCAGAGAAAGAAATGTAGTCAACAGACATTTTCAGTGGCAACTTCTGTCCAGACATCGTGGCGATTTCCTCAGGCTCAGACATGATATGCTGTTAAAAACAAATACAAGAAGACAAAGCAAACTGGCCCATTAGAAAAGCAAAGGTTCACTGTCCGTTTTCATGCAGCCATAAACACTTATGTTAAATTTCAGAACTTGGCCCCAAGTCATCCTAACGCTGCGGATTCAGTACGTAGCCCACACTCGTCTCCCTGAGCAGTAAACACTCCACCAACCTTAGTCCGGAGAGCACCCGAGACTCAACGGGAGTGGCTGCTGCCAGCGCAGATCCTAACTGTATGGCAGGAAGCCCAAGCTGCCCTCCCCACACCTCTGCTCTAAAACTCACGTCCCACATGGCAGGATTTACCCCCGTTCTGGAAATCTGTTTTCTAATGTGTCCTGTAAATGATGGCAGAATAAGGTAAAGTAACAAAAATGAGCAATCACATTGTATTTTTAAAAATACAATAGATGTTGCTGGGTACAGTGGCGCTTGCCTGTAATCTCAGTTACAGGGAAGGCTGAGGCAGGAGCATCCCAAAGTTTGAGGCCAGCCTGGGTAACTTGGTGAGATGGTGTCTCAAAATAAGACTAAAAATAGGGTTAGGGGTATAGCTCAGTGCTAGAATGTCTGACTAGCAAGTCCAAGGCCCTGGGTTCAATCCTTGGCATTATAAGAGTAAAAATAAATAAATACATGAATAAACAATAAATAAAACAGATGCTACTGGTAAGCAGACGAGAATGTGATGCCTGGACATCTTTATGTTACCTCTAAAGTTTCATAGTTATTTTCTAAAACATTTACACCCTAACTGCTAGCATCAGCCATTTAATACCAATGGAAGATGCATCATCAACCAAGGCATATTCTACGGCTGTTTAAAGAACACAGGCTGGGCATGGTGGTGCAGGCCTGGCATCCCAGCATTCACAGGCTGAGGCAAGAGGATCACTGGGAGGTCAAGACCAGCTTGGCTACATAGTGAATTCAAGCCTGAACTACATACTATCTCCGAAAATAAAATAAAAAATTGTAAAAAATGGAGTATGTTGCAAGTTATGGATTGCTAATGTAAAAATCTGAAATGCTCTAATATATCCGGAGTGTCTTGTCACTCCAATCAGTGTGTGCGTAATTCACCCCATGACACTCTCTGCCTTTGGGGGTCACGTGGAAACTTGGTCACTTAAGCTCCACTTCACAGGAGGAGTTCTGGGGACAGGGTGCCTCTGCGCCCTGGACTGACCTTGGCCAGCGTCCCCTCCACACAGTAGCCTGCGATGATGACGCCGTTCCTCTTGTCAGTGCACCAGCTCTCAAACAGCTCGCGGGAAAGGCCGCTCTGCATCATGCCTGGCGAGGCCATTACCACGCTGGGACCGATGTCATCGAAGTGGTCCATGCTCTGAGGACAGACGCAGAGAGAGCACATCAGCTGCCAGGCTCACCGAGCACTTTTCATTTGGACAGAATGACAGGAAGTGAGCCCAGAGGTTTACTGTGCTACCTAAGCAACCTCACAGGACTAGCAGATGCGGTGTTCCAACGGCCATGCTCCTGGACACTTCAGGCTGCAATGGCGGGAAATCAACGTAACCAAGAGCAGTAAGTTTACACTGATCTTTAAAACTTTCTGCATGGTTGTGCACGCCTGTAATCCCAGCACTCAGGAGGCTGAGGCAGGAGGATCACTGCAACTTCAAGAATAGCGTGGGCTACACTGTGAATTCAAGGCCAGCCTGGACTACATAGAGAGACTCTATCTCAAAAAAAAACAAAAACAAAAACAAAATACCCACCAAAAAACCCAGAAACACTTTGTAATTTAGGTAAAGGGCCCGCAGGACTGGTGCCTCGGCAGGCAGAAACCTGAAGAGTCCCACGGGTTTCTACCCATCCAAGCCAGAACCCTGAAAGAATTTCCCGACTCTCAAAGGCTTTGCATACTTCCTGAGTGTCTCTGACGCGCCTGGAAATCTAATCAAAGGTTTAACACTGTTTCAGGGAAAACTTGGCTCTAATTCTTAAGCAATTACCTTAAAACATCAGCCTTACAGAGTAAGCCTATTTATACCCGGATGATTATTTATGATTTACATTATTTTAGATACTGATTTCATTCTAATTGAACTATGAATGTCGGCGAAACAACGTATTTTTAATGCACTTAACACAGGTTTTGCTGAATGCGCTTGACAAGTGAACCCGCAGAAGCTTTCACCTAAGGAATTTGCACAGCTCATCAATCAGATGGTCAGGCTGGAACCGCAGGGGAGAAACTTAACACACAGCCCAGGATAGTTTCCTTTTGTTCCCCTGGCAAGAGACAGGCTGGTGAGTTAGCACCCGTAAAGCACAACACAGCGTGCAGACTTTGAACAGCAGCGGAATGAGCAGGGATACAGCAAACGCAGGCTGGGGCATCCACTGCCGGAAGAGGCGCCCCCTGCAGGCAGGCGTGGGTGCGGCCCGCAGAGTGCAAGTTCCTGTTCCTTTCCCTAAGCCTTCTTCACCACCCTGCCTTCCGCTGCCTCACCTTGAGGTTGCTGATGTGCTTGAACACAAAGGGGTTGTTGATGTTGATCTGCTTCCGGATCTTGTCATTCATAGCATTGACGTAGGTCTGGTACACTGCCATGCACTTCTTGGCCAAGGACGACGCATAGTAGATGGGGATGTCATGCAGCTCTGGGTGGTTCTGCCAGTACTCATCTGGAAGGGTTGTGTGAGAAGCCAGCTCCGTCACGTGGAGCAAGGAGGCCAATCGAGAAGTGACACTCACCGTCATTAAAGTTTTAAGCATTCAGACGGCCAACAAATAAAGTATTGCTGGGCAAATAAAGTATCGCTGGGCGTGGCAGTGCAGGCCTCTAATCCCATCACTGTGGGAGGCTGAGGCAGGAGGATTGCAAGCTTATGGTCAGCCTGGGCAACTTAGGAAGACTGTCACATTACTGGACTCCTAAGGACTGAGAGGACTTACAGTTAGAAAAGAAGACCAAGGCCAGGCATGGTGGCGCATCCCTGTAGTCCCAGCATTTGGGAGGCTGAGGCAGGACTGCCAAGAGTTTGAGGCCAGCCTGAGCTACACGGTGAGACCCTGTCTCAAAAAAAACCCAAAACAAACAAACAAAAAAGGACCAAACCGAACCAGAAGACTAGATTGCTCAAGAGGCTGAGGCAGGAGGATCGCTGTGAATTTGATGACAGCTTGGACTACACAATGAGTTCAAAGCCAGCCTCAACTGCATAGTGAAACCTTATCTCAAGAAAAAAAAAGAGTGGATTCGATTCAGATTTAGAAAACATGGCTTCTAGAAAATCTGGTTTCTGCTCTGCCTTGCTTCCCTGCTAGTGTACGGGAATAACACTGCTTGTCCTTGTTAGCTGTCACGTTCGCTCTTTCCTCAGAGCCAGATACGCAAGGCTCCTAGGACCAAACCCCATCTTTCAATGAAGGCACCAAGGCCAGAGTGGTGGGTGATGTAGCCAAGGCCTTTCCGCTCCCCGGGCAGTGACGTGGGGTCTGATCGTTTCCCCAGTGGAAAGGAAATGCGCACCTAGAATCAAGAGCAGCTCCTGAGCCCTTCCGAGCGCGAACACAGGGATGAGGCCCCGGCCCCCCCTGTTGACGATGTCGTGCACGGTGTTGCAGAACCTCGCCTCTCGCTCCTCGCGCTTCTCGTGGATGTGAGTCCCGTAGGTTGATTCCTAAATCAGGGTCAGACACGCGACACCAGGAGTTCAGAAGTGAGCATCGCCCACAGGCGGTGACGCAGACTCATTTCCTCGCTTCCCACACTGCTCAGCTGTGCACATTCTGGCACAACAGTCATCGGAGAGGAGAGCGAGTGGGACATCAGACCCAGACCTGAGGAAATCATCCATGCGAGCACAGAAATGCCCACTCACCCACCAAGAGTTCTGCTTTGCTGGGCTGCAGGCCTGCGCCATGCCTGGCTGCTGCGGCTGCATAGACCCCTGGTCTGCTCTCAGCTGAGGGGTCTGCTGGCACCCCAGGGAGCTCATCCAGCACGCAGCCTCACCCCCCTATGGCACCCCAGTCAGGCTGTGTTCCAGCAGTGTTGATGTAGCACCGCCAGTCGAGAAGCACTGCTCTGAAATCCCTGCTATTGTGCACACGATGACTTGTGTGAGCATTGGAGATAAATCTTTCCTTGTAACAGGAGGCTCTCTGTGCTGCATGTGCCACGTGCAGAGTCAACGGAACCCACTCTGCACGGTGACAGCCACTGGGCCCTCGCCTGGTGGCTGGGACTGTAGGAGGCGGTGGGGGAGACACCCTGAGCCAAGCGCATCTGGCGTTCGTGACATCCACACATCTCATAAGCCCAGTTCTCTCCTGTCTCTGGACGCCACCGTCACCAACACACAGCTTTGATCTGCGCCCTCCAGTGACCACCCCAGTTCACGGCCTGTTTCTGAAGGGCCTGCAACCTACCGTGCAGACAGCACACGTCACGTGCAGTGTGATGAGCAGTGCGTGCAAAGGGACAAAGACAGTCACCACGGCAGGGGGTGGGGACGGTGCGTTTCTAAGACAGCCTTGAAAACACTCTCCAAGGAGTCTGGGCTGACTCACACAAGCGAAGTGTGCAGGGACAGTGAGGATCAGTCCTGGTTTAAAACCACCCGGCCTGAGCTGGCCTTACGTCCCAGTCCCCAGAGCACTGTCAACACAAGATCTGAGAGGAAACGGAGGAGCAGCAAAGAGCAGCCCCAAACACCAACTCTTGTACAAACACAACCCCAAGTTGACGTCCAGTAACACCATGAACGCAAGGTTTTGATGCTTTCCACGAGAAAATATCCTGCTTGCATTATACCAACCACAGTACAGCACATCTCCACTTACAATGATCAGAATGTCAGGCTTGATGTTGGGGATCTCAGCGGCCATCAGGTGCCGGTCCTCCTGTCTCGAGAAATCACCTGTGTACAAAAGCTGTGAAAAAGCAAAGCTGGGCAGTTAGGATTTGGGGGAGGTCATTTTGCTAGGGAACACTGTAATTCTGTGAACTCTACAAGCAAAATTCAATTTAAAAAGACAGCCTGTACCTGATAAGATCCAGGGCAATGCCTGTGTCTAAATCAGGATGTGTGATCTAGTCAGATCAGTAACCCTACTTAGATCCCTAAATTACTCAGAGGAATTACTCACTCTAAGAGGAATGAGACACCCCAGAATCACCCCACAAAGAGAACAATACACTAGGGAACTTGGGCAGGGCTCTAGCAAGAAAGGATGTGCTGCTGAGCAGAAAGGGCTCTCCAAGGAATTGGGGCACCGTCTATGAGGAGAGGGTACGGGGTTCACGTCCAATTCTCAATGAGGATTCAGACCTGCACTTGAGCTATTTCCTGCTCATTTTTTATTCTGAGACAGGGTCTCACTAAGTTGCTCAGGCTGGGCTGGAACTTGGGATCCGCCTGCCTTGGCCTTGTGAGCGCTGGGATGACAGAGGCCCAGGCAGGAACGCACCTTCACGCCCGCGATCTCAATCATGAACATGGCGGCCCCCAGCACGTGGCCTGCGTGGTAACACCAGAACTTGATCCCCGCCACCTCCTTCACTTCGTGAAAGTTGATTGTTTCAATTTTGTCCATGCTCTCCTCCAAGTCAGTCTCGGTGTACAGCATGTCGTCCGCCGAGATGTTGCTGTAGGATGCCAACAGAATTACTGTAGGATTTCTTAACGGTCGAACTCAAAGTGATGGGTGACAACCGTGAAGATATTCTCTCTCTTTTTTTTGGTACCGGGACTCGAACTCAGGACCTTAGGCTTGCCAGGCAGGCACTTGTGCTGCTGAGGTATATCCCCGGCCCAAGGTATTTCTCTAAGCTATAATGTATGAAGTGTGCTATTCAGAATCTCTGTTATGTAGTTTTTATTGTGTGATTATAATAAAAATTTGGTTGCATAACTATGAAGCAACACAGTAATCAAAGTTTCTCAGTTTTAAGTAAAACTTAAAGTAAATGAAGATAAAGTACTCTTTTCTTTGGTTTTCTGAGACAGGGTCTTGCGACGTAGTCCAGACTGGCCCTGAACTCACTATGTAGCCAGGCTGGCCTTGAACTCACTATGTAGCCCAGGATGGCCTCAAACTTGCAATGATCCTCCTGCCCCCACCTCCCAGTGTGCTGGAATGGCAAGAGGGCCTTACAGAGCATTTCTATCATACCCACAGCTCCCCAAGTTTAGCAAAAATTAAAAAGGACATGAAGACAGAAAAGTCGGGAGGTGCTGGCACCAGCGTGTATTAGCGGTTGTCGCCGAACACCCACAGTCCTGCTGCCCCGAGACTGAGGAGCAGCTGCTGCGGAAGCAATGCACAGCTCTGCGGCCAGGGCAGCGTGAGGCCACCTACCTGACTTTGACATAATCCGAGAGAAGCCATCTGTAAATGGCTTTGGTGGCGTGCGTCATAAATGTTCTTCCTTTGAAGCTCGTCTTCTGCAGGAACCAGGGCAAAGCACCACAGTGATCCAAGTGGAAACTTCGGGAAACAAAGAAATCGAGATTCTTAAAGTACCATTCGCCACGGACTGTAAATAGTAACACGGTTGCTCAATAAACAAAAGGAGTTTTATATAACGGTTATGTAAGAGTACTTTCAGGAAACCAAGCATACTTGTTCAGAGGAAGGGATGATGCGTACATTTCAAGTATAGGGGGAAATTTTTTTTGAGATAGGGTCTCCCCATATAGCCCAGGCTGACCTCCAATTTGCAGTGCTTCTCCTGCCTCAGCCTCCTCAGCGCTGGGATTACAGATGTGTGCCATGATGCCTAGCCTCATTTAAAATATTTTAAAGCATTTTTTATTTTTATTTGTTTTGAGACAGGGTCTCACTATGTAGTCCAGGATGGCTCTGACTTTACTACATAGCTCAGGCTGGTCCTGAACTTGCAGTGATCCTCCTGTCTCAGCCTCCTGAGCACTGGGATTACAGGTATGCACCACTGTGCCTGGCTCTGTAAAGGGCTCTCATGGTTTCAGACTTGTCAGCAATTCAGTGTATACACAGCATCTCTCTTCCTGCTCCTCACTAGGTTCCATGTACAGGTAGGTAATGTTTGTTTGTCATAATAAGCTTCTCTAGTCTATGACAAAATGGGCTGTTTGTGCAGATTTAGATATTTGGAGTTTCTTTTTAATTTTTTTTTTCTTGGAGACAGGGTCTTACTATATAGTCCAGGGTGGTCTTGAACTCACTGTGATCCTCCTGAGGGCTAGGATTACAGGTGTGCACCACCACACCCAGCTCCAGTTAAGTTTCTTAGTGGAGAATATTTTTTTTAAAGACCAAAATCCGGTGCAGAATGATCTTAGTAGTAAATGTCTTTGAAAAACATTAACATTATTAGGGCTGGGGATTTAACTCAGTGGCAAAATGCCTGCCTGGCAAGTGCAAGGTCGTGAGTTCGATTTCTGGTACTGGAAGAAAATAAAAACAAAAACCAAAAAAACAACATTAATGTTATTATTCCTTAACAACAAAACTAACGAACTTACTGACTAATTAGCAGGAGATCAATCTCAGCTGGGTCGATCAAATCGATGTAAGGAAGAGCATCCATTCCTTCCAGGCCAGGGTGGATCCCACAGTCCAGCTGAGAGAGAGAGGAAATGATCAGTCTCCGACATGGCTTAGTGAAATTCATTCAGCAAACATAATTGAGCTGATCTACCACCTGAATAATCAAGTGAGATTTCACACAGGAGCGCTAGGAATACAATTCTTACTAAATGTGGTGAGTGTAACAGTAGCAATTCCAACTTCCAAATTAAAAATATAGCTTAAGCTGGGTGTGGTGGTGCATGTCTCTAATCCCAGAACTCCGGAGGCTGAGGCAGGAGGACTGGCACAAGTTTCAGGCCAGCTTGGGCTACATGAATTCAAGGCAGCTCAGGCTATGTAATACCCTGTCTCAAAAAACAAACCAACAAAAACCTAAGAGGAAAGAAAAGCTCATACTTAGGGCCACAGAATGCAAAATACAAGCTCTCTTTCAAGCACTGTTTGGTGGTCACCCTAAAAATACAGTAACTCTTTTTCAAGAACTTTGATATCAGAAGATGGTTTCTAATATCAAAGATGAGACTTTAAAAGGGCATACACAGATTTACTACCAGCAACCCTGACCACTGTGAAAACTAGAACAGCAACCCAAGGAGGCATCAGGGGACAAGTTCTCAAGGGCTGGGCACTGAAGGTATGCTCACTGTACAGGTGTAACCCCCAGCGAGGACCTGTCTGACACATACTCGCTCTTTAGCACTGGGGGAAGTGGAGGAGGACGAGCCACAGGAACCTGCCGAAGGACGGTCTTTCAGTGTGTGCCCTAGAAACCATCCCGGGCTGGGGGGGGCAAAGTGTAGAGCACTTGCCTAGCAGGGCCCTGGGCTCAACCCCAGCACTGCAAACAAAAGGAAAGCACCTCTCCTAATCCCTCCACTTCTCACATAAAGGACTGGGCTCAGAGCAGCCGATGTCAGCCAGGGACTTCGACGAAATGGGAGTTCAGGAGATCTAGTACCAACACTGACCCACCTCTTGGTTGTGAAATGCCTGTTAAGTGTGTACTGCTCTTCTCCTTAACATTACACAGCATGGGCTGCGTGTGGTAAAACACCTTTCTGGGAGCAAAACAGCCATCTTGTCTACCACAAAAGACCCAATACCCAGTACAGGCACAGCCACCCTGTTCATCTGAAGGCACAATGCCGATCGCTGGCCCGAGCTACAGGACCAGCTCAGGAGGCTCCAGGCCCTGGATTCAAGGATGATGGTGGCAGTGGTGATGATGATGATTACCATGATTTTTCTTCCTTTGAACTCTAGGATAATGCATGACCGTCCTACTTCCTGCCCAGCGCCACTGTAAATAGTAAAAGAAAGAAGTTGATTAAAAAACAATCTGAACTGACTCCAATAAATTTGAACTTTTTGTTTTTTACAACTTAAACTGCATCCCACCTTAAGGCAACACCTGTTTAAAACATTTACAAAACTGCAAAGAGGGAGGAAGAGTGTGAACACAGGAAAAGGTGAACAGTGAGCCCTGGAGCTCAGGGAGTTTGCAGTTGTTCGAAATGCGGAGAAAGCGGGTTGCACCCTAGGAAGCCAGAGGCTAACGTCAATCTTCTGCTGCTAGGATTGAACAAGAGGGTACTGAGAATGTAAGCGGTTAGAATGTAAGGTAGCAGGGTTACTGAACACTTTCACAGTGGTCATTAAGTACAAAGCCAAACCACTTCAAAGTTCTTTCATTTTCTTTAAGACCCTAATAAGCATTTACTGTTCACATGGCTTGGCCTTCAATACTCCTCTCATGCTGTGGCCGGGCTCTTTCCCCACCGTGCGTGCAGGGCGCGTCACACTTCAGTCCTGATCTGATGCACACTTCTCCCCGGGCTTCTGACTGCGGTCTGCTTGTCTCTCTGTGTTCATCCTCAGCCCCTCCAACGGCCTCCCACCGCTCTTCCAGGGGTTCCAGCCCTGGGGCTCCTCAGTGCCACACCCTTCATTCTCCAGTTCCTTACTTGCAGATGACTTCATAGACTTTACCTGCGGCCCAGCCTGCTGCCCACAACGGCAGACCTCGAACACACACCCCTGACAGCCTTCCTGCCTCGAACTCAATTCACAAGACCTCTGCCCTCAGATGCAGGCCCATGTGGGCTCCTTGGTATGTTTGGATCTCAGTTCAAATGCCACCTTCCTGGAGGCTTTCCCTGGACTACCTCCTTTAATGTGTACTTGACAGCAAGGCACAGCCTGGCATAACACTAACAAGGACTTGAGGTTGTGTTGCTCAGTGCTATGCTGGGAGTTTCATAGGAAGAGACACTGTCCTGTTCATGGCTGTCACTGCAACAAGGCCCCACACAGAATAAACCTTAAGAGATACTTTGATATGTGGTAGCTCATGCTTTTAATTCCAGCACTCAGGAGGCTGAGGCAGGAGGACTGCAGAGTTCAAGGCCAGCCTGGGCTCCATAGTGAGTTCAAGTTCAGCCTGAGCTACAGAGCAAGACCCTGTCTCTAAAATAAATAAATAAAAAGATGCTTATCAATGAATAAAGCTCCCAAATTATGAGTTGTAGAAATATGAGGCTATGTGAAAGAAGCCAGACACAAAATGCTACATTCTGCCTGTTCCCATCTACACAAAGTGTCAGGAGAAGGGAAACTAGACCGCTGGTCACCTAGGGCTGGGGCGGCTGGAGAAACGGGCACGCTGCCAAGTTCAATGGGCATGAGGATTCTTTTTGGAATGAGGAAGATGCAAATTTTCCAGAACTGGATAGTAGTGATGGCTCCACAATTCTGCAGTACACTAAAACCCACTGAGCTGCACGTGAAGTAGACTTATATAAACGATATGCTGCTATGAAACCAAAAAAGCACACTGACCCCGGACCTCCTCAGCTTCTGTGACGCTTTTGTGTGGCGCTGGGGCCACACTAAGCAAGCGCTGCTCCTGCCGACCTCCCCCGCCTCTCTGGACTCTGTGACTGACACGGCGCTCTGCAAACTGCCCAGGCAAGGAATATGAACCACGCTGCTCTCTGCCCTGTGTCCACACCAGCCCTTCAGAGAGCAGCTCAGCAGTTATAAAACGCCCAGGCTTTTACTTCCCTCTGGACTTGGATTATTCCAGATGTCCACCTAGGTTCCCTCCATCAAATCCATCCTTTCCTTCCCTGCAACACTTTGGCAAGGACTGAGCTTCCTCAGGTGTCACCTCTACTGTACCTCAGCCTTGCTCAAAACCCTGTTGGCCTCCTGTAACTAAGAGAAGAGCCCCAACTCTTTAACACGTCCCGTGGCCCCTTATACGGTGTCCCACCCCATCTAGGCTGTCAGCCACAGCCTCGAAGAAACTGGCTGGGAGCTATGAACACTTTTTCACACACGCTCCCCACCTCTAGGACTGAGCTCACACACCATTTTCCCAGATGTGTGAGGTGTCCTTCTCTTCAGCCTGTGAGGAATCCCTTTTCCACCAGGAGTGTTGGTGCACACCCGTAATCTCAGTACTCAGGCGGCTGAGGCAGGAAGACTGCAAGTTGGGGGCCAGCCTGGGCTACATGAGAGCCTGTCTCAAAAAACAAACCCCAAATTCCTCTTCCATACTCCTCTGCCAACGCCTCCCTGTGCTCTGGGAACAGCCATCGCCTACTGGGCCCCAGCGCGGCCTGTACTCCTCACAGTACAAGAGGACAGGTTCCAGGACTGCTGTCCTGCCGAGCAGTCCAACTCCAAAGTCATCATCTCCTATCTTTTCCAGACTCTCTCTAGTCTTTCCGTTTTGTACTGTGTCGCCTCAAAAAGGGTGAAATCTGTGAATGGGCCCTCTGTCTCACCTGTGTCCCCAGGGACCGGTGCAGGGCAGACACTTGCCCAGTTTATAGAACCCAGGAAGACACCGCGGGTGCAGACTAAGCACAAGGAAACTGGGCTGTGTCCACAGTCGGCGCTCAAGAATACTTACCGAGTGAATGTGCAAAAGACACTATCTTTTTATTTATTTCGCAGTACTGGTTATCGAACCTGGGGACCTTCTCCTTGAGCTACATCCCCAGCCTTTTAAAAATTTTTTTATCTTGACACAGGGTCTTGCTAGGTCTCTAAACTGCCCAGGGAGGGGTGAAATTTGCTATCCTCCTGTTCAGCTTCAGACTGCTAGGATCATAGGTGTGGAGCACCAAGCGCAGCTGACTTTCTGTCTTTTGAAGAATGCACACTGACGTGGTGTTAGCTATTTAACAGTGAAATGTTCAAATGAGAAGAGGAACAAGGGAGGGGGGAAAGGAAAGAAGGGACAAGAAAAAAAGACTAGAAGGAAAAATCGAAATAAAGCTTTTGTAAACAAGAGGAGTGGCTGAAGGAAGGGAAAGCGAATGGGAGAACAAGAATATACATCATGTACAAGTACAAATTCCCTACGACGAATGTAATCATGATGTGTACCTAAAATGTACCAATAAAATCAATTTTTAAAAATCTAATAGTGAACAGTAAAAGGAAGGTCTTTGGCTACAAATGGCTCATCTACGGGAATAAAGTCTCCACGTTTACACTCCCTTTTTTAGTCAACCTTCCAGGAGGCGAAAGGCCATCTCCACGGAAGGACCCGACTCCTGGGAGGTGCTGGGGGTTATGTTTTGGTTCGTAACACCTCTGCTCTTTCTCCCCCTTATTCTGCCAGGGTCTGAGATTCACAGCAAGTCCGATCTACTTCCTCCCTTTTCGATCAGGCTGGGTCCCGGAGATGGTAAGAAACAGATCCGGCTGCGCCCTTCGCGTGCCGACTGCCTGGCCCGCCCTGGCGTGCGCGGCCCGGCTTTGTGCCACCTGATAACCGTTTTCACAGGAAGGCGCCCAGGGGCCCGAAGTAAGTTTTCCCCCCAGGCCCCAATATACGCTCCCTGAGACCGAAGAAAAAGCAAAACCCCTCTCGACCTAGCAGCCCTTCCGACCCTTCTCCAAAGCCCCGGCCCGCGCGAGTGGGCCGCAGGCACGCGGGACCAGGACGACGGCCAGGCCGGCTCGCCCGCGGCCCCACTCCCGGCGCGCCGGTCCCTTACAGGGGTCGGATCAGCAGCTGGTCGCTCTCCTCAGCAGGAATCGCAGACATCCTGGAAGCCTGAGAAGAAGAGCGCGTGAGGAGCACGCCGAAGTCTTTCTAAACTGAAAACAACCAGCACCAACCAAAGGAAGAAAATCCCCCATCCGCCTAGAGACAACGTCCGGCAGGCCGGCGCCCGCGGACTAGGGTCCTCCCCAAGATTTCCGGTTGGAGGGCCCTGCAGAAGACGTTCCGCGCGACTCCAAGTCCGGAAACCGAGGGTGTGCCCGAGGACTGCGCACGCGCGGTCTTGAGGGCGTGGCCTTGGCGGACACGTCCGGAGGGCTGGAAAAGCTGGCGCTGGAGTGCAACCTGGAGTAGCTGCCCAGGCGCTCGGACTCCCGGCGTGGAAGGTGACCGTGGCCCCGGGGACGCGGCCGGCCACCAGGTGAGAGCCCCGGCCTGTCCTCACCTGGGACCGGGCTGCGGCGCGGGCGGGAGCGCGGCCCAGGGCGGCGCCGGCGGCGGGGACGGATGGGTGGGGCTGGGGGACGCCCGGAGTCGGCGACCGCCTTGTCCCCGGGCCCCGGCGGGCGGGTGCGGAGAGGGGTGGCGGGGTCCCCGGGGCGGGCATCGGGCCACCGGAGAGCAGGGCGAGGCCGAGCCCCCTCCGCGCCCCCTGGCCGTGGGACAGGGTTGTGTCCCTCGCTGTCACATTCCCCGCACAGTGACACGCACGTGCGAGTAGGCGGGTGTAGGTCCAGGTCCCAAACCCCGCCATCTGACTCTAGCCTGGTGACCTTGGGCTCGTCCCTGCCTGTGGGATCCTCGTTTGAACGCGGCTTTCCTGCTCCAGCCTCGCCGATTCGAGTTAGGGTCAGCGGTTTCTATGGCCCTGGCACTCCTCTAGGCACCTGCTAGGCGCTCAGCTCTGGGTGTCATGTGGGTGTCGCCTCCCACGACGTCCTCAGGAGCCAGTGTGCTGAGCGCAGCGTGCACAGGGGGAGAACAAACCAGCCCCGCCCTGGACAGGCTGGAGAGCCGCAGAGCTGTAAGCAGATAGCACAATGTCCTGCGTGACCAGGACCAAGCTCCGGGTCCCTCAGCAGGAGCTGGTGGTCCAAGACAACACACGTCTGTCATCCCAGCCCCAGGCAGTCTGAGGCAGGAGGATCACCATGAGCTCGAGGCCAGCCTGGGCTACAGAGGGAGAGTGAGAAAGATTAGATTACAGAGTGAGCTAGATTAGATCACCCTTCAGGTGCAGTAAGGGGATCTCGGTTGCTTGATCCGAGTGGAGACTGGAGGACATGAGGGCTGATGATTTCCTGGTTGTACCAGCAATGATTTCTGGAGTGGGAGAGGGGAGGGAGGGGCAGATCCGGAGGGAACAGGCTGTGTTCACTTGATGCACTTGAGGAGTCTGCAGAACATCCAAGTGACAGTCAGTACCCTTGGCCTCATTCACTTGCACAGATAATTTACAGGCAAGGATGAATTGCTCGAGAGTGTATGTCAGAATAGCAGCAGGTATCAGAAGCATCCACAGAAGCTCTTTTCTCTGAGATCCTGGGTTGATGTGGAAAGAAAGTGCAAAAAGCCAAGAGTGGTGGCTCATGCCTGTACATAGTCTCAGCTGCTTAGGAGGCTGAGGCTGGCAAAGCACAAGTTCAAAGCTAGCTGGCCAGACCGTGTCAAAATAAAAATGAAAAGGGCTGGGGTTATGGAGAAGCCATTTCTAAATCATTCTGGTGTCCTAGGGATTTAAGGAGATGTTTTAGGATTTCACTAAAAATAGAATCAGATTTTTTAAAAGTCATCGAACTGGCAAGTATGAGGTCCTGAGTTCAATTCTTGGTACCCCTCTCCAAAAAAAAGTCATTTAAAATCATTACGTAGAGCTAGCACCAGGGCAAGTGATAGCTGGATGGACACTGGGAGACGCTGTGCCTCGCTGAGGAAAACAAGTAAACATGGGCAAAGGAGATCCTAAGAAGTGGAGAGGCAGAATGTCATCATCATATGCATTCTCTGTGCAAACTTGCCAAGAGAAGCGCAAGCACCCAGATGCTTCCCTTAACTTCGCAGAGTTTTCTAAGAAGTGCTCAGAAAGCTGGAAGACCATGTCTGCTAAAGAGAAAGGAAAATTTGAAGATGGCAAAGGTAGACAAGGCTCGTTATGAAAGAGAAATGAAAACTTACATTCCTCCTAAAGGAGAAACAAAAAAGAAGGTCAAGGATCTCAATGCGCCCAAGAGGCCTCCTTCGGCCTTCTTGTTCCCAGTATCGCCCAAAAATCAAAGGGGAACATCCTGGCCTCTCCATTGGTGATGGTGCAAAGAAACGGAGAAATATGGAATAACACCACAGCAGATGACAGGCAGCAGCCGTCCCAGAAGAAGGCTGCCAAGCTGAAGAAAAAGTACAAAAAGGCCTTGCTGCCTACCGAGCCAAAGGAAAACCTGATGCAGCGAAAAAGGGAGTTGTCAAGGCTGAAAAAAGCAAGAAAAAGAAGGAAGAGGGAGAAGATGAAGAGGATGACGGTAAAGAAGATGATGAAGAATAAGTTGGTTCTAGTGGAGTTTTTTTCCTAGTCTGTAAAGCATTTAACACCCCTGTACACAACTCACTCCTTTTGAAGAAAAAAAATTGAAATGTAATGCTGTGTAAGATTTGTTTTTAGGGCCAGGTATGTAGCTCAGTGGCACAAGGGACTGCTTGGCAAGCGCAAGGTCCTGAGTTCGATTCCCAGTACCAAAAACAAACAAACAAAGATTTCTTTTGCCTGGCGTGGTGGTGCACGCCTGTAATCCCAGCACTCGGGAGCCTGAGGCAGGTGGATTGTTGCGAGTTTGAGACCATCCTGGGCTACAAAGTGAGTTCAAGGCCAGCCTGAACTGCATAGCGAGACCCTGTCTCAAAAAAAAAAAAAAAAAAAAAAAGATTTGTTTTTAAACTGTTCAGTGTCTTTTTCGTTGTATATTTAACACACTACTGAACGTGTCTTTCGACAGCCCTGTCCTGCTAGTATTTTCAGTAGCCATTAACCTTGCCTGGCACAGTATGGGAGCTGTAAATTGGCATGGAAATTTAAAGCAGGTTCTTGTTGGTGCATGGCACAAATTTTTTTTTTTTTTGTCTTTTTGAGACTGTCTTGCTACGCAGTTCAGGCTGGCCTTGAGCTCACTTTATAGCTCAGGCTGGTCTCGAACTCGCAATGATCCTCCTGCCTCAGCCTCCCGAGTGCTGGGATTACAGGCATGCACCACCACGCCCGGCTGGTCACAGCACAAATTAGTTATATATGGGGACGGTAGCTTTTCATCTTCAATTGTCTCTGATGCAGCTTATATGAAATAATTCTTGTTCTGTTAACTGAATACCACTCTAATTGCAAAAAAAGTTGCAGCTGTTTTGTTGACATTCTGAATGCTTCTAAGTAAATACAATTGTTTATTAGAAAACATTATGTATATAAATAATGCATTTATATACACAGTCAGCTGTCCTTATTCCCGAGGTCTACATCCTCAGATTTAATAAACCCAAGACTGAAAACAGTCAAAAGAGTTGTGCTGTATGGAACACATATGGGCTTGTTCTTGTCATTCCCTCAACAGCGCAGTGTGACAGCTCCTTTCTTGGTGTTTGCGCTATATTGGATGTGATACCTACGCTAGAGATGATTTAGTCTAGGCAGGAATGCCTGTAGCTTCTATGCAAATACATTCCTTCATGTGAGGGACTTGAGCCTCACAGGAGTTTGGTATTGACAGGGCTCCTGACCTAATTCCCTTGCACATCCCAAGGGAGGTCTGTGCTTTAATGTGTTCAATATGTTGTACACTAACATTTTTGTTTGTTGGAGACAGAGTCTTGCTATGTAGCCCAGGCTGGTTTTCAACTCGTGATGATCCTCCTGCCTCAGCCTCCCAAGTGCTGAAGCCAGCAGGCTTGGCTGTATGTGTTTTGTCTTAGGTCCACTGACTTCCTCTAAAATTCTGTCCCCTGAGGTCAGAGGCTTTAGCTTTGTTCACAGAGATGGCCTCAGCATCTACGAGATGCTCCCTGACCCCTAAGATCTTCTCGCTGCTCCACAAACAAAGCAAAAAAGAGAAAGAAGGGATGGTGCAGCTGGCTAAAGAGCTTTGGGTCTGGGGTCAGACATGGCAGGCAGGTGGGCCAATAGGTGTACTCAGAGTGACGTCTACAACTACAGAAACTTTTTATCCCCCTTAACAGTGGGAACTGCATAGGGGCTTTGCACTAAGCTATAGCCCCAGCTTTTCTTTTTTTTTGGAGATAGGGTCTTGCTAAGTTGCCCAGGCTGTGCTCCAACATGGCGATTGATCCTCCTGCCTCAGCCTCCCAGAGTGCTGGGATGACAGGCGCCTAGTTAAGAGAGGAACTTTGAGCAGGACCGGGGGCTTTCACTGACTGTGCCATCTTTGACACACTGAATCTCCTTTTTCAGGCACGCTGTCCCTGGAAGAACCAGCCATGTCAGGATGAGAGAAGGCTGAGGGTGGGCTGCTCTCCACCAGCCCTTCGGAAGCCATAAGACACTGCAGCTGTAGTAAGTGCATTTCTGTTCCTGCTAAAGTGCATCCTGGGAGCAAATGTGTTCCACTGTCATCTTCATCAACTCAGCGGGCACAGAGAGCTGCGTGGCAGACCGCTCATCTGTAAAATGCAGATTTAACCCACCTTTCTGGAGCACGCTGAGGGTCAGGCTCAGCCACAGCACGGTCTGTGGCACACAGCAGGCCCTTAAAAAGCATCTGTGAATGGGAGTGGTGGTGCACAGCTATAACTCCAGCATTATTGGAGGCTGGGGCAGGAAGATCTCAAGTTGAAGGTCCGCTTGGGCAATTCAGCAACTTAGCAACACCTTGTCTCAACATTTAAAAAGGGGAGGTGGTGGGGAGCTTGGAGCTCGGCATGAAGGCTCTGGGTTCAATCCCCAATGCCACACACGCAAAAAAAGATAAAATTGGGCCACAGATATAGCTTGGTGGCACAAGGGCCTGCCTGGGAAGGCAGGGTCCCAAATTCAATTCCCTGTACCAAAAAAATTAAATAAATAAATAAAATCTGTGGCGCAAGCAAGGTGTTGTGGCACATGCCTGGGGTTCCGGCGCTCGGGAGGCTGAGGCAGGAGGATCACTGAGAGTTCAAAGCCAGCCTAGGCTACATAGGGAGACCTTATCCTAAAAGACCAAAAAACTAAATGTGTGGAGCAAATGACTATGTCACAGGATAGGTATGCGAAGATAAAATGAGCGTGTTTGGAAGCTCTGTGAGCTACACACCCTGCAGGTTAACTGTCCAAGAATAATAATCTGCACAGGGGCGGGGGAAATAGCGGCACAGTGTCTAACTGGCAAGTGCAAGGTCCTGAGTTCAATTCCTGGTACAAAAAATAATAATAATAATAATAATCATCTGCACACCTGTGAAACAGGCATGCCTAAGTCGTATGTTTCCCAGGCACTGGTTCTTTTAAAAAGTAGATCTATGCAAAGAGAGGCAGGGGACAAACCTCAGACACTGACATCCGCTGCTTACCTGGCTTTGCTGTCCCCAGGCGGGTCCTTAGGGCAGCTCTTAGGTCAAGCTATTCTCCGTCCTGGCAGGTGGGAGGGGGGGCAGGAAGTAGGTGGAGTGGGAGGCAGGAAGTGGAAGTGTGGTAAACAAGTGTTAATTGGCTCCAATCCTGAAGCAGCTAAGGGAAGAAGCTTGAATCTTTTGGGAGCCAGAAGAGCTAGGGCCCTGCATGTGGTAGACAAGTGCCCTACCAAGAGCTCCAACACAGCCCAGCTTTCTGTAATTTAAAAGGAAAGAAAGGAACTGAATAGTACCCAAGAGTAGATATTTATTTTTAAGTAAAAGGAGTACATTGGGATTGAACCCAGGGCCATCACAGTGACAACTGTTAAATTGTACAGGCAGGGCTGGAACTTGCCATCCTCCTGCCTCAGCCTCCCAGCATGCTGTGCACCACCACACCCAGCTTTGATGTTGCGTTTTTCTTTTTTTTTTTTTGGTTTTTCTCCGGTACCAGGACCCGAACTCACGACCTTGTTCTTGCTAGGCAGGCGCTTTGCCGCTGAGCTAAATCCCCAGCCCCGATGTTGCGTTTCTTGATGCCATTGTAACTGACCTTTCTTCTTCTAGGGGTTCTTCCCTGTGTCACGCTATGGTGAAAAATGTTCCGGAAAGGCAAAAAGCGACACAGCAGTAGCAGTTCCCAAAGTAGCGAGATCAGCACGAAGAGCAAGGTAGGGCAAACTGTGCTCCTGGTGCCGCTTGGTTGGCACAGGTGTACCAGGTCTCGCTGCCCCGTGATCGGCACTGTCCAGGGCCTGAGGCTCATTTTTGATATGACAGACATACTTGGTTTAGTTTAACTTTATTCTGTTTAGGCAGATTTTCCTGAAATTCTTAAATCCATTAAACTATGCACAGTCTCATGGAAACAAACACAGATTTAAAGAATTTTTGATGTGATGGAAACTGGAGGTGCAAAGGGCTGCATTTCGTGGGTTCTGGGGTTCACTATGTGTGTCACATTCACTCCCCAGTATGCTAACACCTTGTACCTGAGAACTTTTGACGCCGTTTGAAGGAATGATGCATGGGTTGAACTTAGGTGAAGCGAGTTTTCGAATCAGATGTTCACAGAATATTATTTCTTTTTTCCCTTGTCTTTTTGAGAAAAGGTCTCACTGTGTAGTTCAGGCTGGCCTTGAACTCACTTATGTAGCCCAGGCTGGCCTTGAACTTACGGCAATCCTCCTGCTCCAGCCTCCCGAGTCCTGGGATGACAGGCGTGCACCACCATGCCCGGCTATAGAATGTTATTTCTAAGGAAACTATGAAACCATTGTAGTTCTATGGGACAAACCACTTTCTGTTGTGGTTTTTAAAAACTTAACTGACAGTTACCTTGCTGGGCCAGGTACCCTGGGTGTCACCGTGGAGCACCAGTTTGGAATTAGATTTCCAAAGTTCCAGTTGTTTACTCTGTGTGAACTCTGGGCCTGTCACTTACCTTCTGGTCTCTCATATGCCCTGCCTGGCTTTCTGCATAGGATTCACTTGGGGTTCTGTGGAAATGACCTCAAAACACAGTGTGGATTTTGAGAGAATATTAATAAAGGATCTTATAAGGTGTGAGAGGTAATGGTTTAGGCTGATAATGTTGTGTGACAGGAAGAGCAGTTCGGTGTATGTTTTGTTGTGTTTTAATGTTGGCTTTTTGCGGGGGTTGTTGAGGCAGAATCTCACTTATGTAGTTCAGGTTGGCCCTGAACTCGAGGAAATCCTCCTGCCTCAGCCTCCCAAGTTCTGGGCTCACAGGCATGCACCACTCCATCCAGCTACAGTATATTCTTTTGAAAGCTGCTCTGGAATGTGACTTTAGAAAAACCTGTTGCCCTCAATGTTCCTGAATAGCTGACCTGAACTTGTATCAGCTCAATTCATGGTAATCTCCGGTTTGGTGACGAGCTTGAGTGCAGCCAGGGCTTCTGACTGCGGCTTGTGTGTCCTGTGTTCCTCAGTCTGTAGATTCCAGCCTGGGGGGTCTGTCACGCTCCAGCACTGTGGCCAGCCTGGACACGGACTCCACCAAGAGCTCAGGTGCGTAGACGGCTCGGGCCAAGTCCTGAGCACTGCTTCTCCCCACGTGTGCGTAGCTTTACCTCCGGGTGTGCCCTGAGTCCCGTGTGCCTGCCACGTCCTGAAGTCCACAGGCAGCCAAAATGTGTGGGTGTGGACACGTCACCCTGGAGCATCGCTCAGGCAAGTGGCTTCTTAGTGAGGCCTGGGGCCAAACGCCATGTGGCAGCCCCTCGGTTTCCAGATAGCGTTGTGAGACACGAGGGGCCGAGGGTGAGTCCCGCTGGATCTCCGCCATTTACAGCAAGGGCCGCTGTGTTGGTGAGTAGAGGGGTAAGGAGCCAGTTACCCCGACGGCTGTCTTGAGAGTCGCAGTGATTAGGGCAGTGGCTGTCACGGACCCTTGCGGAGTGACTGCAGCCACCAGAATTAGTTGCTCATTAGAAATCCAAAGGCAGCTCCTACCCCAAGCTCTGTAAGTAGCTAGTGACTAACTGCGTGTATCCTACATTCATTTTCTCACCCAGAGCAGGGTGAGACGAGGCAGTCTGTAAAGGAGAGTGTTGTAGTGTGCAGTCCGTTACCTTTACTTGCAGGTATCTTTTAAGATATTAGAAATGGAAGCATCTTTTTTGTTATATAAACACTTCCTAAAAGCAGTCACATAGTATTTCCTTAGTGTGGCAGGTATCATAATTCATTTGTGGTAATTTTTATGTTGGCTAGATTTTATAGCAGACAAGGACTTTCTAGTATTAGTCCCTCTACATTAAAAATATAATAATTGGTGCTGGGCCTGGTGGTGCATGCCTGTCATCCCAGAACTCAGGAGGCTGAGGCAGGAGGATGGCAAGTTTGATTCTAGTCTGGGCAATTTAGGGACTTAACAAGACCACGTTGCAAAATAAAAAATAAAAGGAGGAGGTAGGGGTGTAGCTCAGTACAAAGCCCCGAGTTCAGTCCTCAGTACCGAAAAAATATTTAAAATCATATTCTGATGGCAGCTTCTGCTTTCCTTTGGGACAGGCCGGGGACTGTATTTCTTTCGAAGTCTGTGACAAATTTCCCTGCCCCTTTAGGACAAAGCAACAATAATTTAGACACCTGCGCAGAATTTCGAATAAAGTATGTTGGTGCCATTGAGAAGCTGAAACTCTCCGAGGGAAAAAATCTTGAAGGACCACTCGACCTGATAAATTACATAGATGTTGCCCAGGTAAGAATATTTTTAAAAAGATTTTAATTTAAAGCCTCTGGTTAGGAGACTAAACGCACAGTGTTGGAGATGTACTCAGTAGCCACTGGGTAGCGCTGTGCTCACCGTCTTAGGCTGAAGCCAAGCATGCATCCCGGGGTCCTGGGCGGTTCTAGGTGCCTTGGACACTGTGCATGTAAGAAGCAATGCTGTCTGTTCCTCTACACATAGAACTTCTGGCTTTCACAGGACTGACAGCCTCGTTTAAACAGGAACTGAGGGTTTTTAAGACAGTCAGGCAAAGGCTTGACTGTAGCTCAGTCTGCTGTTGTCATCTTGTTGAAAGCGAATTCATGGCAGTGTAGCCCTAACACAGCCCCTCACTGACACTGTCTCCGGGAAGAACGGAGGGGAGGTGGGTTTCAGAAATCTATCCAGGTCAAGAACATAAGAACTAACTCATCATCCTGCAGGGAAATTCAGAAGGATAAGATACAGCAAAGCTGCAGAGTCGGCACGTAGAGGCCGATTTGTACTCTTAGTGCTGTGGGTGCGGATGAGTGAGACGCCTGTGGTCAGTCATAAGAAAGTGCAATCCCTTAGCTCATGGGGCGGCATGTGCGGTGGTTCTTCATGGAGGTAAAGCAAGTTACTTGTCTGAGGGAAATCAGGGAACCTCTCACTTGCTGTTCAACAGTGAACTCTTTGTGGTTGGCTTTCTTTATTCTAATTAGTTATCTCAGCATTTAGTTAGGGCTAAGTCATTTCAACCAAGTAGAAGCACCCAGTTTAATCTAAGTGAAATAGTAAACAGAAAAGAGTGCCGCCTTCTCTCAAACTACAGGGTCATCTTCATTCCTAAAAGACTGATATGTTCCTCATCTTGCTAGAGAATTTTTGTGTGTTGAAATGACATTACTGACAATAGGATAGTTGTTTTTTTTTTCCCTTGTACTTTTGAGACAGGGTCTTGCTATGCAGTTCAGGCTGGCCTTGAGCTCACTTTGTAGCCCAGGCTGGCCTCAAACTCACAATGATCCTCCTGCCTCAGCCTCCCAAGTGCTGGGATTACAGGCGTGCGCCACCCCACCACGCCCAGCTTGACAATAGGATAGTAATTACTGTTATCTTTGGTTTTGACTCTTGAAACTGCATTAAATCTGTGAGAAATAATTAACAAGCAGTTACTATAATATTGTGAGGAGCCAAGGTTAAGGTATTTGCACAGAGTTCATTTCCTGTTACTCATTATTCCAGAAAAACCTTTCTGATATGGACCATCTACTGACTATTGAGAGTATTTTAATGTATTTTAAAGACAAATTAGGCCGTGTTCTATCTTAGGAGCTACATCCAGGTAACCTGTTAGGGAACCACCAGCTAACATGTCCTGATTTCTGAACAGTTCACAATGCTGACGAGTGTGCTTGTAAGCCAAGGACTCATTGCTGAGCAGCCGCGTGCCCCGAGCCCCGAGCCCCAAGCCCTGAGCATGGGACACCAGCCATGCCTGTCCATCTGGGTAGGGTGGAAAGTGACTGAGAAATATGGTCCCAGGGCCAACTTCTGATCATTTCAGGCCCTGACACCTCCAGTACTGTACTTTAGACTCTAAATAAAGACCTTTATTCTAATAAGAGTTCTGTGAGAGGTATCTCAAATTTGGAATTACAGCTCATACCGACAGAACAGTATGCAAAAGTAGACTGATGTCAAGCTGGACATGGTGGTGCACAGCTGTAATCCCAGCACTTGGGAGGCTGAGGCAGGAGGACTGCCACAAATTCAAGGCCAGCCTGGGCTCCATAGTGAGTTCAAGGCCAGCCTGAACTCTATAATGAGACCCTATCTCCAAAAAAAGTAGACTGATGTCAAGCCCAGATTTGTGGCTATAAACAGTTTTAAAATGGTGAGTATCTCTAATGCCCCTTGGAAGAAGTCTTGCTTGGCTTACGTGTACCCACAGTCTCTGAAGTGTGTGGATTGTAAGGAGCAGATACTAGAAGGGACTAATCCAACTTGAGATGGTAACAGAATTTGAATGTACATCTTGTAATGTTTTTTACTTTAAAGCAAGATGGAAAGTTGCCTTTTGTCCCACTGGAAGAAGAGTACATTATGGGAGTTTCCAAGTATGGTATCAAAGTGTCCACGTCAGACCAATATGTAAGTAATGGAACTGAATGAAGTTTTAGGAAGTTGGGAACTCAGGCCTGGAAGAGCTTACTTGGAGTTGGGCCTCCTGTTTGAGTGGCTGGCTGCTCACTGGGCTAGAACATGGCCATTTTCTTGGGATGAACACATCCAGTCCACACACTGCACCCCGCACCCAGGTGAGGTGGCCCACACCTGCAACTCCAGCTACCTGTGAGGCTGAGGCAGGAGTATCCCAAGTCTGGCTGCCAGCCCGGCTACATATGAGACCGGGTCTCAAACAGAATAAAGGGCTGGATGGAGCTTGGAGGTATAGTGCTCGCCTTGCATGTACCACCCCTTGCTTCTGTCCTCGTACCACAAAAACGAAACAAGCAGCTGTCACCTTGGGAAGTGGCAGAGATGAGCATTCAGCTCACGCCCTCTTGTCCCATCTTTCTGGCATTTGAGCAGGAAGGTGTGATCTGTAGGGCAAGTCGCTCCGTCACCCAGTGTCCCAGGGACCCCTTGGGGTGAGAAACTTTATAAGCTACTTTCTGCCTGAACTGGGGGCATCCTGGTTAAAGTCTCACAACACTTTCTCCTTTGCGGGGCCGGGGATCGAATCCAGGGGTGCTCTGCCACTGTGCTACCTCCCCAGCCCTTTTTCCTGAGATGGGGTCTCAGCTGCCCACATGGGATGCACACTTGTGATCCTCCCGCCTCGCCTCGCTTCGTGCTGGGATTACAGGTGTGCACCATGACATGCGGCATCATGGCTGGCATCACGGTCAGTACACGGAGAGCGGGAAGATGTGAAACATGTCACCATCTCTGGTTTCTGCAGGACGTGCTGCACCGGCACGCTCTGTACCTGATCATCCGCATGGTGTGCTACGACGACGGCCTGGGCGCAGGCAAGAGCTTACTGGCCCTCAAGACCACAGACGCCAGCAGCGAGGAGTACAGTCTGTGGGTTTACCAGTGCAGCAGCCTGGTGAGGGCTTCTGTCACCCTGGCGGGCTCCCCGGGAGTTAGCGAGTGGCCATAGTGGAGCTCTTCACAGCCTCTCACAGGCTGGGAGAGCGCGCGGTGACAGGACCCATCCCGGCTCAGGTTGAATGCTTCCTGGAGGCCGGGTCAGCTGGCTGCCTGCCCCGGTGCAGGCTGTGAAGTATCCTCTTCAGCCCAGGATTGTCACCTAGCTGGGTGACATGAGCGGGGTGTGGCCAGGCGCCATCCACCGGTGCCGTCCGTCTGCCCTTTGCCCTGCCGAGGGGCGCAGGCTGCAGGCAGGGAGCTCCCGCATGGGTGCGTGGGGTGCAGGTGTGGGAGGGATGGACGTGACGGTGGTGCTCAGAGTCCGCGATGAGATATGTCAACGCCGCTCTCACTGAATCTTTTCTTGTAACGCAGGAGCAAGCACAAGCCATCTGCAAGGTTTTGTCCAGCGCATTTGATTCTGTGCTGACCTCGGAGAAGTCCTGAGCTCTGCAGCCGGGCAGGAGCCGCCTCAGCTCGGCATCCAGCTGCTTCCTAAACTGCTGTGCTCTCGATCTGGGACGCTGAACTCTTAGGGGACCAGGAAGGGACGCGCCAGTCCAATTCTCTGAAGAAAGTTACGATGTATGAAACACCAGTCATCTTTTACCGTATTAAAATGCACAATGGGTTAACACACGGTGGACTGTTTTCTGGGATAAAAACAAAACTTCATTTTCAAATGCAATGAAGTGCCGCAGAAGCTCCCTGTAGCCACACTGAGGACAATGAAGCCTGCCCGTGCGGCCGCCCAGGGACAGGACGTCATTGCCCATGGGTGGAGGTGGAGCATGGAGCGACGCCGTCAACTTTGGATACACGAGGGTAGTTTCACAAGCACATTGTCAAAGGTCGCAGGTTAGAAACCCCAGTGTTTAGCGAATCTTAGAAGATTACACTCATGCTAAAAGTAAGCAGCATTTAAAGGATCTCATGGACAGTCCGCTAGTGTATGTATTTTTTTTTAAGAAAGGATGTCAGTTAATACTTTAAAGATTAAAAACATCAGGAATAAAACCGTATCCATTTAAAAGTACTTTATTTTTCTTCTAGTCAAACGACTAGTTGACAAGGAGAGTAAACTTTATTAAACATGCTCTAATTATAAATCACTGCAGTAAGAACAATGAAAATAATTTCGGTTATACAGTATTTACAGTTGCGCTGCAACTAAACTGAAGTAATCAAGTGAGTGGACTGAATATAATACATCTCAAACAGCATCCTCCCAGGCTGCATAGCGAGCCGCCCACCGATCGACCTCAGGAGCTACCTGCGGCCACCTGATCGCAGAGCCGCCTGCCTCCCAGGTTAGATCCGTGGGAGCTGACACACAGAAGCGGCAGAATCCTGCAGCTGAAGTTCATGAAATGTAAACTTTAATATAAATAGATATCTACAGTGTTCTCCTTTCAGGTTTTCTTTCTTTTTTTCCTTTCCTTCCAATTTGCCATGAGCAAATAACTAGCAAAAGATCATGGGGAAGTGAATAGAATTTCTCCTCGGGAGAGGGCCACTCATGGCTCCTCGAGAGCACCAGCAGATTGTAGACTGGGAAAGTACTTCCAGGTGTTTTGGTGCCAGCGGGCTGGCAGATTAGTGTGGGCCTGGAGTTCGAGCGCTGATGTGAGCCAGCTCGATTCCTCCCATCGCTGGCACCAGTGTCCCAGGCACACAGGGCAGCCCTGTGCAGGAGGGGTGTGCACACGCCCTGAAGCCTGAGCAAAGTGACTCAGCAGAGGGTTCAAACAGCAGAAAGTGACAAGTAGTGAAATTAGATGTAGTGCTTTAAAAAAAAAAAGGACTTTAACTACAGACCTAATGCATATTTACCTGGAACGTTGAAAGGCAAAAAGCAATGGCTATACGACATCTTAAAACATTCCAGTTCTTTATCAGAGCAAACAAAAATACAATTGACAAAAGAATGTTAAAAGATCCACACTTACGAGAGTCTTGCATCATGAAGACAAGCTGCCGCGATCAAACGTGCCTCTGTAATGCACGCGGTACGGCACCGCCACCTCGCTTTCTAAGCCTGCGCGCCTACGTTATCTTATTTCATTCAAAGTTCCGAGGGGCATCACATGCCCGCTTACCTCCAGAGGGGGCCAGGCTTTCCAGTCCCTGACTGCGAATGTGGTGCTCACAATGACTCACAGAGGTATGATGGGTTGATCACGCTAATGAGTTGGGATTTTCTCACACCCTGACCCTCCCCAACCCCCAGTAGTGTAAGGTTAAGTGACACTGATAGCCTTAAGCAGGAAGACAGGTGTGTGGAGCAAGGCGTTCCCCGGGACCTTGATTCCTGACAGCTGCTGAGTACAAATGGACGGATACACGAGATGGGGGAGCGACCATTCCGTCTGCGTTCTATAGACACGAGATGCTAAGCTAGGGATGTCCTCAGGGGCTAGAAAGGGCAGTCAGTGGCACACGCGACAGGAAGCAACAGGCAGAGCTGCTTGTGTCCTGGGGGAACCGAGGAGGCAGATGTGGAAACATGGAAAGCACGTCAGCTGGGTTAAGGAACTGTTCTGCAGTTCATCACTGTGGTTTTCACCCAACCCAGAAGTGGTTTGTCATAACCCGGAAGGGATCAACTGGTATTTCCATAGGTTGCCAGGGGCCACCAGAAGCTTGGTTACGCGTGACTGTTCACAACAAAGGTCACATACACATGCCGGGCAGGGCGCGGAGCACACAGCGGGGTATAAATCCCCAGGCTGCTTTTGCAGACCTTGGGTGGGTTTACAGGGAGTGTGTGTCTTTAAAGGTGAACTGATGGATGGGCATGGCTGTGGACACGAAACCTTACTCATGGGCAGTGTAATGTGAATTTCACATAATTTTCACGTGCCATAAAATATTTTCATTTCCCCCCCAGGAACTTGATATTGAACTCAGGGTCTTTGCACTGAGCTGACACCCCTGGCCCTTTCTTCATTTTTTATTTGAGACAGGGTCTCAACAAATGGCTAAGTTGCCTTGGCTGGGGGCAAACTTGGGATCCTGCTGCCTCAGCCTCCCAGAGCGCTGGGAGGACAAGCATGTGCCACCACGCGCGGCTGGCTGTGCGTTATGAGTGGCAGTTTATTTGCTTCCTAAAATAGTAACTCCAGAATTGGACCAAGGAAAGCAGGAAGACTTTCCAACTGTCTTCATTTCAACATTTTTAGGTTTAGCTCTTTCTGTTGATGCGAGATCTTGGTTATGTAATTAAGGTAAGTTTTCGGTTCACCTTAGGAAATTCAGTTTTTTCTGATAAAAGTACAGTAACATTTCATGAAAACTGCAAATTATAAAAACAATTCACTTATATGTAAAAATCGCCTTCGAGGCTCTCAGAACGGTGGGAGGGCACAGACCCTGCTGCTGTGCAGTGTGCTTGGCGGCGAGGGTGGTGATGTGACGAGAGTTTTGGTACCAGTGAGCCCGGAATGGGGCAGCTGTGGAAAGGCTGTGTTCAGTGGTGATTCAGTCAGCGATAAAGTGCACGAATGACACGGGGAAGGCTCCTTTGCGGCTGGCATCTCCCTCAATGTGGCCGATCTGGAATGACAAGGTGCGGGGGTGTAAGACTGCCGGTGTGGGGGCACTTGGTGGGAGAGGAGGTTCGTTCCCAAGGGTCTCCTGTGGGGACAGAACTGCAGGCCTGCAGCTTCCCGGGCTCAGCAGGATGGTGGGAGGCAGCCTGGCTGACAGATGCTTTTTCACTCCCCAGAAAGATGGGGGCGTCTTGGCAGCAGCACCCCCAGGGTGGAGACCTCAGGCTAGAACACTGGGGCTGTGCTGTGGACGGGGACTGAGGCTGAATTCCAGGGTCCTGGAGGAGCCCAAATCCCTCCTGTGCCTGCCCCAGCCCCATCCAGGCTTGCCCTGGAGGCCATTGCTCTTGCCCCCTCGCCCCACTAATCCAGCCCTGGGGCCAAGGTCTGGAAATCCAGAGCCCCAAGGTGCAGGGGTCTCGTCTCGGGACCTCACATGTGCTCTGGACACTGCCAGCCGCACAGAAACAGCCAGGACCCTCAGAGGTGGCATCCCAGCAGGACACCTGGGGGTGGCAGGATGGATGGCGCAGGAGGAACTGGCAGGTGGGTGGGCTCTGGCAGGAGGCGGGCACAGCCCAACTCACCCACCACTCCTGGTCCTCTTCCCCATCCACGACGATCACGTCCCCTTCAGAGAAGGTCAGCTCGTCCGGGTTGTCCGCCACACAATTGTAGAGCGCTTTGACCCGCTTGGGCTTCACCTTGGCCTGTGCAGGGATGTGGGGATGGAGGTTGGGGGACAGAGACCTGAGCAGAGACTCCAAGTCTGGCCCAAGCCTGGGAAGCCCTGAGTTCAAGGTTTGCAGCTCAGTGCAGCATGGGACCAGGGAGAGGAAGGGGAAGCCCCAGCTAATGACCGCTCAAGACAGAACCGGGAATGATGCAATGGGCCCTTCATGGCTGCCAGGGAGAGGAGGGAGTCCTAGTGTGCCCTGACTGGCCAGGGAAGTGGAAGGAGCTGGGCATGGATCTCATGGTTCAGCCAGGGCAGGAGAGCAGGGTGTCCACTCACCGCCTGAGACTTCCTGGGCATGGGTGCAGGCGGCTGCAGGGCCGCAGCGTTGGACAGGGGACCCACAGCATCTGTTCCAGGGAGAGCCACTCGTTAGTGCTGAAGGGAGCACCTGTATCCGGTGCCTCATGGTTCATACCCCAGATGGAAGTAGTGACCACAGGAGCCAGGGTCAGGCCTGACCTAAGCTCACATAGGACGCCTGAAAGCCCAAAGACCCGTCTGCCTTCCCAGAGTGTGTGCAATGGGAATTCAAGCAGGAATTCACAGCAAAGAGCAGCACCCGAACTCAGAGCAAGAGGCCAGATCCCAAAGAGGCTGATGGCAGCCTGGGCTGAGCTCCTGCCTGGAATCTGCCCCCTACAGGCCATGCAGAAACAAACCCAGCCCCCAGCAGGGAACGAAAGGGCAAAACTGAAGGTAGCGCGTGAGACACAGAGCGAGCACATTCCCAAAGGGGAAGTAAAAAGAAGATGCTGTGTGCATGGACCAACTCCCCGTGAGGACGGATCAAGTACTGCACATGTGGGCCAATAAAATAAAAAGTCAACCATTACCCGGCCCTCTTGGCTGGCCTTTGCTGCCCAGCGGCATCGGCTTGTCAGCCCTGTAGGGAAGGAGAAAGCACATTTACCGACACGAAGGCCATTGCCCCACCCTCATCCCTGTGACACCCGTCCCTGTCACTGATTTCACCCACTCCCATCCAGCCACTTTTCTCCTCTTCCTGAGAAAGGAAGAGGGGCCCAGAGCAGAATGCTGCATCCTTGGCGCCAGATCCTAAAGCCAGGCCTCCTCTGAGGCATCCCTGGCTGCACCCTCCTCCACCCAGCCCCTCCTCCGCCCAGCTGTCCTGGAAAGCCAGGACCTGGCCCAGCACCATGGGCCCCTGCTGTCAGGGCTCAGGCCTGACTGGTGAGCTCTGAGTCCCGCACGGCCCACGAAGTGGAGGCTCCCAGGCTCGGGGCTCGGCCTGAGGACCGGATACGGGGGCTGCTTTGCAAAAGGTGTGCTCCGCGAGAAAGGCTGGGACATCAGCTCTGCTGAGTGAAAATAAGGGCAAGGGACAAAGCTAGGGTGGGAGTGACAGTGCTGTCTGCAAAGGAAGCTGGAGGAAGCCAGGTGGGTCCTTCCCTGCTGCACACCACTTCCCTGCTGCCGGGAATGCGCCCGCCTGGGTCTTGGTGTCTGCAGTCTCAAAATGAAGGCAGAGAAATCATGACACTGGTTTTACTCTTTTTTGAGACAGGATCTTGCTATGTAGCCCAGGATGACCTTGAACTCACAATAATCCTCTGGCCTCAGCCTCTTGAGTATTGGGATTACAAGTGTGTGCCACCACGCCCGGCACGATTTTGCTCTTATTTTTAAGGAACTGAAAAGGTCTAAAAATGAGGCCACCGTTTAATCTGCATCATCTCTGGGTATACACGCCTTGACAAACATCGTCAGGCTGACCCTGGCCTCAGTCACCCCAACTCCGAACGCTCCCAGTAGACCACCGTCAGCAGCCCTTCTTCAAAGGGTCAGGCGGTGAGTTGTTCAGGCTTTGTGGGCTGTGAGGTCAACTCTGCCACCGTGGTAGGACAGCAGCCACAGAAGTTGCGTGAATACCTGTGGCCGCATGCCCACCAGACTTTATCCACGGGTCCTGAAGTCCAGCCTCCACATAATTCCCCCAGTGCCACATAGCAGTCTCCTTTTGCTTGTTTTCAACCATTTCTAAGCCCAGAAGCCAATGGGTGGTCGAAGACCACAGAGAAATAGGCAGCGGGTGCAACTAGGCCGTGGGCCATGGTTTGCTTGCAGGAATGAATGCGCCATCAAGTTGGCCCATGGTCAGAATTACCACAGGGAGGGTCGGCTGCTCCTTGACGACATGACTGCTTGTGGGCTCCTCTGGGACCTGATTCCCATTGCCCAGCATCACCAGCTCCGTCCTCCTCCTGCCCCCACCACTGGCTCCGCCCCTGCACGGACCCGGGCAGCGCCTGGATCCCGCGCATAGCCTCACACATGCAGCCAGCACCTCATGTGCAGGGGCCCTAGCGAGCGCCTGGACCAAGCCATTTCCTACTCAGAGACTCAGGATGTGACTCGGCTTCCCCAACAACAGCAGCTTGAGAGCCTGCATCAGGGCACAGCGTGAGGGACGAGAGGAGGACACGACACGGGCCTGGGCCTCATGCAGCACAGCAGGAGCATGGCCATGTGCTGCAGGGGTGGGAACACTGGTGGATCGACAACTGGTAACCCCCAGCTGAATTGAGGCGGCATGGTGCTGGGCGTGGAAGGCCCACCTGAGGGTTGTTGCCAGCAGCATAAAAGGAGAACTGGAGGGGAAGACGGTGCTGCTGATTCTCCTGGAGAAGCATGTTGCACTGGTTTTCCTGACATGAACTTAGCTGTTATCATCGGAGGCTCTCAGGTCCTGCTGTCACTGAGGATGGCCATGGTTCTCTTTGGCAGAGCTCTGGTCCTTACTCTGAGCGTTGCTTCCTGGCTCCAGTGTAGATCCCTCAGCTGCTAGCACAGATCCTTCATCCCACTGACACAGACTTTCTAGCTTCCAGCACTGACCTTTGGGCCTTTCCAGCGCAGATCCGTGAAACAGACTAGACATTGTCGTGGGTTCTAGGCCTCTGGCTGGACTTGTGGGAGGCATTGTTATGGGCTCTAGGTCTTCAGCTGGCCTCATGTAGAACATTGCTGGAGAATCCCCTCAGCTGGATTCTCTGGGTCTTTAATGTGTGGACACTTTTGTACTTGACTCTTTGGGAGATTACTATAAAATAATCCTATAAATTATGTGTCCTGAATTAAACTGTTTCCTTTGCAAACCCTGACTGCAACAACCACTCAGCAGATTTCCACCTCTGTTTGAGACGTCTCTGTCTGAGACGCTTGCTCCATTTACAAAGATGCCTTGCAAAGCAGCTCATGAAGTTCTGCAGGTTTTCTAAGCACTGGGAATGTAGCTCAGTGTTCCCTGGCTTCCACTCCCAGTACTGCAAAAAACAAAACCAGAACAGACATACATGCATGAATACGCACACATGTACGCACACACACGTATAAGGGATGTAAGTGTGCATGGAGTACAGTATGCACACACACACATTCCCTAGTCCTACCCAGCACGCAGCTGTGGGCTTCCGGACAGCATTTCCACCAAAGACCCTCAAAACACTTTCCCACATAAAGACCCGGGTTATGAGGCAGGAACTATATAAAGGACATCATTTCCAACAAGTGGCAAAGCCCAGAAGGGGTGCGAGGAGAGGCTGGCGCTGTGTCCACAGAGGCCCCACCTTCTGGTGGGCAGTGGGCAGAACCTGGAGTGGGCCACGTCCACACACCGGTGTCTGCAGCCCACAAAAATCTAACTCAGTTCCATTCCAGACTGCACAAAACAAACAAAACCAGAGTAGAGAGATGAGCTGGGTGAGCAGGTCCCGACTCACGACCACATTCTCTTCTGGTAGAACCTCTGGAGGTCGGATTTGCTTGTAAATCTGGCAAGAGGGGGTCTCACACAGCAACCTCTGAACATTTGAGAGTTGGGGACTCACTGTCCTGAACTTGGAAATCTCCACAGTGAAATGTCCTGAAGCCTAAGCTTTAAAAGGGGCAGGGGCAGCACTCACCCGGGCACTGGCTTCTTCTGCGGCAGGCGGCTGGGCGGCTGGGGTGGCAGGGGCTTGCTCTGTGAGGCTGTGGGCGGTGCAGCCTTGCTTGGCTGGCCCAGGGCTTCCAGCATGCCGGGTGGCCTGGCCACGGAGGGGGGTGGCGTGGAGGTCAGGGGATCTGCGGAGAGGAGAGGTGGGGGGTCAGCCTCCACTACGCCCAGGCCTCACCTCCTCCCAGTGGCCGTGTCTGGGGACTGTGAGCACAGCTCCACAGAGGTCCCCGGGCTGTGGGCAGGCAGGAAGAAGGTTCTCACCCCCACGGCTCGGAGGCGGAGAGGGCTTCTCCCGGGCAGAGCTGGCCTTGAGCCCCGCCCCCTGCCACCTGCCCTCTGAGGACAGTGAAGCGCCAGCCTTTGAGCATGGTGGCTGTCTCAGGACGGGAGCTAACACATAGGCAAGGAGAAGCCAGTGAGAACCAGACTTTGGTGACCAAAGAGGGATGGCGGGGGTAGGAAAAACAAAGGAGTCCAGTCTACGGTCTTGCTTTCCTTTTTTCATTCTTTTTTATTTTTCCTGGTTTGTTTTGAGACAGGATTTCATTATGTAGTTCAGGCTGGCCTTAAACTCAGTATGTAGCCCAGGTTGGCCTTGAGCTTGCAGGGCTCCTCCTGCCTCAGCCTCCTGAGTGCTGAGATTATAGGTGTGTGCTACCACGCCTGGCTTCTTTTTCCACTTTTAAGACAAAAAGCAGACTGTAGCTCCCCAGTCAGCCCAAGGACAGCAGCCTGAGAGGCCAAATGAGCCCCTTGCTGATCACCTCGAGGGTGTCTCAGCAAAGCTGGGCCTCCATCCCCCCAATACACTGCCCCTGGCCCTGCCGCCTGTGACTGCTCACACAGCATCCAGAGTGACTGAGCCACTTTTTAGTTAAATTTTTGGAGACACAGTCTGTGTCAAGGTCAACCTGGAACTCACCATGTAGCCCAGGTTGGCCTTGAGCTTTCGATCCTCCTGCCTCAGCCTCCTGAATGCTGGGGTTACAGGTGTGCCACACCATGCTAGCTGTTTAATTATGTGAATGAAGGAAACCAGAAGCACCTGGGCCTGGAAGTTCTCTCTGCATGGGAAGTGGTGACACCCAGACCCTGCAGGACTCTTCCTGCCAGAGTTGAGGCAGACAGGCCAGTCCTGGGGAAGGACACTTGGTTCTGTATTCGCGAGCAAGGTCCCTTCTCCCTGCCTCTCCTGGAGGCCCAAGGGACTTTCAGCCACATGCTGGCATTGAACAGAGCACAGAGATGGTGATAGTAACAACCGTCCCCAGATACTGACAATTACCACATGGACAGAGGCAGTGGAGGCCCTGGGGTAGGATGTAGAGGACAGAGTGCTGCGGAAACGCTTTGCAAGACAGAGAAGAGTGAGTGAGCCATTGAGGGTGCGCTGGAGGTACAGGCTGGAAGGGTGGGAGCCACCCGGGGGTGGTGGTGGTGGTCGGTGTGTGGATGTGTGGGCATGTGTGCGTGCGCGTGCAGGTGTGTGCCCCCAGCTGCCTCTCCAGGTGGCTGCCAACAATGCCCCCTGCCATCTGACCTGAGCCCCACTGGCAAGAAAGGGAAAAAAAAAAAACATACTGGTTGATGTCCCTCGAAGAGGGGGCGGCGGTGGGTGGACAGCGGGCGGATCTGACGAAGATCGCTGCCTGCTGACACCGTCCACACCGACTGAGTTTGTCTTCCACAGGGCGTTAGCCGAGGAGGCTGTCTGAACTGATCCCACGCGTGTACACAGGCACACACGCACAAAGAACAAAAACAGAAATAAAAACACTGCGTTATTGATCCTCTCCCTCACAAAAGGGTCGCCATGGCCCTTCTTTGGCAGCAGGTAGAACCCTGAGCTTCTGTCTCCCTCATCTGGAAGACTGCTGGACCAGGGAACATTTCCTGCTGCCTTTCTCAATCTGTCCAAGTTCATTTATTTATGTATTTTTTGTTTTTGTGAGCAGGGTCTACATACTTGGGGCTGGCCTTGACCTCCCCATGACTCTCCTGCCTCAGCCTCCTGAGTGCTGGGATCACAAGTGTGCACCACCACACCTGACTCCTCCTATCTGTTCTGGACCTGGGTCTAGTGGGGCCTTTGTCTCTGTGGGCACAAGGTTGTGGGGCAGACCCAGTGGCACCCACACCCTCCCTGTCACTGTCCTGTGGGAATCTACCCTGACACCAGTGTGGCTGGCTCAGTTCGGTGAAGCCTCCTCCAAAGAAAAGGAAACAGAAGACAAGGACGGGCAGAAGCCAGGAAGAGATAAAACTGTAAAACCTCGGATCCAAGACACCAAGCAGCCAAGGTGAGAGCTCAGCATTCCTCTGCTCCATTCCTCTGCCCCGGCCGTCTGCCCTGGCCCAGACAGTGAATGCGTTTCCCCCTCCAAATGTGCATGCACACTGCCACACAGACCTCAGAAGATGAGGGTGAGCTTGGCCTCTGGGCACCATGCACCTCCAGGGTGTGGGATGAGGAGTGCCCTGCTGCTGGCCTGGTGAGGTGGTGAGGACTGCTTCTACCCTCCACCTGCCCAGGATCCTCTCCCAGCCTGGCACAGCGCTGTCCCAGGTCATGGGGGCTGCATCCTGGGCCTGCCCTTGGGTAGGGACCCAGTGACTTGCATGACAGGTTCATTGTCACTGCTCTAAGTAATGAGGTGGGACCCTATAGACAGGTCCCCAAGATAGCCGTGGGACCGTGGGACCCGGCCACACTGCTGAGGACACACACAGCAACAGCACAGGGCAGTCTGTTCACACCTGCAGCTGAGTCCCAGCCAGTACTGCCTCTTGGCTCAGGGCCACCAGCCCTGTACCAGCACAATCCCCGGAGTCCTGTGCCCCGGCACCGGGCCGTCCCTGAAGCACAGCAGCCACCACTCAGGAGCAGAGGCCAGCTGAGCTCTGCTGTGGAACAAACTACCCAACCTTCAGGGTGTTCCGGTCCTGTCTCTGCAGGAACCACGCATCCCCTGTGGAGCCCTGCTAGCTGCACCGCGCTGCAGTGATGGGGAAAGGGCGAGCCCCTGGCATTTCAGGCTCGCCTGGCCCATAGGATGGCTCTGTGTTCCTCAGCGAGGCGGGGTGGGCCCCGAGTGCCTCCCGCATTTCACAGTGTTTTAGGGATAAGCAGCAAGAGCAAGACCCGAGCTGGCCCTGACGCAGGCAGAGGGGAAAAGAGCCAAGGTGTGAGGAGAGTGGGGAAGGGGAACAGGCAGAAAGATACAGTGGCAAGGGACGCAGTGTCTCCGCCAGCTCCGGGGCCAACCACCACCTGGCTGCAACACCCCTGCCCAGAGCAAGAACCCCACCCACGCTGGCATCAGGAGAATGACGGAACTCTTGAGGAAGCAAAAGGAAAATAGCTCCCCAGTAGGTTTCTGATGTCACCTGGTTGGGGTGAAGCAGTGACAAACTCCCGGAAGCCCAAACCTGATGGCATGCATGTGCGCTCTGGGGCTGGTACCTTTGCCGAGGTTCCGCGGTGGGAGTGGGGGGGCGCCGGTGGCACTGGGGGCTGTGGGCTGGGACGGCGGTGGGCTGCTGCTCAAGATGGCTCCATAGGTCTCGTTCTGCAGGATGTTGGGCACGAAACTCCTTGGCTTGTCCTTGGCGAGGCCAGCAGCATCTCTGGCTAAAGATGTGGCACTGGGTGGAAGCTGACTGGACCCCAGCTGGTAGAAGCTGACTGGCCGGTCCTCCCGCCGGTTGGGGCTGGGCTGCAGAGGAGGGAGAGGAGGTGGGAGATGTTCCACGGGTTTCCGGAACAGACCTGCAACCTTCCTGACACCGGCCACCCAGCCACGATCCACCCAAGCCAGCTCCCAGGCTGGTCCAGGGCACAGCGATGCTCTCCCTTCTGGCTGCATGGGAGTCCAGAGACTCCTCTGTGTGGTGGTGGTTGAAACCTGGTCTGGGCCGCCACCTGTGCCATGGGACCTCAGCCACACCCACCATTTACATGTAGTCTCTGGCTGCCTCGGGCCATCCTGGCAAAGCTGAGCAGCTGCAGTAGAAACAGCTCTTTTAGACTCACAAGTCGGGAGTCTGATCTGGGTTCCTCAGCACTGGCTTTACTGGGATGTCACATGAGGGGTCACGGCTCAGTGACTTACTCAGATGCAACTTGCCTTTCAAAGGCCTACCTGAGCACCCAGTCACGACTCAGGGCGTGTCCCAGGCCCTGCTGAGCTGCTTCCTCCTGCTCAACTGGTGCAGCCTTCGACACCCGCCACACATACTGCCAGGGGCTGGGTGGCAGTTTGCACCACGCTTGCCCCCCACTGGACATCCAACCACTCCAGGCTGCAGCTAGTCCAGGCCTCTGGCCCGGCCTGGGCATGCAGAGCTTGGCAGTGAGCAGCTCTGGACCCCAACCACACGCTGCACCCTCTGCTGAAGGGGAGGTGAGGTTTGCACTCCGCCTGAGCCAAGCGCTTGCTACGGTCCTCCCGGGACCATCACCCATTTCCTTACTTGCTCCTAAGACAGGAACATCTCAAAGAAGAGATCTGGGGCAGGGGTTTCAAACTGTGGGGTTATTTGGATTTGTTTTTCGAGACAAGGTCTCACTAAGACCCAAGGCCTCACTATGTAGCCCAGGCTGGCCTGGAACTTGCAGCAATCCTTCTGCCTCAGCCTCTAGAGTGCTCAAACTGTTTTTCAAAGGTGGTGAGTAAAAATGAGCCAGCCCTCCTCTTTGGTACTGTGTTTTGTTTGTAACTCTGTGACAAGATTTCTTATTCCCCATTCTAAGAAACAGCAAGTACAGCTATTACCTGCTTCACAAGCAAGGCTAATCTGATGGGCTTCAGAAATGCTAGCTAACTAGGCCCTTTCACTGCTCGCAGTGCTCTTCGCTTAACCAGAATCCTCTAGTTCCATCACCAGAACATGAGGTCCTACATAGCAACAGCACAGAGCACTTCTGGCCTGCTGCCATGGAGGGCAGGGTCACAGCTGAAATTGGAGGGACCCTGCCCGGGCTCGACCTCTGCTGGGAAACCGGGGAAGGTGGCTGTGCCCTGGGCCTCCCCTGAGCAAGAGGCAGGGGCTCAGGGAAGCAGAGAGCCCTGTCTCCTTCCAGGCTGCGTGGCAACAGCTGCTTCCCTTGGCCTTGTCGCCCTCTCTGAGGCACCACGTCCCCATCCAGGAGGGCAGGGCTTGAAGCCAGTGAGCGCTGGGGCCACTGACGAGTTCAGCTGAGGATCGGTAGGTTTGGCCAGGTGAACGTGCCAACCACGAGGCTGTGACCCCCGAGGGGACCTGGCTCTGTCCCAGCACGGTCCTCCCTGAGCGGCACCCCCTCCAAGCCCACTGTGCAAGGCCTTTCCACATCTTCCCCTTGTAGCAAAAGGCAGCGGCTGCCCATGTTCACAAAAGTGGGCACCTTTTCAATCACATGCAGGAGCAGGGACAGCGGAGCGGGTGGGAAGGGCCGAACCAAGGTCAGGGTGCATGGGGTGCGAGTTGCAGTTCCCTTTCTGCCTCAGTTATGGGCTGAAGTGCATCAGAACCCTTCGAGTGGCCCAAGCACAGACCTGCAGCTTTTCGTCCACATCGTCGTCACTCTCATCCAGGTCCTCGTGGAGCAGCCGCCACTCATACTCGACGTGAACGTGTGAGTTGAACCTCCCGGATAAGGCCTGGGTCAGCTGCGAAGAACGGGCCGGTCAGGACTGCCATGCACTCACCTATGGGGGTTGCCCAGGGGATGGTCCTGGCCAGGGGTGGGAGTCTGCATTCCATCCGAGGAGATGTGTGTCCTGGTCTGGGGCTGAGTCCCTTCGATGTGACTCAGGATAACCTCCACGCTGAAACTTGCCGGCCCCGGCAGGGCAAGGGGACAAGGGGAGTTCAAGGCCAACAGGAGCTGAGTGACTACTGCCCCAGCTCCCACACGGCAAGCGGACGGCAAGGTAACCTACTGGCCGCACTCTGCATGCACAGGGTCACTCCCTGACCTAGTGCTTCGAGGGCTGCGGGGCAGAGCTGTTCGCCAGAGCTCGAGCTGCTGTGACCGCCTGTGGGGCAAGCTGATGACTTAGGCTCTCTGTGCCCACTTCCTGTCCATAAAGAGGGTCCCAGTAGAAACTACATCATATCGTGGGGACAGAGACTACAAGCGCTGATGGTGCTGCAGTGCCTGGACTAGAACCGGTTACCGGTCCTACATCAGGGCGGCACTGACTACTCTGAGATCGACCCATCCCGACTATGTCACAGGTCAGCACCCACCATCCCTCAACCTTGCACAGGGTTACAACTGACTCAATCCACACACACCAGCAGCTTGAGGGTCTGGGTGTCCTGCCCCACTGCAAACCAGCCCTCCCCACTGGCCACAAGCCTCTTCTTCCAGCACAGGAGAGGAGAAGATGCAGGGCCACACAGAGACAGGGTGAGTGTGCCAGCTGAGAGCCTCAGGGCCCCAAGAGGCCAGGGTGGTAATAGCTTTTCCATCCAGTGAGTGTAACAGTGCCAAGTGTCACCATGAGAGGGCGCTGCCTGCCTTACAAAGACTCCAGCACTCTCCAAGGCAAGGCAGTTCTCAGCTTGTTCTGTCCAGGACAACGGTGGGTCCAGGCCACATCAGACTGGATCACAGCTGCCCCAGGATCCCCGCTGCCCAGGGACTCACCAGCTCCTCGCAGTGCTCATGCTTCAGGCGCTTGGCGATGTCCAGCGGGGTCTCTCCGGCCTCGTTTGCTGCAAGTCCAAGGGAAGAGAGAGGTTCTATAGCAAACCTGGCATAGGCCTGTTCTCTAGGGTAATTTCACAGATGCATGGAGACAGCACCGAGTTAAACTGTGTATGGCTCATACAGCCAGGGCCCTGACCCGGTGAGAGCTGTTTGTGACTGCACTGGGCGCAAAAGAGTAAAGGAGCAAAGAGGTTTTTCTGAGACAAGGTCTCACTGTGCACCCCAGGCTGGCCTCAAACTCGAGGTGATCCTCCTGCCCCAGCCTATCCCAAGTGCTGGGATAACAGGCATGCGCCACCACACTCAGCTGAGAAATGAAGAGTTTGAGACAAGGTTTGTGTTGACAAAATAAAACTGTTGAGCAGTTAACAAATTAAAATCAATATGTAGAACCAGGTGCAGTGGTGCACACCTGTAATTCTAGTACTTGGGAGATTGAGGCAGGAGGATTGTCCCTGAGTTCAAGGCCAGCCTGAACTACATAGAGAGACTGTCTCAAAAATATTTTTAAAATGCTATGCACGGTGGCACACAGCTATAATCCCAGTACTTAGGAGGCTGAGGCAGAAGGATCATTGTGAGTTTGAGGCCAGCCTGAGCTAGAATGAGTTTGAGGTTAGCCTGGACTATACATAGTAAGGCCCTGTCTTTAAAAAAAAGAAATTAATATGTAACTCTTAGTCTTCTCATCAATCTCTCACCAAAGGCACAGTCACCTGGACCCACGCACTGAATGTATAAAACTTTTTGCAGTACTGGGGCTTGAACTTTGAACTTAGGGATTCTCGTGAGCTAGGTAAGATAAGAGCTCTTAACTGCTGAGTTACATCCCCAGCCTTTTATATTTTGAGCCAGGGGGTCCCTAAATTACCTAGGCTGGCCTCCAGCATGTGATCCTCCTGCCTCAGCCTCTGGAGTAGCTGGGACAACAGGTGTGTGCCCCTCTGCTGGACCAACATAATAAACTTCTCAACAGCCTATGCACTTGCAAGCTGTACTTTCTCCTTTAATCTGATTAATTTTTAAAGGCCAGGCCGGGCCCTGCAGCAGATACGGCCCTTTCCCTATTCCTCTTTCCATCGTTCTCCAAAAATACTTCCTCAGACAGCGGTGGGGCAGATGGCCCCTCTGCCAGCTGTCAGTGGTCAGGGCCACCCAAGAGGGACGGAGCAGGCACAGCGGCTCCCCGGGGGTGCGCAGCTTCCCAGGAAGTCTGGGGCTCACCGATCTCGATGGAGGCCTTGCCCCGCAGCAGCAGCTTGAGGCACTCGGCGTTGTCAGTCAGGCAGCAGTAGTGCAGGGCTGTGCTGCCTTTGCCCGTCTGTTTGTCCAGGTTCCCGCTGCCGGGAGCAGTGAAACAGAAGGGAAAGACACTGAGCCACGGGTAGGGAAGTGGGTAGGACAGTGCCAGCCTGTCCCCAAGGCGGGAGGACAGGACAGTGCCCATCCTTCAAGGAGCCCGAGGTCCCTGGGCATGCCCCAGGAGGCTGTGGCCCAGGCCACCAAGGAGCAACACAGGCACCAGCCAGGCTGGCACTCCCAGGACCAGGATCACAGCCGCCCCGAGAGAAGTCTGATAATCTGGGCACAGAGCTGTGGGTCTCGAGACAACTGCCCTGCGGCTCCTCCAAGGTCTGCAGCTCTCTAAGGCTCTGCCCGAGATGGCAGGGACAGGTGGGGAGTGTGGACCATCCTTTACACGGTGGAGCTTCCCCTTCCAGCGAGAGCGCTCTCAGTCCAGTCCGGTCACTCAGAACCATGACCAGAGTGTCAAGCGCACGCCAGAGGGCGGGGAGCCCGGGCAGGCAGGGGCGCCTCTGCAAACCATGTGTACCTCTTGAAAGGCCACACCAGCACAGCAGGAAGCAACTCCTGGCCCAGTGTCCGGTCCCCAGGTGTGGCCCCAACTTGGGGCTGGCATGTGGTCTCACACCCCTCCCACCTCGCTCCTGCTCGGGAAGCCCCAGAGCCTCTGGAGTTTCCGTTCCACACTCCAGGGCTTTGAGGCTCCCCTCGCAGCACCTCATCCCGGCAATGCCTTCTCTGCCCCGTACTGCTGCTCAGCCTGCAGACCAAGCACTGCAGCAGCTGACTGAGGCGGCACCTGATTCCTCGCAGAATCCCTGGAACACAGGCCAAGGCCCCCGATTTTAGCACACTCACCTGTTCTGAACCAAAAAGTCCACAATGTGAAGAGAAGTCCGGTCCACAGACCTGACTGCCAGATGCAGGCCCGTCTCATCCGGCTCCTGAAAATGAAGCCAAGACTTTCTTGCATCCAACGAAGTGGAACCGGGCGCAAGTGAGTCTTCCAAAAGGTTTCCATCCTGCCTTCTACAAATCTATAGCTACAACACAGAGTGCTCCTATAACCTCCACGGCCAAGCCTGGGCAACAGAAGTTAGAGGCCGGCCCACTCCTACTCCGTGGGGAACAGACATGCAAGTCGAGTTTCCCAGCCAACTCCTCTGCATCGCTAGGTCACCACCTGCACAGTAATGACACAGAGCACTCACAGGCAACCGCGGCTCTGTTTGACGCATCTGAGAAGGCTCCCGGCCTCCTCCACTCCGTCCCTTTGCCTGCTCCCGAAGTATACAGAAAGGTTTGCTTTTAAAGCAGGGTTCATGGGCTAGGTAGGTGTGGTGGCCCACACTGTAATCCCAGTACTTGGGAAGCTGAGGCAGGGTCACCAGAAGTTTGAGGTCAACCGGAGCTACATTGTGAGGTCAAGGCCAGCCTGCGCTACATAGCCAGATCCTGCCTCAGAAAAAAAAAGCTGGGGGAGAGGTGGGGATGTAGCTCAGTATGAAGTTCCTGGGTTGAATCCTCAATAACACACTAACGAAATAAATAAAATAAAAACACTGTATAGAATCACCTGTGCTACACATACAAGGTGTATATGAAACAAGGGATTTCCCATTTGGACCTGGGTCTCAACCCCAAGATAGCTCATCAAGTATATGAATATTACAAAATCTGAAAAACAAAAAACAAAACAACCCAAAATAGCTCTGGTCCCAGGCACTCAGCATAAGAGATGCTCAGTCTGTGTGCAGTAAGTCCCCAACTTAAGAACCTCTGAGTGCGAACTCAGGTGTACCACATCCCGGTCAGCTTACAGTGAATCTGACTTAGGGACAATTCTCCCAGAACGGACTCGTTCACAAGTCAGGGGCTCACTGTAATTATCTGCTGAGTTGGGGGAGCAGCCGCCTTGGTAGGTTCTTTCTGTGCAATTGGAGCTGCCCGCCCCACCCCGAAAAGAGGACACAGCTTACATGTCCATTAGCTAGCGGGATCTTGTCCGTAAGGTCCACACCATCGGCATAGGCTTGGAGCAATCCGAAAATGTCCCTCGTCTTGACGGCCTCGCACAGGCTGTGCAGCTTTGCCGCACTATCTGTGTGCTTCTTCCTCGCGTACCTCCTCTCGATGTACTTGGCTGTGATGTAGTCCTTCCTCGCATTCCTGAAAGCAGACACAGCACCCAGGAGAACCATGAAGGCCGCCCCACCTGCCCAGTGTCCATGCATCCGCACCAGCAGCACTGCTGATGGCCGGACGGAGAGACCGTGGCACCTCACAACCGAGCACATTGCGCAAGACAGGGACACAAGCACCAAGCTGGTCTGCAGGACAGGCCAGGAACAACACCGTGTGTGTCAAGAGGCTGGACACCAGGGCCACACGGGGTTGGCTCCATTTACACAGAATGCCCAGGAGTGTCCACGAGTGGCAGATGTGTAGACACAGAGAGTGAGCCTCCTGGGGCTGGACAGGTAGAGGAACTTACTTTCATATTAGGATTAAAAAAAAACAAAAAAACCACTAAAACTGAGGGTTAGGGATGTAGCTCAGTGCAAAGCCTTGCATTCAGTCCCCAGAACTGCCACTGACACACAACAAAACGAAACAAAAAAGAGACTGATCCAGGCATGGTGGCACATAGGAGGCTGAGGAAGGAGGCTAGCAATCCAAAGTCAGCTGAAGGCCAAAGGCAAGCTCTCACCTCAAATAAAAATAAAATTGTGGCAATGGATGCACAACTCTGTAAATTATATGAAAAGCCACTGACTTGTACACTTTTAAATGAATTATACTTCAATAAAGCTGCCAATAAGCATGTTGGGAAAAACAAACTTAACTGTTTATCCCTTAAATGCATCAAGAACTCAGGGAGAACCATCCACCTGCCAAGCCTGGGTCCTGAGGCTCCTCCTGCCACTCTGGCAAAGAGCTGCGGGGGCCTCCCAAGTGCCAGATGGAGAAGGGACAGGAAGGAAGGGGCTGTGCAGCCCGCAGGCTAAGGCCCACTGAGAGGTGGGCATACCACCCAGCTACCACTCAGGTGGCCGCACCTCAAGCAGGCCCAGCTTGTCCCCTGGGCAGCCGTGGCAAGTGACGCAACCTCCCTGCCTGTGTGAGAGTTGTGGCCACAGCACCTGGTGGGCCACTGCAGGACAGAGTGATCACATGGAGGCAGGGAGCGCAGGGACCCTGATGTCCCAGTGATGTGGGTAGCCCAGTCCCCGGGACCAGGAGCAGGAGGTGACCCACTGGGGTCCATGGGGGCCCTGGTCTCCCAAGGTGACAGCAGGCGGGGACACACTGCAAGTTGCACGTGCTCCTGCTGGGCTGCCCTGCCCCGCCCCTCCCCCGCCTGCAGGAAGGGCCTGTGAGTGCATGTCCAGCTGACATTGCTTTTCCCCTCCAGGGTACTTGAGCGCCAGAGGGGAACCCCAAGAGGAAAGTAAGCTCGTCTTGGGGAGCTGCAAATGGGTGGGCCCAGGGTAGGGGGACATCACCCCCAGTAACCCACACTCCCTGGTTTTGTGAAGTTTGTGAGGCCAGTGTACTCTTCCCTGCTTTCTTTTTTCTGAGACAGGGTCTCACTATGTAGCCCCGGCTGGCCTCAAACTCACGGGGATCCTCCTGTCTCAGCTTCCTTAGTACTGAGATCACAGGCCTGTGCCACCACGCCTAGCTTCACCTACCTTTTTATTTAAAGGCTGAGACATTTGGACAAGAGCCACGAAGCACAGGATGAACCACCGCTGCTCAGCGAGGGGTGTGTGTGTGTGTGTGTGTGTGTGTCTGTCTGTCTGTCTGTCTGTCTATCCCCACTTCCAAAGCGCCCAGGAACCATTCTGGCCCCAGGGAGCAGATCAACTGGGACTCTTGCAGCCCCGTGACACAGGCCCCATTGCCCAAAAATCTATCTGGGGGCTCTTGCGCCACCAGAGGGTGTCTGTGCTTTCTTTTTCAACAGACTGCACTGCAGATGGCGTGCTGTTCTTAGATATAGCTAGAAACAGCCGTCCCCTTGCATCTAGATGGAGGATGTTAGTGTCCTTGAAGTTGTGCTACTTCCTTGACCCGCTGGATCATTAACTGTTTACTGAACCACCTAAGCCACATATTGTGCGGGAAATAGGATGGTGTATCTGTGCGAGCCCGGGCACAACGCACACAGGCACGGGACGCATGAGCACAGAGACGAGCCTGCAGCGGCACCGCGCGCCCCACAGCTCGCTTCCGCCGGACAGCAGTGAACAGGGCGGCGCTGGTCAGCCACCCTTCTGAGAACAAGCAGGGACATGTGAATGTGCAGACCGAGGTTGGGGCTGAACCCTGGGAAGGGAGAATACTGGTGAGGAAAGCTTCCAAGGGAGAGGTGTCCATCCATTTGCAGGCTCGTCCCGCCCCAAAACAGAATTATTCTGCTTCTATAACACACTCTTGGGCCTTGAAGGAAACGACTGATGAGACCTATTTGGGGCTGGCCAGGGGAGTGGCACTCTGGGAGACGGCAAAGAGCGGGAGCCAGGGGGCTGTCACGAAGCTTGCCACGAGAGGGCACAGCAGGTCCTTCTCTAGAAAGCCCGCTTCCCAAGGGGGCCTCCTCTTCCTATGGGGACACCTCCCCCGGACGCCTAGCTGGGCCTCCTTCCTTGGGGTGCAGGGAGTCGATGTCCCGCCCATTATGAGGACCCCATGGCCCAAGGGAAGGAGACACAAACAGCCAACACCAACTAAGCACCTAAGACACACACCAACCCCCTGCCAGCTCCCCGGGCCGCCGAGGTGAGGGGCAGCCTGTGTCTCCTTTTGTTTTGTTTTTGATTATCTTCTGAGAGAGGCTGAGTCCTGAGAGCACCAGCATGCACTGCCAGGGCCAGCCGGGCTGAGGCTCAGGAGTCAAAGAACCCATCTCACCCAGTGGCTCAGAGGTCTGTGTCCCTGCTGTTTGGTAGGGTCTGGACAGGAGCACAGATTGGAAACCTAGATCCGCATTTGGACAGGGTAACTGGTAAGCTGAGACCAACACTATCCCATCTTGGGGAGATGCTGTGCTACACCTCAAAGCCTGGTTCCAGCACGCAAGTGCAAACAGACTTTCACCTCATACCTCCCATGGCCCACCTGGGCCACCTGAGCGCTGGGACCAGTGACGGACATGGTCGTGTCCCCACTAGTCCCTTGAGTCTCTGCTTTGCCACCACAGCCAAATATGCACCCAAGAAATGGTTACAAAATCCAAACTCTGCCTCACAAAGGGCCCGCACCTGCGTGCAAAGCCACTCTTGAAGACGTTTCAGTGACTCGAACCTGTGAGAGAGACTCACATCACCCATGAAAGGGACTCCTCATCACTCACTCCGTCTGGGGCTGCTTCTGCAGGACTGCGGTCTCCGTAACGTGATGTTCACACTTTCTCCTAGCCAAGCGCAGCTTCGCTATTCCGTCTCCCACCAGGATACATTAGATCTGCCTCCCATACAGTGCAGGCGGGTCTCTTCTGACCCAGAGGACCAGCCTCTCTCCCTCTGCCTCGCTCTGTGTCACGGCCACGCAGGTGACCACCCTGGGCCCTCCTGAGGCACACAGGTGGCCGTCTTAACAAACAGCTGGGGCCTGTGATACGGAAGGCCAGTGCCAGGACCAATGGCCCCTCCGCCGCCTCAGGACCACAGTGGTCTGGGGGCCCACACTGTGCTCAGACTGGCAAGGACCCACCCTGCCCCCATGCTGGTGCCGCCTCTCCAGGCTGGCTGGACGCAGGACAAGCCCTAAGTGCTGCTCAGTCAAGTTCTGTGTCAACAGGAAAACACACCAAAAGCTTTTTTTCAAAGGGAACAACACACTCTACACTTCAAGGGCACAGAGAGAGTGTGGCATGTAGCCATGTGTGTGGGTATCATGTGTCCACAACAACCTGCCTCCGGGAGGCTTGGAATCCACACAGAGCACCAAGGGCAGGGGCACCCAGCACACACGATATATGTGGGGCATCCGCTCCACCTCTGGCCTCTTCCTAGAAGCAGAACCCAGCTGTGCCGAATTTCTATCTGGACACTCAAAAAGGTCCCAATAAGGAAGATGGTAAGAAAGAACAGGGAAAGAGGGAGGAGAGGAGGGAAGGGGAGGGAGGGGAGAGGAACGGAGATGGAAAGGAAATGGAAGCCTCCTGTTCAGTTTAAGCTCTTTTGATTCTTAAAGAAACAACAACTGGCTGGGCATGATTGTGCACACCTGTGATCCCAGCACTTGGGAGGCTGAAGCAGGAGGATCATTGTGAGTTTGAGGCCAGCCTGGGCCACATAGTAAGACTTGTTTAGGAACCAACAGCAGCCAGGCCCGGACTTACATGTCGCTGCCTGGGTTGGGTTTGACGGCGTCCTCGGCTGGCAGGCAGCACTCCATAATCTCGTTAAAGCCCGCATTCCCGATATTCTTGGCAAGCTGCAAAACAAAAGTCTATTTCAGGGCACTCAATTATTAATGCATTCCACTGCTACCCGTTACTCATCCGTCTGATGATTTATTTAATGGCTGCTAAGAAATAGAGCAATAAAGTGGTTTGCCGTTAATGAAGATGGACAAAGCCCAAAGCCCAGAGGTAGCCAGAAAATCACAGCAGAGAAGCAGCCTGCCTTCCGCAGAGGGCTTTGCATAATGTGTCCTGGACAGTCCCCGAAGACCAGAGAGAAGCAGGCCGTGGCTGCGAGGTTCCCTCCCTCCTCTGCAATGAACCTGTGCCACTGCCCCTGGCCCTGACTGTGAGGTGCTGAGTGTGCAAGGGGCACTGGTCCAGGCAGCCCCAACTCAGCTCCAAGTCATGGCTACGTCACCCACTGTGTGACCACAGGCAAGCATCACCCTCTATCCACAGCGTGGGGAGGACACCGACCTCACAGCATGGCAGCAAGGGCAGAACAGGACGAGCTAGGTGAAAGCCCTGAGACCAGAGCATTGCAAATGTCACGTTAGGTCCAGGTGTAAGGTCTGTCTGTGCCGTCGGCTTCCTGCCTTGTGACAATCACACCTTTTCACTGTATGCTAGAACCGAGCCCGATGCAGCAGACACTTGTGGGGCATGTGCCATGGTGTGTCATGTACTCCCTTGACAGTGGGCGACCAGCCTCCTTTTGTATCAGTGAATGACCAGGAGCTCCTTAAGGGCAGGGACTTAATCATCTCATTTCTAACACCTGGCTCAGTACCTGCCATACGGGAAGCTCCGAGGTCTGATTTTTTTCCTTCAGTTTTGAGACAGGATCTCACTGTGTAGCTGAGGCTGATCTTGAACTCACTATGAGGAGGCACAGGCTGGGCTCAAACTCTTGGCAAACCTCCTGCCTCAACCTCCTGCCTAGCCTTCTGAGCGCTAGGATGACAGGCATGGGCCAACCATGCCTGGCTAGACTCACTTTTAAATTTGTTCGTGGTCCTGGGGACGGAGCTAGGGCCTGCCCGATGCCAGGTAAGTGCCCCACCATGGGTCAGAGTCTTTAATGTGTCAAGAAACAATATTAGAAAGGAGGTCTGAGCACTTGGCTTGGGGAATACACATTATTTTAATGTCCACACTGAAAATGATGCTAGGGGAGTTGGTGACGCTTCTGATCATTCCAAATTAATTGTGCACAGAAAGGGCTGATGGAGATGCTCCAGGAGGCCCACTGGTTGTGCCTGTTTCCAGGGGAGCGGCTGAAGGAACAGCCAAAGAGACCTGGGTCAGATCAGGTCAGAACGTCTTCTGGGTAGGAAGTAACATCCAATAGTGAAGGGAACAGTGACAGATACAGAAGATTGCTTTTTTTCTCTTTCTCTTCGCAGTACTGGGGACTGAGCCAGGGTGTATACATTGAGCTGCATCACCTGCCCTTTTTATTTTTTGAGGATGGATCTCACTAAGTTACCAGGCTGGGTTTGAACTTGCAATCCCCTTCCTCAGCTTCCCAGAATGCTGATATTACAGGTGTGCACCACCATACCTGGCTCAGAGGGTTTTTTTGCAACACAGCACAAGAGACATACACAGGGCAGCTTCCCTGTGGCGTGATGAGCCTCACTGATTTCACCTTGTCCTCGATAAGTGAACAAAGGTTCCTAGTCGGGCAAAGCATTAAACGGCAAAGCAAGCTCCTCGCTGCTGCTTCTGCAGCCTCATGCCCAGGTGAGAAGCCAAGCTGCCAGGCTCAAGTTTCCTGGACACAAGGTTCCAGAGCAAATGGTCTGGGGAGGTGACAGGAGCCCATGTGCTTGACGCCACTGCCCTAGGACGGGTCAGACCCAGAGTGGGCTCATGCACAGAGGGCCGGGTTTCAGGGATGCACAAGCCCCTGCCCACGGCATCACATGGCAGGGACACAACCCCTCGCCACACACCATCATTTCCTGACTGTGACAGGAAATCTCTGAGAGGGGGCCTCCCTGAAGCCTCCTTGCCTGGTTAAGCAGATGGGTGGGAGGAGGAGAATCCCCAAAAATCAGAAAGCTGCTTCCCTTCTGCTTGGAATTGGCTGGTTCATCAGGGACAGCTGGTCCAGGGAGCCTCTGCATGCATGCGTCACACTCCCAGCACTGGAGAAACGTGCCGCCTTGTGGGCTGGCCAGGACCCAGCTTTTTTTTGTTTTTGTTTTTTGAGACATGGTCACACTATACAGTTCAGGCTTATCTTGAACTCACTATGTAGCTCAGGCTGGCCTCAAAGTTGCAGTGATCCTCCTGCCTCAGCCTCCTGAGTGCTGGGATGACAGGCCTGGCATGAAGGGTGCACCTAGCACAGGCACTGCTGCACGGACGAGCTTCTTAGCCTCTTGGGCCTCGGTGTTTCAGTGGAGCTCTGCTTGGGGCAGACAGAACGCACAGAGAGCCCCAGTGACAGTGCCTGGAGTACAACTGTCACATGGTGGCTGGCAGTGGAGGGTTCATGTCGTGCAGTCCCGGGTGGCTGCTCTGCAGACCTGGAGTGGTGATGAGCTGTGGGCAGGCGCTGGTCTTCAAGGCGTGTCCAGCCACCCTGTCTATGTACCCAGGCCTTCTGGAAGGGCAGCAGGAGCGGGCAAGAGGTAGAACCCAGTGGCTCCTGTCTGCTTAAAGCTTCCTGCACTTGCTCTTTGACTCACAGGAGATTTATTAATTCCACTAATGGTCTTGAAATGGACAGAGGACACCAGTACCCAAGAACTGTGGTGCTGTTTCTTATATGACCTGAAAGGTAACGAATGTGCACCTGTACCTCTGTGAAGGAAGAGACTAAGCCCTTTAACATCAACATCCGCCTGAGGGGTTCCTGAGCTTATGAAGCTGCTGTGTGCTGAAGTTGCCAGGAAGACATGATTCCGAAGTAATCAAATGACACTACAGCTCCCTCCGTTCCATCTCCTTGCGTGAGAAGTGACTCTCAGAGCAGGTAAGAGGAAGGAAAGATCACCACTGACCCGGCCCCCTCACAGCCATGGCGCATCCACTCAGCGAGCACGAAGACAGGCATGCGTCGAAAGAGAATCCAGGTGGGAGGGAGACAGCAGAGGAAACTGCGGACCAGAGGCCAGAAATACTTTTACATAATTAAGCAAAAGGCTCTGATCACGAGGAATATGCTTGGGCCATATGGAGGACAGGGTGACATTTTACTGGGTGAGCATCTGTCTGCGGAGAGACACAATGCCAGAGAGAAAATGGAAAGAAAAGGCAAATCAGAGCAAGCCCTGCTTGCAGACCTGCTGTCTCTTCCAGCCCATTCACACCTTTCCTGTGCTGAGCACTTGGGACAGCAATTTGAGCCCAGCCTGGGCCACAGAGTGAGTTCACGGCCAGCCTGAGCTACGCTGTGAGACTTACCGCAAAAAAATAATAAATAAAAATAAAAGAAATACTTCTCCTCACCAAGAAAACAAGAACGGATAAACAGAACTGCTTCAAACTACCTCCACACAGCCAAGCAAGCACTGAAGAGCGAGAGGAGCCTCCCATGGGCCGGGAAAGAAAATTTACATACCCGTACACGTGAAGCGGGTAAAATGAGCAATGCTGAAGGAACACAGGTCACGCGATAGCAAGAAAGCAATCCACTGAAACATGAGCACAGGACCGAGAGGGGCGTTCTTCAAGAGAACACACACATGGCCAAGAGCACTGCCAATCAGGGAAATGCAAATGGAAACTACAATGAGGTATCACCTCTGGCTTGTTAGGGCACCTTTTACTCAGAGTTATGAGGTGGGGAGGGTGGTGGACACTGCACTGTGTCGGTGAGGACGGAGACCGCTGTGGACATAGCCACTGGGGAAAACAAATTACCAGATCTGCCCATGTTCCAGCAATGCCACAACTGGATACACATTCAAAGGAAATGGAATCACTATGGAATCAACCAACTGTCTAGCGTGGAGGAAAGGGGAGGAAAGCGTGGAACATATTCACAAGGGAGTACTATGCAGAAGAGTAAAATCCTGGCTTTGTGGCTGCACCCATGAACCCAGAGGACATTATGCTAAGCCAGCACGGAAAGCCAAGTGCCACATGCCCGCACAGATGAAGTGCCATGTAAAGCTGACCTCATAGAGCCAAAGAGTAGTTGACCACAGTGGTCACCGGGAGCAGGGGTGGAGAGACACGAGTCAGAGGACACGTTTTCAGTTAATCAAGGTGAACAAATTCTGGGGACAAAACACAGCTACAGGAACTATACCTGTACAGTATAAGGGTATGTGTATAGTGTAGGGGACACTTGAAAAGTGCACACTAAACCTTTTGGGGGTGCGTATGAGTTATGTAGCAGGGCGGGTTTCCTTTGGGGGATCCTGCACCCGCATGTTACACACTTCGGCCTTCCCCTTCCCTGCCTGGCCCTTCCGCCTTGCTCCCTTCCTCTGTTCTCCTAGTCTCCCTTCGGCGCTGAGATGAGAGTCTGGTTCTCAACACAAGTGATGAGAACTTGTGGGATGGACGGGTTAAGCAGCCTGACTTAATCAGTCCACCACCGCTGACCAGGCACGGTGGAGCATGCCCACAGTCCCAGCACTCAGGAAGCAGAGGCAGGAGGATCACTGTGAGTTCAAGGTCAGACTGGCCCACATTTGAGACACAAGAAAACATTGACAAACACAGTGCCCAAAAACCCTGGCACCACAGCCCTGAGGCTCTGCACAATGGATGGCTCTCTGGGACCAGGTGTCAGGACTCATGGCCGATTTCTCTGAAAGAATTCTGCTGAAATCATCTTGGAGGAGGAAGTCTAATAGCAGCTGGTATTTTACAGGTTTTACTATGTGCCAGACAGAATGTGTGATGCATACACGTGCACGCACACACAAAGAGAGGTGTCAAGACGTTAGGAAATTCTTTGTTAGGCAGCTCATTGTCTAAACAAAACAAAAACTAAGGACTACGGTGCTTAGAAAAGGCTGGAGATTTGTAGGCCTTGCAACTGAATGGGAACACCAACTTCTGCGCTGCTGAGCTGGAGGGCTGAAGGCTGAGGGCTGAGGGCTGGGGTTTCAGGCGGGGCTTTGGGCTGTAGTCCCAGCACATACAGGAGATGTGGGCTGGGAAGAGGAGGGGAGACGGCCACCTCCCATCAGCCACCAAAGGATGACACCTCAGGGGTGAAGGGAGAGGGTGGGCAACAAACCCTACATGCATTAGCACCTTCTACTCGTGCTTTTAAAAGGGACCACTGAGAACCAAGAAAAAGAAAAGCCAGGTGTGGTAGTGCTTGCCTATAATCCCAGCACTCAGGAGGCTGAGGCAGGAGGATCACCATGAGTTTGGGGCCAGCCTGCATTACATAGCAAGACCTTGTCTCAGAAAAACAAAATAAAAACAAAAGCAACTTTGGCATACAGAAATTGCTATTTGAGTCAGGAACTAGGAGTTATGAAGCATGTCATTCTTCATCACGATGGATCCGCCCTTCTTTCAGCCTTCTTTGGTGTTTTCCTCTTTTTGAGACATCAGTAAGCAGCTCTAACAGATATTAGGGTCAGGCTCCACTAGTTCATGACAGCCAAATGATAAACTTTTAGGAATTTTTTATGCCACCTGTTGAACAGATACCATTAAAAACTATACTACATTAACTCATAATGAAATATATTAAAAACCAAGGCATTAATCAAAATTCACTATCTTATTACATTTCCCTATTACCTGTGTGGAATTTTTTTAGGACAAGATCTTTCTCCGTTGTTCAGGCTAGCCTTGAATTCACTATGTAACCCAGGCTGGTTTTAAACTTGTTGTAATCCTTCTGCCTCAGCCTCCCAAGAGCTAGAATTACAGGTGCACACTACCACATCCAGCTCTATTATCTATGTTCCTGAAGTTATTTATGCCCAGTATATTTGCGTGACAGTGTTTCACAGAACTGTGTGCTGCTGCTACTCAACATCTCTTTCCATTCCCATTTCATGGGAGTCACTTGCAACTTAACTGGTCAGGCTGGATGGGCAGGCTGCAAACTAGGGTTCTTTTCTCCTGCGTGAGCTGTGAATGGGCAGTGCGGGGTGAGCACTCACACGGTCAAAGACTCAGTCCATGGCCCAGGCTCTGCTGAATCAAGAGTGTGAGCTCTGCAATCAAAAAGGAGGGACCCGCCTCCCGGGAATCTCCTCACAGGGACAGTTTTAAAACATTCCAAGCCTCCGCTGCTTCTGTCAACCTCAGTAGAGAGAGGACAACACACCAAGAACATCAGGTTGTCACAGAGTCAAATGAGCTCATATATGTAACATACTTTGCAAAATGCCTAATGCAAAACAAGTTATTCCACCGTAGATCACTTAGAGCTTCCCAGTGCCATAAGCAAATCCATAAAAGTAGCAGCGGCTGCAGTTCCTCAGTGTTTACTGATACAATCTGTATTTCTTTGAAAACTCAACAGCCTCAGACTGGCGCCACTGCCATCCACTCCAAGATATGCAGGTACATATTGCTGCAGGCCGCAGGCTGCTTGCATCTTCACAGTGGAAGCAGCTGCCACAGGTGACCTTGCTGTGTCTGGCTGAGTCTCAACTTTCTTTAAGTCACCAGGTCTGTCACCACCCAGGCCATGAGGATCCATCCCAGCTCCTCCCAACTCTGACTTCAGAGACCGTGGACTGGGAGGGTCCCCAAGAGAGTTTGGAGGCATTGGCAGTCCAGACACACGAATCCAGAGCACTTGTCAAGGAGATTTACGGCCCATGAGGGGGATATTGACCATGATCATTGATTTTCTGTTGAGATTATTGCTCTTGACATTACAATCAATGGCAACCAATAGCCACTTACTGTGCCGTTGGACACCCAGCTACCTAGAGAAAGAGTTTCAAGCACTGCTTTCTACGCGGCAGCCAAGGACTCTGAAACAGCCCAGAGAAACTTGGGTTTTTGGCAGCCAGAAGCATGGAATGAGCCAGATTCACTTCTTACCCAGCCAGGCTGCAGCCTCAGTACTCTGGAAACACCTTCACAGATCGTGCTCCCTTCTCATCCCTATCCCGGGCTTCTGTGTTGTAACTGAACCAAGAATAAAAAGCTTTCTCAAGAAAGCAGCAGTAGAAACAAACGAAGACCAGTATCTTTCCCCAGAGGGAGAGGCAAGAAGTGACCCAAGCCTTGTCAGAAATCAGCTGATGACTCTGGGAGGACAAATTCTTTCCTGTCTTTCTGCTTTGGTTTCTGAATGTGCTTCACAGATGGATGCAGCGGACTGCGCTACCAGCCTACATCGTTTCTGCCGAATCTCACACCAGAACCCTGGGTTCACTTCCTGTTTTTATATTTCAGAATAAAGTTTTGCAACAAGAAATGCCCCGACTTGCTCGTCGCTGAGAAGGAGGAATTATCAATGAGTTTCTAATTACCCAAAACCATCTGGCAACATAGCCACCAGCAGCCCACTGATATTTTGAGAGACAAAAATGGATTAGAATGCCAAATAAAAACTGAGATTTCTGCTCATTTAATTCCAACCCCCAAATCAAGAATTTAAAAAGTACCAGCAGCTCAGACGTTCCCAGCACATCTAACGTCAGGGACTGCATCCTGGAGTAGTGAACCCCCAGCTCTCGGTGGATTCCGGAACACTCGATGCAGGTCAGGATGCCCAGGTTGGTGGAAAGCCATGTGGGATCTGCCAAGGAGGACAGGGCACACTTGAGCTTGCACTCAGGTAGAGGCCAGGAGGTGCAACATTTCCCTGCCTGGCTCCTGAATGTGGAGTTCTGAACATGAGCATGTTTGATTTTTGACACCGCTGAACCATCTCCAGAATGAGGACCGATTAACATGCCATCCATATACGGGCTAAAGTTCTCCCTTCTCCTTGCCAGCACCCCCTTTGTCTCCCTATTCATCAAGTGGCAGGTGCCGTGAGCACAGAAGTCAGTAGGACACAGTGCTCAGGAGTGACATGGGTTCCTCCAAGGCTGGTTCTGGTGAGGGAACACACCCTTACCCACCCTGGCCAGACTGGCAGTGGAACGAGAGAAAAGGCAAGAGGATCCACAGTGTAGTCCTCAAAGGGGAACGGCCGTGAGACACATAGGCTGGGGGTACTAAAGGCAACAGAGAACATCGCTATCTGCTTATGATATGCCATGTTCAGCACTTAGTGGCTACAGTAACAGTCTGCTTCGTAAGAGCTTCAAAAGTCATAGACTGTTTTCATGTCACATCTGATTGAAGCGTACAAGGGCCTGTGGGTGACCAGAACGGGAAGGATCTCACTGTGCAAAGAGGCTCAGACCCTGGGAGCCCGCATGTGCGCCACCATACCAGCTCTGACTTCTTTATCGGTGTTTGAGACATCACTGCTCTCCTTGCTGTCCTTCTCTTTTCTCAAGAAAGAGCATAATTCACTACTTATCTCTCCCCACCTCATCTCCTGCCCAAAAGATACTTTTTAATGGATCTAACACCAAATATAGCCTTCATGGTAATAGGAACCCAATGGCATTTCTCAAGTGTCCACTCTATTTTGGTTGTGTTTTTAATAGAAATGCCCAGAATTGGAGACACAAAAAGGTAATAGACATTCTGGCAAAGCCACACTCTTTTTCATCTTACAATTCTCAAAAAAGGCTACCATATAGTTCCATTGACCATTTCCCCGGGATCCATCTTAATTAGAATAAGTCAACTCCATGAACATTTTTAAAATACTAGTTGCTAAATCAGGTATGGTGCATGCCTGTAATCTCAGTACTCAGACAGCTGAGGCAGGAGGACTGAAAGTTTGGGGCCAGCCTGGGCAATTCAGGAAGACTCTGTTTAAAAATGAAAAGGGCTGGGGATGTGGCTCAGTGGTAGAGCACTTGCCTAGTAGAATAAATCCCTGGGTTTGATCTAGAACCACCAAAAAAAAAAAAAAAAAAAAAAAAAACCAAACCAGGGGCTGGGGATATTGTGCCTTCCTGGCCAGTGCAAGGTTGTGAGTTCGATTCCCAGGACTAAAAAAAACCCAAAAAAAACAACAAAAAAACCCAGAATTAACAGTGATATTATGTCATAATGAATCCTCTAACATGCTCTAACAAAATGCAAACATAAATGACTTGTGTCACTGAATGTAATAGTGCAGAGGAACTTGCTCCTTCACTTTACAGAAAATGGAAATCTAAGGAACTTACAGCTCTTGACAATGACTGAAAGTGATTTACTTGTTTCTTTGTTTATAGTGCTAGGGATCGGATCCAGGGCCTTTGCACTAAGCTACATCCCCATCCTCTTTTAATTTGTTTAAATTTTGAGGCAAGTTCTCGCTAAGTTGCCCAAGCTAAACTAAAACTTGTTTGTTTATATTTTATTTTTGAGACAGGGTCTCTCTGTGTAGTTCAGACAGGCCTTCGAATCACTATGTGGTGCAGACTGGCCTTGAACTCATGGCGATCCTCCTGCCTCAGCCTTCCGAGTGTTGGGATTTTGTGCTGGGATTTCAGGCATGTTCCACCATGCCCAGGTGAAATTATTTTAGGAGATCTACAAAGTAGGACCAAGAGAGGCTGAGGCAAAGCCTGGGTCCCTCCTGCACACCCATGGCCTTTGAGAAGCCACAAGAGGCCAGAGATCTTGACTCCCCCGAGGTGGCCAGGTTCTCATTTTTCAGGGGGCACTGCCATCTCTGTGTCCACCAAGACACCTCACTGCAGCCTGCTCCCAGGGCTGGCAGGGACACATCCCCTAGCCCTCATCCAGCGTGGTCTGCAGGGCTCGTTAAGCATTTGTGTAATGGGATGAACTTGGGCTGAGCTGCACTTCACGTTGTGTTTGAAATGGAAGTGAAAATCAATGACGACTCTGCGAGTGGGAATGGGATTTGAATGTCCCAGAGCCTGAGGTAAGGCAGGCCCAGGCACCTGGTGCTCCACAGTCACAGCACACGTCGTTGCCCGTCATCCTCTGCACCTCCGAGATGATCTCCTTGGTCAGCTCCTGGATGATGTTATTTTCCCCAGTGCTGTCGTCACCCTTAAATGCGTTGTTCAGAGCCTCTTCCTTGCTGTTCTGCAGCACGGACATCCATCTAGACACATGACAGGGACAGGTGCAAAGTGTCACAGCCAAGAGCAAGGGCTGGGCCAGCCCAGAGTCCCACCCCAGCTCACTCACATCTGACACTCCTGCTCGTCCTCTGCTTGGAAGTGGTACGTCCTGTCATCTGCAGCAGGAAGAGAGGCATCAATGGTGAGCCCAGACAGTAACCCACAGGTAACCCGCACACATTCAAAAAGTACCATATAATTAACTGCAGGAAAAATCTCAGCCCTCAGTAATGATTTGTATAGAATCAAGCCTTCCCTCAATGCCTTCAAAGGCCTGCTGGGCCCAGTAATTGTGGCTTTGTAATGCAAATTCACAAACCTGCCCTGTTTCCGGACCTCTGAAAGACGCATCTCCCAGGATCTGGAGGTGCTTGAAGGAAACACCATCATCCTATAAAGGTTTACTTTCTAAACTCACTGCAGAGCTGCCCCCAGGAAGAAATTGCTGAGCTCTCTGGAAATAACAGAAGACTTTTCTAAGGCAGTACTTAGATGCTTTCTGGCTTTCTTAGAGAAAGGTTGGTGCTGCAGGAGAAATTCTAAGAATAACATGCTGTGGGAGTCCTGTTCTCCAATCAGCTGAAGCCATGGGATCCTGCCAAGGATCGGTGGCCCTGAAATGCCACACCCAGGTACCGCTGGCACGTCACAGGGTTTGGCAGGACTGCCGGCCCCCCTGTGTGCAAAGGGCGGGCGGGGCCTGTGAGATGACGGCATCACTTTTGTGCTATTCTTGCCAAAGTCTTTTATCTTCCATTCAATCAGGAGAAAACCTGGGGAAACCCAAATGGAGGGACAGCTGGCACCGGAACTGATCAATATTCTTCAAAAGGTATAAGATTGTGACAGGTAAGGGACAACTGCAGAGAGAGCAGTCAGATGAAATAACCACCAATTACGATGCAGGGTCAGGGTGGATCCCAGGGCAGGACAAGAACGTCAGTGAAAAGGGCGAGACCAGCTCAAGGCTTGGTGCCAGTGCCCACTGCCAGGCTTTCCTAAGCGTGCACACAGCTGACAGCATGTGTCGTGCACTGCTGGGTGGTGGTTGTAGGATGTCTACCTAGGGAAAGCTGGGGAGAGACACACAGCAACAGTGAGTCCAAGACAAATCTAAGAAAGAAAGCTAAATTTGAAAAGGAAAAAAGGGAGGATGTCTCACTTCCACATGTGGCACAGCAATGACTAGTAGAGAGGTCCTCTTGGGGACACGCAATAAACAGCTGCTCCCCAAAAGGGAGCAGACACCAGTGGTCTTCCAGTCATGGTTTTCTCTCCTGAAAGCACCCTGCTTCTGAGAACAGCACACATCGCTGTCCCCGCGAGCTGTGTGGGCAGAGCGCGAGGCACAAGAGGTGCAGGGCAGAAAAGAGAGGGCACCCAGGTCCTGGCGCCTGACCTGACCCCGTCTCCCACACACCAGGCTGCCCTTCTGTTTCTAACACCAGGGGATCGGGGCCGGGTTTCCCTTTATTCCTTCTGTTACTGAGGAGAGGAACAAGGTGTAAGAGAACTGTTTTAAGTTAGCAAAAATGAAGAGGATTTTGTGATTCATATGTCAGGCTCAAGTGTGGCCAGAAAGAGGCGGCCACATTCTCAGGCATAGATCACAGCCTAAGACTCAGCTGGAGGACTCCGAGGTCCCAGGAAGCCATGACTCAGGGGGTAATGCCAGTGCTCCACATCTAAGGCTGAGCTCAGACCAGGCAGAGCTGGTGAAGCAAATCCTGCCTGATAACGTGTGGTGAAGAAGGCGGGCTTCTGAAACATCTAAGCAAGAACTCCTTCTGTGGCAGGCTCCTGAGGTGCATGTCAACCACAGCCTTGCCACAGACGAGAAATAACAGGCCGAGGGAGCTGGGTTCCGGGCATCAGCTGCCATGGTGCTCTCAAGTGTCGGCATCCCCTCGTCTGAGAGGTGCGCCCATTCTCCCTGGCAACAAACGACAAAACGTGACAGACTCTGAAAGAGCAGCTGCCTGTGTCACACAGGCCAGAGGTTCCCTCTGTAAATGGAACGACCGGGCTGAATTCCTGGTGACCCCATATTCACAAGCGGTTCTGGCCTTTCCCTCCCAAAACTAACCCTGCCACGGAGGATGACAGGGAACAGAAGGCCTGTCCTATCTCCTTTAAAACCTCTCTGACCCTTGTCTTCTCTTCCTTTTGGGGATGTGGTGCATGCTGAGTAAACATTTGCCACAGTGGATGGTTCTGTGGTGATTCTACAAAGAGGAGAAGCCCACAGGACGGGAGAGACCAATGCTGTGGTGGAAAGGAAAACCATCCCCCAACTCTACTTCCTAGGGTTCCACTCAAGACCTTATCATTTTTGTTTATAGCATTTCTAACTAAATTAGGGAATCTTTGGGCAACAAAACTCTTTTTAAAAACCCCACAAAGCTGAGCTGGGTGCAATGGTGCACACTTGTAATCCCAACACTTCGAGAGGCTGGGGAAGGACTGCCGCCTAGGCTAACATAGTGAGTTCAAGGCCGGCCTGGACTACATGGTGAGACCCTGTCTCAGAAAAATGAAAAAACAAAGCCATAAGGACTTTGTGCCTGACAGCTTGTCTAGCGCAGCCCTCTCATGTCAAATGGCAGAGCACAGTGTGCGTCTAGGTTTACAAAGCCATGGAACAGGACTATGGCTTGTATCCAGTCCTCAGACAGAGAGAAGGGCAAGCCAAGAACTACTGCTGGAAAGACAGAGACGGCAGCTCGCTGGAAAGGGGGCGCTGCTGTTCCAAAACCAGTGCTTCAATACCCAGTGTCAGGCATGGGACGGGTACCCTAGAAGCAAATTTAATGAGATCTCCCCAGGCACAGCGTCGCCCGAAGAACCTTACGTGAGATGAGGTCGAAACACTTCTTCTCCTCAGGGTTGGTCTTCACCTGGCAGGTCAAGAGGTTGAGCTTTGCAGGAGGCCGGTTAGCCTGGGTGCCACAAAGGACAGGGAAGGTGAGAGGGGAGGAATGAGACCAGTGACGGAGACCGCTGTGAAGCACCTCTGAGCAGGACTTAATATTAACCAACCAGCTTTCCATGTTGACTTGTGAGCCTGTCCAAGGCCTAAACCCCTTGTCTAAGGCCACAGCTGAGGATGCCTGGCTCCAACCCCAGTTAACTAAAAGGAGACTGCAGCTGCGGGTCCACACTCCTACAACAAATGTCAACCTGGAGATGAGATAGTCTCCTAATCAGCATACTTCAAAACCTGGGGATGTCTCTGAACTCTCTCCCAAGATTCTGCTCAGATTCCTGTGTTTTCTTCAGTATCCCCCACCTCCTTTGTTTGAAAACCAAGTAAATATAGGCCACCCAGAGAAGTTCTTTGTCTTAGCCCCCAGAGAATCTTGAATTCACATAGAGGATTTTGAACCTCTTGGAGCCCTAAAATCATACCACTTGACTCTTTTATTTAAGCCTTTGCCATCCATTCATTTGGGAGATTGTAGGCCTGATCAGGCCGCAACAACTAAGGGATAATATTAATGGTTCAACAAAATGCACTTCATGTAGTCATGTTTCAACCCCACACATAAAGAATCACAACACACTTCTGTCAGAGCTGCGTCAAAAACTGCTGTTCTCTTCTTAGTTTCAAAAAATATCACTCTGAGCCCTTGTTGTGGCTGTCTAGATGTCCCCCCAAAACCTCATGCAGTCAGAGATGGGGCTTTGTCAGAGTGGCTGGAATTACACTGTGTGATCCTGGGACGGATTCATGGTGTAGTGCTAGGCTCAAGGGTACTAGGAGTACGGGTGTGAGTGCTGCCCACCCTGAGTGGCCTAGATAAAAGGAGCAGAAAGACATTGTTAAGGTCCCTCGTTGCTTTTGCTACCTTCTGTCCTCCATGAACTGTTCCCTGTTCCTCCTCTCCCATGTGCCACCCTGCCTCGGAGCCAGCCAATTACAGACTGAAACCTCTGTAAACTGTGAGCTAAATAAACTTTTCCCCCTTTAACTTTGAGTGTTGGGTACTTTGTCTCAACAACTAGAGAAGAGTGACTAAGATAGCCCTAAAATACAAAGGGAGCAAGATAAGGTAATTGTAGAAACAGAAATTGTGGATATCAAATGCATTAGAAACCTTTGTGAACTCTCCAAATACAGACTGACTTGCTTTACTTACCTAACAAGCTGCTAAAGGAAAGATCAAATGCCATCTGTAACAGGGCGGTCTGTGTGGCCCCCTGCACTCGCAGACCGGGAGGTCTCGCCTGTAACTCTACAGAGCAGGGGGCGCCAGGAGCAGCCTCCTTGAAACGGGATGCGGGACGCGGGTTTCAGAAAGGGCGAGGGATTTCAAGTTCAGGCACCCAGAAGCTGCACAAATGGGCATGGCCTAGATGCTCCTGGATTGTGGCTGTAATGATCTTATCTCCTATGGATGGATCTTCTCCACCACCTGCAGACTCCTAACAGAATCCTGGAATCATCAGACAGCAGTTTTGGAAGCCTCTGCCCTGCTTCATCTTGCAAACCTGGATGGTTCTGAGCAGAAGCAGCAGCCACTTTGGATCTTTACCCATGGGACAACTAGCTTGCTCAGGATCCAACACGCAAATGACACACCGCTCTCAAGAGGCACAGGAGCTCATGTGCCATCTGTTACCATCCTATAACCATGCACCAGAGACACAGTTTCCAGGGCTACTTCCAGATTACAGTGTCAGCTTTTCTTAGATACAGGAGCCAAGGGGTCAGGATCCTTCAGTAAATGCAAAAGCACTTTAAGGATATGACAAGGACTGAGTAGGAAGAGCTATATCTACTCAGTTATTATTAGTCTGTCCTTTTGTGAGGTAAACACTTTCATGAATTAATTCAACCAATATTACTAACTGCCATCTTCTTTGTAGGGTTTGAACTCAGGGACTTTGCACTGAGCTAAACCCCTAGTCCTTTTTTATGTGTTTCTTTTGAGACAGGGTCTCACAGAGTCCTTAAATTGCCTGGGCTGGGCTCACACTTGCAATCCTCCTGCCTCAGCCTCCCAGAGTGCTGGGATTACAGGTATGCATCCACACTTCTGGCTCCTAACCATCCTCTGCAGTAGGAATGACTCCAACAGTACAAATAAAGATGCGGCCTAGACAAACGAAATCATGACTGGAGTGCTGCAGCTTAGGAGCTGGGATGCCAGGCCTCAAACACAGCAACCCTTCTCCAGGGCTCAAGTGCTCTGTTGCCAGGCTACTGGGCTCACCTCGGTACCCAGAGAAGGCAGGTGCACACTGGGACTCACCTTTTTGGACCGCAAAGAACCACCATTAGAATGATCACAACCCTCCCGCCACTAACTGTTAACTTTCTTTTTTCTCCAGGGCAGAGGGAAAGTTGCTCACCCTCTAGGACAGAATGCCTCCTTTACAGCAAACCCCAAAAAAACACAGAAAAGCTCCACTGACTTTATGTGGATTAGGAACTTTTACAAAAGCACGAATGTGGCTCCATATCAAAAATGACCCCAGGAAAGAATCAAAGTCATACAAGCCGGTACTCATAAGCAATATCAGCTGTTCTTAGTTTTACACCAATAGCTGTTTGCTATTTGCCCATTCAGATTATTCATAGCAAAGCCAGACAAAAAGTTTAGGGGAGAGAATTCTACCCATTAAATTCCCTTTGTGCTGCAATTTGGAAAAGGAGAGCCATGACTTATTTCAGCTATCGGACAATTTCATCTGATTCACAAGGTTATCAGCATTCTGCAAAGACCTAATTTAAGAAGCCCTGATTCAGGAGAAAAGCTAAGGACAGGGAAAGAGCCAAGCCTTAGTGCTTTTTTTCTTCTTTTTTGAGACAGGGTCTTGCTGTGTAGTCCAGGCTGATGTTGAACTCACTATGGAGCCCAGGCTGGCCTCAAATTCACGACAATCCTCCTGCCTCAGCCTCCTGAGTGCTGGGATAACAAGTGTGCACCTCCACGCCCAGCCTTAGTGCTTGTTTTGAAGGCAAGGGCTGTTAATGATTCTCCCAGTGTAACCCCATTTCTACTTTTTGCCAATTGCTTAGGCTTTAAAAAAATTTTTTTTACCAGTTTGTTAGACTTTAAATTTTTATTTTAATTGTTTGAGAGCCAGCAGACAGCTCTCCCACCTCAGCACAGCTCACAGCTCTGCTGGCTGGCAACACAGGATTTTCATCCCAGGACCGCTTCTCCCCGAGCCAGGGAGCACGGTCAGCGTGGCCAGCAGGGGTCTCCCTCCCAGCCTGGGCAAACCTGCACACCCCAGGCCACACAGGTCCCTGGGACTCTTGACTTTCAGAGCTTGCAGCACGACACACAGGGAGAGGGAACGCTCAGCACCTGAGTGGAAGGCTGGAGAGCAGCTACTGTATCCCTGCAAGGCGTGGGACAGTGGCCAGGACAAGGCCCACCACCGTCCCCAGCTGGAGCAGAAAGTGGCTGCGAATGGCAGGCGAGGCATGCAGAGGTAGAGGGTGCCTGGAGAGGCTGCCCTCGGCACACAGCACACTTAAGAAACATGCGTGCTGCGTGACAGGCGAGCTGCCAGCATCCCGCTGACACTGGTCACGACTGTGCTGCCAACACCAGAAACTGGGGCAGCTCATCCAGCCCTGATGAGGGAGTCTCCCCACCTTCTGACAGGAAGCTCAGGCACTGGAGACGAGGCGAGGTACGCAGCCAGCAAAAGGTCGCAGGGCCTGCTCCCCTCTGTTGTGAGGCAGAGCTGCCAGCCAGCACGACCTGAGGCCCTAGGCCTCAGGGGGCTCTCAGTAACGCAAACGGAGAGCTGTAAGAGTATGAAACAAACTTGGTCTTTATTTTGTGCATCAAGGTGGTAAACCTGAATTAAAATAACTGGACAACTGAAAAACAAACCACAGAATCCTGGGTGTTCAGATCAGGAAGAAAAATAGCTGTCTCCTGGTCTCATGTCATTAATTTTAAAGATGAGACATGGTTAATTAAATCTGTTTTCTGTTGTCTATAGCACTCCACACACAGCCCTGCACCTATCTGTATGGAAAGAGCAGCACAGGAAGGCGCAGACTGCAAGCCCCATGTATGAGCTACTTTTGTCATCACTGAGGCAAAATACCCGATATCCAAGGTGGAAAGGTTTATTTCATTCACAGTGTGTAGAGGTTTCAGTCCATAGTCGGCTGGATCCAAGGCAGGGTGGCATGGCAGAGGAGACGCAGTTCATGGTGGACAGAAGGCAGCAGAGTGACCAGAACCAACCACAGGTCTTTCTATCCTTCTGTCTCTTCCAGGCCACTCAGGGCAGGCAGCACCCACACCCTTAATTCTAGCACCCATGAGTCTAGCACTGAGCCATGAAATCATCCCAGGGTCACACACTCAAGATCCAGCCACCTCTGAAAAAGCTGCATGACCGCATGAGGTGTTGGGGGGACATCGAGACACAAACCATAACACCCCAGAAGAAGGTGGGTCACACCAGCATGGAGGCTGCATTCTGGAAAAGGGAAGGACCTCCATTTGTCTGGCTAAGAAACACAGGCCATCCCCTGGTGAGAGGACCTCGGATCAAGAGATAATACTTACCGTACCGTGGGATATGGTCAGAAAACCATTTTTCACTGAACATTTCCTTTTCTGCCACACTTTTCGGATCCTTATGGATAAATGGGAAAAAACCAATTAAGCACTTAGACATTTTGGATATGGGAGATCAGGAACGTACACGTCCCCCCAGCATCCAGCACCACCACCTACCCGTCGCTTTTCTTGTAGAGGTTGCCATTCCGCTCCGTGCCGTGTTCCTTGTTCCCCTGAGGCTGATGCAAGCTATAAGCTGTACTCTGGCGAAGTTGGGAATCCTATAGAATGGTCGAGAACTTGCTTTATAACACATTCTCCGGTACTGATTCTTTAAAAAGCAGTACACAAAGAACATGTGTGCCTCAAGTTGCTTTTCAATTCTTACCACACCAAGAAAAGGACACAAAATCCATCTATCACCAGGCGCGAGAAGGAACTGTCAAAAATCAGTGTTTCTAATAAGTAGACAGAATTAGCCTTCGGACATTCAGAGGCTTTGTTCTCCTACAAGCTTTAAGTCCTGGACAACAGCCGGGGCTCCTGAGAGGGCCAGGCAGCGTCAGGAAGGAAGAGGACGTGATGACTGCAAAGGGTGTGGGCTTTTAGGCAAGTCCGCAAAACTATTTTCTGATTCATACAGACAAGTTACACAGGTCCTCTGCCTCAGTTTCTGTCCTGGACAACAGGAAACAATATCTAGTAAGATGGCAAACACAGAGTGCGATCACACGTGTGGACACCTGGTGCCTGTCGGTATAGGCCAACAACTCCCCTCTCTCCCTCATTCTGTCTCAAAGCGGGGAGCACAGGTGGAACCAGACTGCTCCCCATTCTGACCCAGGGGAGCTGTCATCACCGAAAGTCCAACCCAGCGGCCAGCTGGGAATCCACAGGAACAGCAGCCCGCAAGCGTCACAGGGCCAGCAACCATGAAGAGTTCCAAGGCTAGGGTCCCACCTCTAACAGGTGTGGAACGAATGACATCACACAGCCCTAGCCACAAGCAGACAGTGCTGCTGGGGCCAGCACTGGAAACTCGGGCAGATCATAAGAATACAGCAGAGCAAGGTGGGAACAGACAGGCCCCGGGTCAGCCAGGAGGGCTGAGATGTGCCTGTTTCTATCAATCATGAACTCGCCCTCTGCTTGAGCCTGTTCGTTCAGTAAGAGGAAGAAACAGGACAGAGAAATTCAATGATTGGCTCAGGGAGCAGGAACGCCAAGAGCTGGGAGGGGACGGAGCTCCCCACTGCCTGACTGGGGATATCTTCAGATAGGGCTGAGCTCCTTGATGACAGGGAGCAGTGCCCGACCTCAGGTAAACCGCTCCCCGCCATCAAGACAATGAAGGCACGGACAGCAAAGTGACCTGGAACAAGACCTGAAGAGTCAAGTGGAGAAAACCCCAGGAGAGCCTGGAAGACTGAGCTTTAAGGGGAGGGGAAGAACTGGCAGAGCAGGAGGAAGGGCACTCAGGGCAGGGGGACAGCACGGCTGGGACAGAGAGGGAGGGCAGCCGGCGTCACCTGAGAAGGGGACAAACACTGCAGCCTGAGGCAGAGCGAGAACAAGCACCAGGACCCCTGGACACCCGACAGTTTCAAAAGAGGTTTTTAAAGCACAGGAGGTTTTTATTTTGATGAAGTTCAATTTATCTACAGTTTCTTTGTACTCTGGGGTCACGTGTAAGAAACCAATGCTGAATTCAAAGTCGTGGAGATCTATACCTATAATTGTAAGAGTTTTATAACTTTAGCTATTATGCTGAGGTCTTTGATCCACTTTGAGTTACGGTATAAAACAGGAGTCAAATTTATTCTTTTGCTCGTGGCTATCTGGTTGTATCCACACCATTGTTGAAAAGACGATTCTCTCCCATGCTGTCCTGGTGTCCTTGTTCAAAATCCCAGTGACCACAAATGTAGGGGTTTCTTTCTAGATTCTCAACCCTCTTTCATTGATTAAGCTGTCTCGCTATATGCCAATACCGCAATGTCTTGACTGTTACAGCTTTGTGGCTAAGCTTTCAAATCAGGAAATACCCTCCAACTTTGCTCTTTTCCCAGTTGGTTTTGGCTAATTCTTGGGCCTTTGCATGTCCATAAGAATTTTAAAATCAGCTTGTTAATCTCTGCAAAAGCCGACTGTGATTCTGGTGGAGACCACACAGAGTCTTTCCCCCCTCAGGGGAGCGCAGTCACTGTCGCTGTGCTGTCTTCCAGTCTATGAACATGAGTGTCTGGCACTGACTTCCTAAACACTGTCTGCAGCCATCGAAAGAAACAAAAAATCCTCACCCGAGCCATTCACGATGTGCTAAGGCCTTGCTCACTGCCGAGTTGATGAGCGACTCAAACAAGCACAGGCCCCAGCCCACCCCCGCCAGCACTCAGGCCTGGGCGACCAGAAGTGCGCATGTGTTTGTGGGGTGAGTACGTCCCTGGCCCCACTCCCCCGACAATGGCTGCACATCAGCCCCAGAGATGCAGAGCAAAGCCAGCTTTACGCACTGTTGGGAATAACTCCGTGGAGAGAAAGAGAGAGACTGCTCATCTGTATGACTTCCAGACCTGTCTAAAGACAGAACTGCACAACCAGACCTATGTTGACTAACTTGGGGGGAAGAAACCCCTTGCATAAAGCCAGAGGTGCAGTCATGTGGTGACCCTGCAGTGCGTTTGTGCCACACTCTCAGGTGGCACCCATGTGCAGGTCTCAGAGCAGAATGAAGGGCACTGGCCTTCCCTCCACAGAAGCAGGCTTCAGCCACACAGGAAAGTAGATTCTGTCTTTTCCTTTTCTTTAGACCAAGCATTTCTTTTTTGTTTATTTTTTTGAGACAGGATATTGCTATGTGGCCCACGCTAGCCTTGAACTCTCAGTGATCCTCCTACCTCAGCCTCCCAAGTGCTGAGATTACAGACACACACCATCATGTCCAGCCAGTCTTGACTCAATCAAAACATGCAGACAAATCTGAAGCTATCGTGTGAAATCTAAAATTCACAGAAAAGAGAAAACTTTCATGTAAATTGAACCTGCTATTATCTTCGGCATCCTCAAGGTGACCTAGGATGTAGGTGACACAACAAAAGTCTTCTATACCTGAATAAAGGTCCAGTCAAGCTTCAGGTGATACTCACCTGGCCAAGGCGTCAATCTAATCAATCTAATCACACCCACGGCAGAGTGTATGGGGAGAAGGGGTTCTGGCTGGACCTGGAGTGGGGTACCTGGGGAAGCCAGAAAAGTGGATTCCAAGGGTCCAAAAGAATGCTCAGAATTCAGCCTTGCTAAAGGGAGGGACGACGGAACAATAATCCAAGTATAAACCCTGGATTCCCCTTAGTGCATGCAAGCTCTGTGGCCTTTAGTAAAATCTGCTACCATGAAAGAAGAGCTGAAACCTAAAGTGCTACTAGCCATTAAGATATACAAAGAAAAAAATACATATTTTTGAAGTTCATAAACAAAGCATGCAAAATTCTCCAATTTATTAAAAGAATTGAACTACTTACTCTCCTAGACTTCGGTCACAAAAGGTAAATGCATTTGGGAGAAAAACAGTAATATTCAGTTATAGTACAAGAACTTATGACAGACTGCCAACAGTAAACTTTATGCTCTGGTAAGTAGTTCAATAGTCATTTATCTAAAATCTAGTGGGTACCATTCAGGCACATTCCCTCATTAACAAAGAAGTATATTTATGTTAACATCGCATTTTATCCTAGCTATTATGGAGGCTGAGGCAGGAGGACCACTTGAACCTATGAGTTTGGGGCCAGCCTAGGGCAACATACTGAGACCCTTTTCAAGGGAAGGAAAAATTCATATTACAATACCCACACTGGTGAACATATCATAAAATTGCCTTTAAAATGTATCTTTTACGTTTTTTTTCACAAGCCCCTCCCCCCCAAAAAAACCTGCTGGTGCATAAGCACACAAAGATGTCACTACATGGAGAAGCCACAGATGTCTGCCAAGGGAGGCAGCTGTGACGAAGGCTGACGCCTCACATCTTGTACATACAGTGGCAGGTGGAGACCCACCCCAAAGGTCACCTATTCTGTGCCCACCCCAAGGGGCTGGGCCCACACATGTCAAGGCAGGTGAACCAGAGGCTGAGGGACAAAATAAATGGCACAAATGGCAGCGGACGACCTGAGAGACACTGAGAACTTCTCGCGAGGCAGGGTCTATGTGCACAGGGAGCCCCAGGAGACGGGGCCTCAGGCCTCAGGCCAGACCTCTTAAGTACAGGGTACAGGGACTACACCCAGGGCCTTCACCCTGAGTTACATCCCCAGCCCTTTTTTACTATGAGACAAGTTCTTGTTAAGAGACTAAGTTGCCCAGGCTGGGCTTGAATTTTCGATCCTCCTGCCTCAGCCTCCTCAGAAGCCGAGATGTACAGACGGGCCAACACACCCAGCTCATACGGTGCTCTGTCAAAATTAAATCCCCTCACCTCTTTCTGCTCAACCTGCAGTGCTGACTTCAAAATATCTCGAAGCTGTATGAGCTGCCTTCTTTCTTCATCCTGGGCCTGCTTGATCTTCATGAAGCAAACAAAGCAGGGAAGAGTCAGCCTGCAGCCCTGGGAGGTGGCTGGTGCTCCAGGCACCTCCACCTGTGTGTAGTCACCCCTCCCTCCGGCCAGGGCAGAGGCTGGGACCCCACCTCTGATGAAGCTCTTCTTTTCTGGCCACACATCTTGCACACTGAAGGAAAACGCAGGTCACATAAGCAAGGCTAGACCCCCATGGAGGGACGCGACTCACCGTGTGGAGGTCTGTGGACAGCGTCTCGATGGAAGGTTTGAGGCTCTCTACTGCTTTCAGTCCATCCTGGAAAAAGCTAGGGGTAACGCAAGAAATAGAACATACTTCTGTTAGATGGAGAAAAACTTTATAGGAAAGTGACTGGTCATTCTATGATGCCTGGGGGGACAAAGTCTGTATGAACAGAAATTTAAAAAGCAAATCAAAAATAAAATGACACTCAAAATTCGGAGAAGGGACTAGAGAAGAAACTGTAATAAACCTGAGCGTTTGTGATTTCTCTTGACCCATATAAAATGAGACCTAAATTTTCCTTCTATAATGGGAAATAGGATTCTACAGACAATGGCAAAAAGAACTTTGATTTGGGAGTCAACTGAGCGGCTAAAGGAAGAATAAATAAATTGCAAACAGGAATAAGACACTGGAGAATCGTCTGCGACAGGCAACGGCTAACTGCAGAAGAGAAAGAAGGTGGAAAAAGCCAGACAACTTCGAGGCACACAAATGGCTTTGCTCCATCTACAGAAGAGGAAAGCATGGTTGTAGAACTTAAGGTTAAATATCAAAAGGAATCTTTCTCTTGGTTTTTGTTTTTTTTTTTTTAAAGCTCAGAACCCAGTGCGTGAGGTCAGGTACAGCAAGTGACTCAGGAAATATAAGGGAGGCAGACGAGTCTTCTGCAGTGACTGGCGGCTGGTAATCAGGGCGCTACAGACAGGGAGGAGAAAAGGTGCCCCTGTGGGCTCCGGGTGAAGCTGACGGGCCTGGCCTGCCATGCAATTCAGCCCTGACCCACACAGTCCACACACAGCGGCCTCTCTCCTGCACACACTGCTGCCCCTCGCTCTAGACCTCTCCTGCATTGTGTTTCACCCAGATGTGCCTGCTCGTTCTTCAGGTTTTAAGGTAAACACTGCCTCCTTTGTGAGGCCTTCTTTCATCCTCACTTTAAAAAGAGTTCTCCTTGAGTCAGACGTGGTGGCGCACGCCTGTAATCCCAGCACTTGGGAGGCTGAGGCAGGAGGACCACTGCACATTCAAGGCCAACTCAGGCAACATAGTGAGTTCAAGGGTATCTTAGACTACGTAGTGAGACCCTGTCTCAAAAATAGAGTTCTCCTGGTGTATCTTGTCCTTTGCTCCAAAAAGCTTCCCACTATGTCTCCAGGAGTGTGATTACTTAACATATACTTTGCCCACCACACTCAATGTTCCAGGAGGGAACGCTGGGATCCAGTGCCTGGCCCTGGCAGGAAAGGATTCAGGCACAGAAGTCGCTAACTCTGTCCCCTGGACACCACAGAAGCCAGTTTCAAAATGTGACCTGCCTCTCACGTGTTTATGTTGGGTTTTTTTTTTAAACCCAGCAGTGGCCCCATGGTGGGTGTTATGCACAGGAGGCTGAGAGAACAGTGTATCGGTCCTCAGCTGGGCCCCTCCAGGGAGGGAGGGAGGGAAGGCAAGCGCAGAGCTGTGGGTCAGGAGGGCTGCAGGACTGGAGCCCGAGGATGGGAAGGGCCTGGTCCTCTCCCGGCCCCGCAGGAACGTGCTCCACCCTCACCTCACCTAGTGACCTTTCTTCTGCTGGCCGAGTGCCGGGAGCCAGCACGATCTACACAAGTGTCTGTCGCCACAGTGAGAGTGGAAGTCAGGCTCTGCCACCTCTGTACCACCCGTCCCTGGCACCGTGGCAGCACAGAGCCCACATCCCTTCTGCATGGGGAGGAAATTCCGAAGAAAGGCAGCGTCATGGGAATGAGAAGCAGAACTGTTCCCTTCTGTCAAGGATGGCTTTTCTTTATGCAACTATTTCCTCAAATTGCTTCAAATTCATGGAAAATCGGCAGGAAGGAAGAGCGGGAGTGGGAGACAGAGCATGACAGTGGGGTGCTACACTGGGGAACAGGATGGAGATCACGCGGATAAAGCCAAGGTGGCCCTGGGGAGCCAGAACAGGTGCATGGCTGTGTGCTGCGGTGACCAGCTGACTCCATCAGGGGACAGGCCTGGGGTGGCACCCAGGGCTTGGGAACACGCGTCTTGTCACAGGCCTCACTCCCGGTATGGCACCAGACAGTGTGAGAGGAAGAACAACACAGATCTGAGTTTAAGATGTGGTTTCTTTTTTTTGTTTTGTTTTTTTTCCAGTACCAGGATCGAACTCATGACCTTCCGCTTGCCAAGCAGGCACTGTGCCACTGAGCTAAATCCCCAGCCCCTTGAGTTTAAGATGTGGATGCCTCCCCCATCTAGTCAATGACTAGAAACCCTCCTACATGGAATGTGTAACCCTTCTGTGCTCTCCTGGGGCGCTAATGCCACCCAGGCACCTTTGAAATGCACTCAGGTCTGGCACTAGGGACAGGTTCAAGAAGAGGAAGGGTGAGAGGGCTGCTCTGCTGACCGCTGTTGGCCAGAGACATCCCTAAACACAAGTGCAAGTGATATGTTCCTAGCTTGAGCCCTTTACCATTTCCAACCTTCCATTCCAAAGCATTTATCATCAACATTACCAAGTCAAATGTTCTTCCTATTAAATATTTTCTAGCCTGCCTGACCAGATTCTTTTTTCTTTTTTTTAAAAAAGGGTCTCACTATGTAGTCCAGGCTGGCCCCAAACTCAAGGCAATTCTCCTGCCTCAGCCTCCCAAATGCTGGGATTATCAGCAACACCATGACACCACACCTGGCTCGACCAGATGGTCAAGCTGTGAAAATGCACCCACTTACCATCACCAGCCCTCCTCTGCACCCCATGTGAGGCTGTCTGCTCCCCACTCCAGGCTTCACAGATCACAACACTCTAAGCCACCAAGGGTTCGTCCACATGTGCCCGTCCCACTTCCCCATACTCCTCACACAGGAGCATCCTTCCCAGGGCTCCTGGACCGGAGTCCCTCTGACTTAGCACTCGAGTCCAGAGAGAGACAGCTGCCATCGTGGGCCTCAGCATGCTTGTGCTCAAAGCACAAGTCAACTCCATGCTCCTTTCCCCTTTTGGAACAGGACATCCCAGTCCACAGTCACCACTCAGAGGCCGCCCTGCCTCTCCATTCCGCTAGAGAGCAGCTTCCTCCTCGGAGCAGCACACACTAACACACACCTTCGCATGTGCCAAAGAATGAGATAAAGATACAAATTTAGAATTCAGAGATAAAGAGCATGACATATTCTTCACAAATACAAGGGGCCACAAAAAGTGAGTAAAAAGCAAAAGCATGCACATCTCAGTACTTCCACGGCATCCAAACATGATTCCGAGGGGCTTGGGACACACAGTGGCCTCTCACTGCCCCAGAGGACAGTGTGGTGGGGCACAAGCCTTGGCACAGTTGGCCGAGGGCTGAGAAGGAGAGGTGGGGAGCGCTTGGGAGGTGATGCAGGACCCCCACACTCGAGGCACAAGCACAGCACAACGGCTGCGGTCCAAGCTCTTGGATTCCAGGTTTTATGCCCGAAACATGAATCAAAACAGAGCTGCTGGACTGATCCGAAGAGCGGGCAGTCACAGACACTGTATCCCTCACTCGCTCATCCACAAAGGAAGTAACGCAAGATGTGTCCTTTAAAAGTTTACCCAGTTCATGCCCATAAAAGGCCAACTAGTTCACTTTTCCACAAGTCTGTTGCTACCCAACTGACAGTTTGGGCAAAATAAAGAAGAAAAAGGAAATCTTAGAATAGCTTCTTGCTAAAAATAAAATATCAGTAAGGAAGCGACCCACTTCCTAAACTGCCTCTGGCCAGGTTGCAAGGAGAGTGGAAGAGGTGATCTGGGTGTCACTGTCGATGTCACAGACAGGATTTTGAGTGTCTGTCAAAGAATTTTTCTGGAAAATGTTTTAGGATGCTCTTCCCCAGCCCAGCTCTCCTTTAGCAGAGGATGAACCACTGCACCCACACTCCTTTGCTGTCTGTCCCCAGCTGTGGCAGCAGAGCATGGTGTCACCACAGCAAAGGCAATGGCGTGACTTTTGCACATGCATCTGTGCCAAGTATGTGCGCCTTGCCCTGGAGATGGAGAATAAACAAACAAACAACATGGCCCCACTCTGGCCCCACTCTCAGGGACAGAGCCTGAGCTGGATGATGACAGCTGTGAGACACATGAGGGTGCTGGGGAGCACAGAGGACCACGGGTCCGTGAGGGACAAGAATGACCTCAGGGCTGTAAGAAGGAGTGTGGTTTTCTCTCCTGTGAGAAACCCAAAATATAAATAAAAAGCAAAAAAAAAAAAAAAAAAAAAGAAAAGACAATAGTAAACTGGGAGATGGGTCTTTTGCAAACAGGAAGGGGACTGAGATGCGGGGGGCGGGGAGGAGACATAAAAAGAACTAAGATGTGTTACTTCCAGGCACCACTCCTCACAAGCAATGTACTAAGGGAAAATAATGGAAAAACAAGAACCCCCTCAGGAGCTTGGCCCTGGGGAAGAGCAGAGGCTCAGGGGAGGGCACAGGACACAGCATGACACTTTAGGCTGGGGAAAGGTAAGCAGGTTACCTGGAGGCGAGGCTCCCACCCCCGCGGGCCAGTCCAGACCAGCCATTTCCGGCTGGGCTCACAGGTCCCTAAGCGACCGCCCACACCCCCTCTTGTCCCAGCTGGCTTCTTTGAGTTACACTGAGCAGCTTGCCATTGCCTCCACTCATCTCAGCTCCCTCACCCCAAGGCCGAGCTCTCAGACTCAGCTCACTACCTGCTCTCTTCTGGCCTCCCTGGGATACCATAGGTCTGAACAGGGCCCGGCACAGGGAGGAGCCCCCAGGGAGCGAATCCTCTGTGTACACCAATGCATGGAGTCAAAATCTTCACCTTGGACAGGACGTCATGGCCACCCGCTTCCCTAAGGGTTTTCTGTCCACTCTGGTTTCATGCCAGTCTGGCTTCTCCTGCCCCCCATGCCGCGATCTGCTGGCTCCCACTTGTCCTCTAGACAGCGGAACACATGTCCTGCCAAAGAGGCCTGCAGCTATTCAAGGAATAGCACCTACCCTAAACCTTCATCTGAGTTGGGTTTTTCTATTATATCCTTTTTTTCCTTGCATTTATATACTTCACAACCTGTTTTTTGTTTTTTTTTTTCCGCAGTACTGGGGATTGGTTTTTCGGTTTTTCGGTTTTTCTTTTTTTTGGTTTTTCTCTGGTACCAGGAACCGAACTCACGACCTTGCGCTTGCCAGGCAGGCGCTTTTGCCGCTGAGCTAAATCCCCAGCCCCCAGTACTGGGGATTGAACACAGGGCCTTCATACTTCATGAGTTACATCCCCAGCCCTTTTCTGTTTTGAGACAAAGTCCTGCTAAGTCACTAAATTGCCCAGGCTGTGGTTCAACTTGAGATCCTCCTGCCTCAGCCTTCCAGAGTGCGGGGGTGACAGGTGTGTGCCACCACCCCTGGCTCAGCACATTTTATGAGCACCCAATTCTGAGGTCCAAGTCCCTGAGTTGACTCCAGGCGGAAGTATGCCCATGCCTCTCTGTCTCAGAACAAGGCCTGACGTCAGCCTGTGATCAGTGAGACTGTCAGGTGAGTGAGCCAGGCAGGCAGGGGTCTGTTCAGTGCAGCGGCTGGTGCCCAGGGGCAGAAGTACATGAAAGACCAGGCAGAATGCGAAGAGCTGACACACAGGGCTAAGCTGAGTACCTGAACTGGGAAGGTCCTCTCCTCTGCTTACCATGGTCACCAGCTGTGTAGCATCAGTAATGTAGGAAAGCAGTTTCTTAATGTAATACCCTGTATCAACACCACTCATTTCTCCTGACACACAAACCACATCTGAGCTCCTGCCTCAGATCAAACTAGTCTGCCTCCTACAAAAAAGGTGAAAATCAATGCATGTGGTAACTGCTGTAAATGTTTTTGATATCGTAGGCCTATTTTTTATTGAGATGATTCTTAGACCTTCACCCTTTTATACTGAACAGTACAGTGACTCTTAGTATACTCACAAAGTTTTGCAATCAGCGCTAATTCCAGCACTTTTCTAGTACCTCAAAAAGTGACCCCAGGCCCATTAGCAGTCATTCTCTACCGTTCCCTTCCATAGCTGTGGCAACCAATAGTCTGGGAGTTTGCTTCTTCCTGGCCTGGCAGGTAAAAAGAATTGTGCCGCGCATGGCCTCTGCATCCGGGGCCCTTGAGTTAGCACAGTCCCAAGGTTCAACCACGCAGCACGCACTGGCTACAGATTTCTAAGTGAGTGTATATTCTCACTATAGTGCTATAATCTAACAGAAGCTGCCACACATGGAGAAACATTCAAAAGGAGAAAAGGACTTACTTGCACTGGGCATGGAAGTATTTGATCAGATTCTGAAGTAAATCCACTCCCTTTTTAATCTTGATTTCATTCACCTTCAGCAGATACTGTTAGGAAACAAAGAAAGAACTGTCACGGGAATGAGCAGAGTATGAGCTTTACTGGAATTTCTGAAGACAGATTACTTCTTCCTTGATGTCTTCTACCTTGGGCACACATCGTGGCAGACACCTGATGCCTTCTCTTTTTTTTTTGAAACAAGGTCTTGCTATGTAGTCCAGGCCAGCCTTGAACTCATTATGTAGCCCTGGCTGGCCTCAAACTTGTGGTGATCCTCCTGCCTCAGCCTCCCGAGTGGTGGGATTATAGATTGCGCCACCACATTCAGTATAACCCCTAATGCCTTCTGTGAGCCACAAAATAACTAAGTGCCTCTCTTAGGTACTGAATGAGTTCTCTGCTCACTGGATAAACATTTGAGAGCCAATAAGCCCTACTCGTAGGACATTCCCCCCAGCCTGCTGGAAGGGCTTTGCTTCCAGCAAAAGGAAGGGTCTCTGGATGGGTCTCCACCCATCTCAGATCTTGCTGTGCCCACTTCTGCCCTAGGTCCCTTCCACGAGGCAAGTCGTCATTCAGAACTCCAACCACTAGTATCCTCCAGCAGATACCCTTGTCACCATGCCAACTCCAAGATGGTTCTCTACACGTGGCTGTTAAAGAGGCAAGTTTCACACTGAAGTGCGTTAAAGCCATTTCTGACTTGGAGAACTCATTAATGACCACAGAGGTAGTAGCAGGAAGGCCCAGTGATCCATAAAGCTAGTATCAAGAAATACATTCATTCTCTCCTGGAGGCTCACAGATAGGGACCCCATAGGTTCCCTACCCTTCCTCTATGTGACATACTATACAGGACCCTGAGAACATCACATCTCTGGAACACAATGCCCTGGAATACTAAGCCACACAATGTCCCAGCTGCCACATGGGATGATCCCATGTCCACTCTTCCCCAGGTCAGCCATGCAGCCCAATAAGGGGACAGGAAGCTGCCACAAAACTATAGCCCCTCAACACACACACTTTAGTAAGAACTGCCTAGAGGTCCTCTTCTCAGTCCTTTTTGGTATCTTTCACTTTAATTGGATGTCTGGCAGTAGATCAAAATGGTACATTTGTTAATAAAATGTTTGGCAATGTACCAACCCCTAAAAGGCAGGTACCCTTCGACCCAGAAATCCTATTTACAGGAATTTATTCTAAGGGATAATCATAAAAGCTACCAGGATACATAGATGACAGTGACTATGGCCTTGTTCACCAAGGTACACTGCTGTGGGAAGGACACTCACCACCCGGCACCCAGGGTTTTGTAGGCCCAGCTGGGGGAGCAGACCCCAGAGCAGTGGGAGCAATGCCTTGTACCCATACGGCAGGCAAAGAAGTAGAAAGCTTCAGGAACAGCCTTCATGGTGGTAAGGTCTCTGGCCCTGCCTGTGTCCATCCTGCTGTGTCCCCTTCCCCCTTCCCAGGACAAGGCCAAGGCCATGGGACAGGAGCACCCCAGGGCCCTGGCAGGGAGCTGGTGGAGTCTGGGCATGCTTCTCCCTGGGCACGGGGCATTTTCCCAGCAGACTCCTCTCCTCCCTCCTCTATCTCTGACTTCCCTGGTGCAGTGGGAGCCCAGATTCCTCACTGAAACCACCAAAGTGCTGAGTATAGTGGTAACTTGGCTCATGAATTTAATTCCATGATTCTGGTTGCAACCAAATTGTAAGCATACATGCGTGCACACCCATGTTTACTGAAGCACAACTCACAACAACTGCATCTTGAAGCAGTCATGTGTCCATCAACAGATGAACAGATAAAGAAAAGGTGGTGCTTACACACAATGGAGTACTACTCTGCCACAAAGAGGGATAAATGAGTCACTGGTACAAAAATAGATGTACCTTGAGACTGTAATGTTAACTGAAATAAGTGAGTAACGCAAGCTTAAATACAGCATGATTTCTCTTAGATGAAAACCACAAACTATAAATAAAGAGCAAAAGAAAAGAGATAATAATAATAGCAAACAGTAGACAGACTTTTTACAAATGGGAAAGGGACCAAGAGATGCAGAGAGGGGCCGGAGGGGAAGGGGCGTAAGAAGAATTAAGATGCGCTGTGCATGTGCCAAGGCCCCACGAGGAATGCTATCAAGATGTACTGCAAATTGTACTTTTAAAAAAGGCCAGTATTAGAGGAACTCAGTTCCATCTCCAGGAAACCACATCTCCCCTCCCTAGCAAAACAGGAGTTTTATTTTGGGTTTTTTTTTTTGGTACTAGGCAGGCGCTTATGCCACTGAGCTATGTCCCCGGCCCTTCCCTACCAAAACAAACTGTCCACCGTGTAGTAATCCCTCAGGGCTGGGTGTTCTGGAAGCCACGGGTCTGACCCACCAGGGAAGTCATGGTAGGTGGCGCTGCCAGGTACAGCCAGCCACAGCCCAGAACCTGGCCTGTCCTATGCCTTACCTCGCACATCTGGAGCTGGAAGAAGCGCCGCTCCTTTTCCATCTCTTCCGCAATTTCTGCCCCACTTATTTCAGTGCGAATCATCCCGTGAAGCTTGGCGTGTTCCTTCTTCTCCTTTTCTATTTTGGTTCTGGGGGGACGCACAGGAGGCAAGGATAATCATGAGGCCCCTTGGGTGGCACTGTGCACGGGACAGTCCCTGGCCACCCCAGACCAGGCTGCCTGACCAGCACTTGCCATGAGTTTTGGGGCAAAACGGCTGTGAATGCTCTAGACAGGAAGCCGCGCAGAGTGATGGTAGTGACAGCAATAACTCCAGGGATGAGGCTGGCAGTGCTCCCTGCCTTTCACCTCACAGAAGGGTCAGGAAGCCACTGGCCTACATCTCCCCAAAAGTGTGGCAGAATTCTATAGGGAATCCACCGGGTCTTGGATTTTTCTTAGTTTTCGTTACTGTCTCTATTTTGTTGCCTGTTATTGGTCTGTTGGGGTTTTTATAGCCTCTTGGTTCAATTTTGGTAATGCATCTGTATCTAGGTGGTTCTCTGATTTACCAGAATGTAAGATTTTAAAGTAGTTTCTTATAATCCACTGGATTTTTTTGGCAGTTTCTGCTGCAATTTCACCTTTTTCATTTCTAATTGGGTTAAGATGAGATTTTTTTCTTTCCTTTTTTGGTAAGTTTGGCTAAGGGCTTATTAATCTTGTTCATCCTTTCAAAGAACCAACTCTGTGATTCATTGATCCTCTGTGGTTTTTTTAATAACTGTTTTCCTTCTATTAGTTTCAGATTTGGATTATTGTTCGTCTAGGCCCATGAAGTGAATCATTGGGTTATCCACCTGGGATCATGCTATTCTTTTAATGTGGGCATTCACTGCTATAAACTTCCCTCTCACAGGTGCCTTCCTGGTGTCCCCTAAAGACCCTCTGCCCTTTGGGGAACCAGCACACCCCACTGGGTCTTGGTTTCCATCTGTGAAGCGGGAATGCTGGCCAGAGACTCAGGACATGAAAGTGCAGGATAAGGCAGGGCTCCTCTCTGCATGAGAAGACCTTCGAGGTCTCCGGGTTTAACAACCCCCACCCTGGTCCAACAGAGGACTGACTGCCTGCCACCCATGAAACTCCACCCTCATGTCCAAGCATCCTGTGATGTAGACAAACTGAGCCAGAGACGGGAGTACCACAGGTTTAATACGCATTTGTTTGAGCTTTGTGACCCTTTCCTACTGAAAATATACCCAAGCTGTTTTTTAAGAGACTTAATCACTTGGAGTCAACTCAGTGACTTCCTTCCTAACACCTTTCTCCTTACCAGATGGCTTCAAATGAGAGCTTCTATTTCCATTCAGAAAGTCTCCAATCCCCAAAGCACAGAGATGATAAAGCAAACACAAGTCATTTAAGAATACTTTCTGTTCTAACAGCATTTAAAATAACTGAAAGCCTTAATCCCATCAGCGCTAGTTCATTTCTTACTAGTTTCAGCTCCAACCCTGGGATGAAAAACTGCAGGAAACGTTAGGATAACGGTCTGCAGCCAGCCAGCTGCGGGCTCGTCCACATTCGGGAGTCAACTGCGCCTGCTTTTCAGAACTATGCCATTCTTTTCTGGCAGATCAAGCCATCAGACAAGTGTTACAAAATCTCTCTAAAACTGAGAGGGTTGGTATTTCAGAGAAAGACAGCCCCAAAGCTAAAAGCAGACAGCTTTCACAAATCACCAGGAAGACAAAGTCTGAAGATAACACTGCTCTCATGAAGGGTAATAAAATGGAGAAATTGTTTAAAACAAGAAAGAAAAAAAACACCACCTAAGACAAATTGGCCTTGACTTTCACTATGGTTTCTATCTGGCTGGCCCCCGCCCCAGCCTCATGCACTCAGAGGTGGACTCTGGGGAGGACTCTCCTCTGCCAGACCCCTGTGCCATGCACCCTGCCTTGGAGCCAGAGGACCATGATGGAATCATGGATCAGTGCCCTGGCCCACTGGTGACTTTATGGCTAAATGTGGTGTTGGAGGTGGAGCCAGAAGAGGAGGTCACTGGGAGCATGCCCTGGAAGGGTTCATCTCCTCCACAGCTCTACCCTCCTCTCTGCTTCCTGTCCCCAAGGGGTGAGCAGCTCTCCTCTGCCAGACCCCTGTGCCATGCACCCTGCCTTGCAGCGAGATGACCATGGGCTGAAACCTGAGCCAAAGTAAACCTCTCCACCTTTAAGTTGTGGGTGTAGAGTACCGTGTTTCACCAGTGAGGGAGGTTACTAATCCAATTCCTTTTCTGAACTTCCTTGAACATTACATCTTGTAACCACTATGATGCTAAAGAAAAAGGGACAAGGGACCTCACAGAAGCCATTTCTGGATGTAGCCACCAGGTAGAGAAGCACCTGTCCTCACAGCAAACACAGTGACACAGCTTTCCGGAAATTCTTCCCTGGATTAAGGTTTACTCACACAATCCTTTTATACAATCAAAGCTAGACAAAGTTGAATTCTCAAATTACTGTACCAACAGTTAAAAAATGAAAACACTCACATTTTTGTTTCATAGTCCTTCCAAGCTTTGTCAAAAGGCTTTTTCAAATCCTGTAAACAGAGGCAGCAATTAAGCAGGACTGATTATTAACTTCTGTGCAAGATAAACTTCCTTATCCTTAGGCTGGTCCTGAGTGGGCATTAACTTGTGTAATAAATGGTGTATTAAAAAAAAATGGTGGGGGCTGGGGATTTAGCTCAGCGGCAAAAGCGCCTGCCTGGCAAGCGCAAGGTACTGGAGAAAAAAACCAAAAAAAAAAAAAAAGGTGTAGAATCCCATGGAAAATAAACAACCCCTAACACAGCCTTTAACTTAGATGAGTGGGGCCTCTTTTTCTTTCTGTCTCTCTCTCTCTCTCCTGCTTTTTTTTTTTTTTTTTGGCCACATGGGCTCACTACATAGCCCAGGCCAGAGTCAAACTCACAGTTATTCTCCTGCCTCAGCCTTCCCAGTGTTGGGATTATAGAATATTCATTAGAGAATACAACAAATGCACACAAAAGTAGAGAGACCTAGATAATGTGCTCACCACCCAGTTATAAATATTACCCCCAGCCCATCCTGTCACCTCAACCCTGCAAATATTTCAGTTTATCTCTCTACAAGAAAGGGACTCTGTTTTGTTTTTGGTACCAGGAATCAAACTCAGGACCCTGTGCCACTGAGCTATATCCTCAGCCCTACAAAAGGGACTCTGAATACATCTGCTTGATGCCGATTACCCTGATTTGAGCCCAACAATCAGAATCTGAGAGCTACCCACAGCCTACTAGGGCTTTTGTGTGCTCTCCTGTCTCTGGCATTTAGGGTTTCAAACTCTCTCAAAGTCTGGCTTCAAAAATTACTGAGCCACTAAAAATCCTATCACTGGTTCTGACACAGTTACTTTCACTTGAAGAGGCTTCTTCCGAAAGTGTGAAACCCTCTTTTCCTGGCTATTCAACCCGCCCTACCCGCCCCATCCCCACAGCCTGGTGCACAGCACTGGTCCATGCGCCCGCTCTGGGCCTGCCTCTCCTCTGCCCGGCACCCTCCCCGCCGGGTTTCTGGCTGACCCAGGGAGAATGGGCAATACTCCTTGGAGTCCTAACAGCTCTCTCCTGGCACACTCTGAAAGCAGAGGTTCCAACATGGGCCAGGTGAGGCTTCCAGATGTGCCCAGGTGAGACCCCCTCTGGCCCTGCCTGCTGCTTGCCCCCTACTGTGTCGTGGTCCCAGCCTGTGTGCTCCTGTGTGTGGGGCCAGGCTTATCCTGAACAGAACGCCCTGAGGATCCTGCCTTTCCCAAGAGGAAAACCACCTTTGCCAGCACCCTCTCTCCAGCTGGAAACTGACTCTCTCCCAGGGCCTCTGAGCTTGAGGCTCAGAATCTTTAATCTACCCTTCCCCCATCTGTCCCCTTAGGATGTTCACAGCCCCAACAGCACAACCAAAAAGGCCAAGAGTCACCACCGTTCAGGCCAAAAGCAGTGTCAACATGCAAACCAAAGGAAATAAAGGCTGAAAGCCCTCTCGTGGCCCCAGGAAGGATAGGCCCCTGTGGTGGCCACCGAAGAGCTGGCCTGCCTGTGACTCTGGGAGACACACAAACACCCGCGAGAGGATTGCTGTCTCACCCCTTTGACTCCTTTCAGGTCGCCTTTCAGCAAACTGTCCAAAGGGAAGGAGATTATGTTGTTCATATTCTGAATCTAAAAAACAAAAACAAGAAAGAAATCCTTCATTTCCATTTGAATCTAAAGTAAGAGTAGCAAGCGTGTGAGAGAGGACATTTGGTAATGATTAACCTTCACTTAAAATCTGGCTGGCACAACAGGGCGCCTCCCCTGGCCCAAGCTTCTTCCTGGCAATTTCTTTTCACTCACGGTAGGTAGCTGCCGAACGTACCAGATCTGTAGTGTCTACAGTAACAACCTTACCCTGTTGAACTATGAAGTTTGTGAAAAGACAATCACTGCAACAGAGGGAAAAATATCTGAAAAGAAGCTATGATGGAACCACTTTCAAGAAAACACTGCTTCCATTGTTACCCTCCTATTACCTTGTTTTGAAATTTTGTTTTGTTTTTTTTCTTCTTAAAATAAAAAAAGAAAGAAAAGGAAAATATCACTTTCTACTCCCCTCCCTGCCACGGCCCTGCTGAGCTGTGGGGAACCCGGACCCCGCTCCCCACAGGAGGTGCCCGACATGGACACAGAATGAAGGCAGCATGGGGGCCTCTGTCTGCCAGGAAGGCATGGGAGTGACTTCTGGGTGTGAGTGAGAGAGGACATCAGCGTGCAAGGGAAAGGGTGTGCTTGAGGGGGTGGGTGAGTGCAGGTGTGGGGTACAGGGCTGGGCACCAGGAGCAAAAGCACTGAGGGTGGGTAAAAGGGACAGAAAAATGGCACCACTGCTGTAAATAAGCCCTGGCGCTGTTTTTAAGGCAGTATGGGAGGTGATTTCAGACACAGCTCTGCACATGAAACTTCCAGAGACAAAAACACACTCAAAAAATACTACCGCAATGTGTGGTGACGCTGGCAGCAGCGGCAGGTCCTGCCAAGTGACCTGTGAATGACTGTCTTTGCAGAAACAGGTATTCCAGTAATGTCTACCTCGGGACAAACAGCTCAGCACTGCTGCACACCCTGGCACTCACTCCTCCAAGGTGCTGTGCCATCTGCTGCGACTTGCAGGGATCGGCCCTCACAGCTAAACCTTAAACACCGAAGGCCTGCCTGAAGATCAGGTCTGTGGATGCGAGGAAGGGATTGGTAACAAATCACAGGCCTGAGCCATGACTCACCTCTACACAGAGGCACGCTGGGCCCTCTGCTAAGCCTGGGCAGGAGTGTGCTGCAGAAACCCGCGTCTGCACGCACCGCCCCCACCGACCTCTTGTTCTGCACTTTCCTCCCCAAGGTGCCCGCTGACCACAGCTCTGTCCGCCTGGCTTCTGGTGTCCTCCCTGTGGCTGGCCCTCACCATCTTCCTCCTCCCTGAGACTGTCCCTTGCTGTCCTCCTCCCTGTGGCCAGTCCTCGCTGTCCTCCTCACAGTCCACTCTCGGACACGTGCTCTGTGCCACAGCCATGCCTCCCCCTACCCGACCAGCTGCCGAGGCCTTGCCACCTTCCAGGCCTTTCCACAATGCCCCCTCCAGGCCTCTCGCACATCCTGGGCCTCAGCAGGGCATCCCCATCTTCTCTGAACAGAGGCAATGAAGGTCCTGCTCTGGGGTTCTGCCTGCCCGGTCCTGCCAGACTCACCAGCAAACACTGGGCTTCTTGCCTCCGGTATTAAGGTCGCCACAGTCCATTCCTACCTGCCACTTTCACCTTCACCTTCTGCTGCTGAACTCTGCTCCTCTGATCCAACTTTTGTTCCCACCCCGCCCCAGCTGAAACAAGCCCCCACCCACAGGAATTACTCAGACATCACCTTCTCCATGTAGCAGCCCCCTTCTCCTTTGGAAAGTGATCCCTGCCTCCCCCGACACCCCCATTCTGCCCTTTTCTGTTTCGTCAGGCACTTGGCGGCTCTCCCTGCGACCACCTTATCACTCTCACACCATGTAACCTGAAAAGCAGCGTCCACCTTCACTGCACCCCGCACAGCCCAGTGCTCCGAGAGAGCTCAAGGAGCCCCAGCAATGCTCCAAAGCCACTGGTGGAGTAACACAGGACAAGCTGGCACTTTTCTGAACTTTCGGTACCTGAGAGACACACTCAGCAGGGGCTTCAAATGGAGTCCCATCAATACCTTCAAACCAAACTCGGTATGAACAACAAACCGTGAATTCACCAATTCATTTGTCACAAAATTACTGATGCAGCGACTGGCTGTAAGCACAAAGACAGATAAAACACAATGCTCCCCCACCAGAGGATGAACATGGACAGGCACACCAAGAATCGCAAGCTTGGAGCAACAGCACGTGTTTACAAGGGACAGAGACCAGTGCGTCCTCACCGGACATGATGAACCTGGGTTTAACCAGTCGGACCAACTGAGCCAGGCTTGGGAGAAGGGTAACTATCCAGCCGCTGACCTGCAGGTGCTGCCCAGTTAGCTATGCGGTCCCCAAAGCCACGGTCAGTCCCAGGCACAGGTTAGTTTGGTCTTGAATTCCTTAGAAGCCAATGCCATGTCACCGTGGACAAGGGACACAGATGTGGGGTGGGAGACGTGGCCCAAGGCCCCAGAACTGCAACTGTGTGGTGGGTTTGGGCAAGGGGTGGAAGGGGCTCCATTTTCACCAAGGGCTTGTGTAGGGATGGAAGTGTGCACAAGTGGGAGAAACAAGGTTCTCTACAGCACAGAAACAACATCAGTCTCAATTTCAACAGAACGCATCTCTTCTGAGATGATTTGTCGTTTAACTGAAATCAGAACTAGGGTACTGACAGCAGATACAACACAGAAGCAAACATAACCCACAGACACCTGTACCCTCGGCCACTGCTTTCATTCTGCATTCACCAAAGCCTCAAGTGGGACTGGCTCCAGGCTGGACGCTGGGGACCCACCACCTTGTGTGACCTGGGTACAGCCAATGCCACAAAATTCAAGAGCCAATTACAACTGTGGCAAATGCCATGCAGGAGGCACATGCAGCCCTGGCTGGTGGCAGGACGGTGTGGAGGGACAGGGGTCTAGGACACAGAGCTGGCAAGGCAGAGCCTGGGTCCACAAGAGCGCACAGCCTCACAGGGGAGCAAGCTGCCCACTTCAGTAAGTAACTACCAAGGAAGACGCCCCGAGCCTAGGGAGAACACCAGGAATGTCACAGAAAATTACTTTTCTGTGACACCAGGGAAATCTGTTGAGCAGGAGATGGGGACAGAACTTTAAAGGACAGAGAAGGATTCTGCCTTGCCACATCGATGGCAAAAGGAAGGGCATGGAGGGTGGGCCAAGGCCCTGGTGTGGGTGATGGGGCCACATCAGCGGAGGGGCAGCAGAAGGTGATAGGTAGAAAGGGCACTTGGGTACCAGGTCAATGGAGGAAGTCTGGGTTTCATTCAGTCAATTATTTTTTTCCCTTGGAGTTATTCAAAGGAACTAAAATGGAAACTATTACTTTTCTGATCAAAACTAAATTATTAAATAGAGACAGAAAGTAGATCAGTGGTTGCCTGGAGCAGGCGAGATGGGATTCACTGTGAGGACAGGAGGGGCCTTAGGAGAGGGAGACGAAGTCCTGGAACAACGCACAGCAGGTCGTGCCTGTTGGTACAACTGCCAGAAAGCACTGAGTTGTAGGCTTGAAACAGTAGGTTAAATGTAAAATGCAAAATGTGCCTCAGGAAAGCTGTTTGGGCTGGGGTGGAGCTCAGTGGTGAAGGTAGGAGGCCCTGAGTCTGATCCCTAGCACAGCAAAAAAAGGAAAAGAAAAAAGAAAGCTGTTTGTTTGTTTGAAAAAGGAATTGCTGCAAATAGCAACAACAGCTGATAAACCGCCCACTCCAGGACATGACACCTGCACCTGCTTTCTGCGCAGCATGGGAACGCTGGGACTGGAGAAAACCATCCCAGAAATGCCAGCCCCTTCCCTCGGCCTAGCCAGGTGTGCAGGAGCCAGGCGCCCCTCAAGCCTGGCCTGCAGCAGGAAGAAAGCAAGGTCGGAATGCTCCCTGTTCCCAGTGTCAGGAGATGAAAACTGCAGCCTGAAGGTGACTGCTCGTCTGCATGTTCAGCCTTCTCCAGCCTTGACTGTGAGTAATGAAATCTTTACAGGAAGAAATCAGCTGGTTTGGGTCACTCTGTATCACCCTGAGCGCCAAGGCGGCGTCGGCATTCCTGTGTGCTCTGACTTTCTTCTGACACACACTGTGTAACAGCGCATACATCTGAATACAAATCTAATTCTTCAACCTTGCCGTTAGCTCTGCACCAGCGAATGCGCCATCTTTTAAAATAGCAACCCTCCTTTTTCACCTCCCTCTCCCTCTTCCTGTCTCTGCTTTCCCTGAGTTCGGCTGGACAGGTCTGACAAGATGAGTCAGTTGAGCCAAAGGTCTGTCGTCTCCCAAGTACAAATAAAGGACGGGCTGCCAGAGGTCAGGAGCAAAGTCATCATGCTAATGCCACAGCTGATTCTCAGACAGAGAAGGTACAGTCTGCCAAACAGTCATCCTCTCGCACTGCTCCTCCTAGTTACTTCTGGGCTTACAGTCCTTAACTTCAGAACTGCCACCAAGTTCTGGCTGTCCTGATGGCTCCAGCTTGGGGCCCCACTTCAGGAAACTAATGTGCTGTGTCCTCTGACTCAGGCACCCCAGACTCCACACTGCCTAATGAAAGGACCTTGTCTGAGGGTCTGTCTGGAAGCCTAAACCCAGGGTCCTCATGTGGCTCTCTGGTTTCAAGGATCTGCCACAGTCACCGGGCAGAATCCAGTTCCAGCCTTGCAAATCTAGAAAACAACAGGTTTTCCCAGGCAACTGGCTTTCCCCACACAGACTGTGGGGCACTGTGCTACATACTGGAAGCGTATCTGTGCCGTGCCACTCATTTCAAATGCCCCATTTGTGAGAAACCCAGGAGGTGGAAAAGGCAACACTTTGAAATTTTTCTTGTCAACCTGAGCAGATGCTGCTGCAGCACAGAGTTAAATAGGCTTCGAAGAATGGCAGGCCATCTGCTTGCCTCAGGCAGAGGCTGACACCGAGCAGTGTGGGGTAAGGGTGTGCTCAGCGGAGGGGTCG